TAAAGTTGTATTATTTTATCATAGTGATATCTGTTGGAAAAAAATGTGATAATCTCTTTCTAAACAAACCTCATATTTTGCACTCATGTTTCATGATAAATGTCCGTCTGAGGATATAAAAATGTCTGCTTTGTATATAAGAAATGCAAGACCGTGTCTTACAGTTTCAAGATGAGTTCGGCTGTTGTAGGAGGGAGTAGACAGCTTAGCACCCTTCCTCCGACCAATCTGGAGACGACTATTACATTAAATAGCCCTGCTTTATAGCTGCAAGATATGTGTTTGGGAGAGTGTTTCAGTACATGTACACCTATGAAGACTATCCAGCTATGCTATAATTATATGTTTTATGTCTACCCACTAAGAACGTCAAATACAGACCAACATCAGAAACATCAAAGTTGAAACCTGTCTAACCGAATTCCCTTGGCCCTAAAAACCTCCCCATATATTTCTCCACACAGCCACACTGCTTATAAGCGCCATTGTATGGAATTGTTTCAGGATCGTTGCTAAGAGGTTTGTGGAGTCTTCGTCTAGCTTCACCATCGATTTCCATTGCTGTCAGTTGCTGCAAACCCAGCCAAACATCTGGCGTATAGTGATGTGTGTAAGGGAAGGGTGACGATAGAGGTTACATAAATAAACATTCCCCTCCCTGAACATATTCTTTAGATATACCTATTTTATGAGCTTTTGGCTACAACCCACAACACATAGACTACCAGGATTTAATACCCGTGTAACCTATTTCATGAGCTTTTGGTTACAACCCACAATACATAGGCTACCAGGATTTAATACCTATGTAACTAGATTACCCAGTGAAATGATTATACAATATGTCATAAAAAAGATAAACGGGGTACAATTTATTCAATTTAAATAATACATCTATTATATAGATGTCAATCCAACTGAATGAAGGTGTTATCGCATACCCAAATAATATCTTACAATGAATACTTTGTTGGTTGTTTTTTTTTTTACCGTTCTCAGACTAAAACTGATCATAGATTTCACTTGTTTACGGTAACGAGAGACTGTCGTGTCTGAATTCATCAGCAACAGAAAATAGGTTTGTCTGTGACCGGGTATGGAGAACGACGAAACACTCAAATAGAAAGTCATTTCAAAAACCGCAAATCATTCCATATGATTGAAAGATGGGCCGAAGGTCTGGCCTGTATGGATAACCGACTGTCACAGAGAATGCCCCCCCACACACACACACACACACACACACACATCTCCCACCCGTTCATAACCAACCAACCCACCAACCATCCCAAGAGAGGCAAATGAAAAGTCTGAGAGAATCTACTACAAATCCTCATATTGACCGAAAAGGTCCGGGAAATAAAATTTTCCATCCTTGAACTGTATAATATTTATTTAGTCATCTTCATTCCTTTACATAGTTCATGGTTAAAACGAGTATGTTTACATTGATTCAATCTATATCAGTAAGTTTGGTTTTTAAATCAATGTCAATCTAATTCTTCGACTTGACTCGGGTTTTGAGCTAATAAGGGGCATGAGTTTAACCCACACTTCCGTTACTTTACGTCTAATAGACTTGCAATGGTTATGTGGAAGAGTACAAATTCGATCTGGCTGACAGACAATAATTGTCACTTTAATTGCTGAAATTGAACGGACACGAAAAGGACTAGCCCCGAGATCACTTCTGAATTTAAAGTGCCAATGGATCGCTCTGAAAGTAAAGTTCGTTTGCCCATTACAGATATAACTAAGAGAAACAGAGAAAATCTGAAATTCCCTTGATTCGGATTGCTCGAATGACAATAAACCACATCCCTGAGTTTAAATAAAGTATTTCCTTTTTAACATTTTCCTGCTCAAAACTCGGCTGAATCTGAGATCTTTATTGACAGAAATGGAACAGAAATTCTGCGCAAATGTCAAGCACAGCAATTTCAAACACAAACTTCTAATTTACAGAAAACACTAGAAGATTAGCCATAAATTAATTAAAACCATTTGGAGGAATCGTAAATTATTCATAACTATGCACTGCGGATAAGTGTTTCGTTTTTTTACAGCCTCGTCTACGGTAGTGGCCAGTGGTGTTGTAAAACATCGTCACAATCTGGTCGCAATCTCTGGTTTAAAAACAGCCGCTTGATCAGATAGCGTAAATAAACTTACGGTCATGTTGTGTAAAACAACGACACGAGCAAGTTGTGTAAAATGGCATCACGGTCAGATGGTGTAAAACAGCGCCACGAACAAGTGGTGTAAAATGGCATCACGATCAGAAGGTGTAAAACGGCGCTACGAACAAGTGTTTTAAAATCACACCACGATCAGATGATGGTGTAAAATAATGGCACCATTGGTAGCATAAAGTAAACTTCAGAAACAAACTACCACTTAATTGAACTATAAGTAATGGCGAGACAGGGCATACTTACTATTTCTAGAATATCTGACACCATTCTCATCTGAGTTCATAGAGTCAACCATTTACAAACACAGTTATGATTTCATGTTATTGATCAAAATTTTATCATTGGTGATTTCCCATGAAAAATAATAAATTGATCTTAAAGTAGCTAAGTCTCTAACTCAATATCATCCAAAATCTTCAACATTGAAAACACGAATTATTTGTCAATTTAAATAAACATTGATGCTGTTGATCTTACCGGAAAAGGATGGGCTTCTGATATCCAATATATAGAACAAAATAAACATTTTACCATTGGTACACAAATCGTGTACCATAATGCGTTTCAGCCCCAGTTGTAACAAGAGACTCGAGGAACGAGGCTAGACACATTGCACCAAATCAAACGGAGTCGCCATATTCTTATCTGGAGATCATGCGCAATAAATACTATGTAGACTGGAATAACCGGACGCTAGAAATTTGCATTCGATTGAGACTGCTTGCTTATTTCGCCGAACATAACTGATTTGAAATTAGAGTAAAAACGGAAACCATTGAATGTGAATCAGTTTTCATACATTTATATTACAGTATTATATGCGTTGCGACCCAATTGTGTCAATTTCTAGGTCCCAAATGTTAGCGATTTAGCTCCTTTAAAGTCATTTTACCACTATAGGAATAACTTGCATACCACATTATTGTGAAAAATGAATCGCTGATAGGAATATTAGTCCAATAATGGTTCAATTCCGTTCAATTATCACACATAGATGTTGACTTGATATTTTATCGATGTATGCTGCTCGTTATGTATTAGGCTACCGCAATTTTGTTGTCCGCGAACATTTATTGATGAGCCTATTTCAATCAGATTTAACCCAAGCCGTCCGGGACGTTAACTGGCGTTGGTATTTTGATTTCGTTTTCCTATTGAAATGAAATAATCAACCTGAGTGCATATTAGCGTAGATTTAGTGAAAAATGCAAATAGCGCATCGTTACTAAAATAAACTGCCAGAAGTGAAGAGTCTATTTTATACCCCAAAATATAAAAATAGATCGTGACGTTAATAAGCATTGCCGCTTTGGGGATCTTGGAGGGTAATAAAATATTATTTGATAAGACTGACTAAACAGTTTCACCGTACATGTTGAAATAAGACTGTGAGGTCAAAAAAGAGATATCAATGTTTAAGCTGTCAATTTATGTGTTGTAGATATTATTATTGATATGATATTATTCAAAATGAATTACATTTATTTTCTTGGTGACAGTGATAATGTCTCTTTAAATATGTCAAGATGTCTTCCACCCATAGAATCTCTTATTTTAATCAAACTGTAATGTAATTATAAAAACGACTTCGTCTAAATTTTAGATAAAAAAGAATATTTCCGTTCCTTTGATATATCAAAGCCCCAGCATGCCAAAATAAAGGCCAATAACACAATAAAAAAGTTTCACATATAAATATTACATAATGTTGAAGCTAACTGTCTGGCGATTATTGTTCGGGTAAAGAATAAGAAGGCAACCATTTTTCAAGAAAAGATATTTAATGATACGCAAATTAATTACTTTTCAAGTATAAGGCAACTACTTTTCAAGTAAACAATATTAATGCAGCTTCTTGTCACGTAAACAATATTAATGCGACTATTGTTCAAGTAAAGAAAAGGCAGCCGTCTATTTTTCAAATAACATCATAAATGGTTACAACTCGGTTTGTTATTTATTAATGTACGGACGTAGGCGTTCAGTAGTTGCTGATTTACAGACCTATTTCTCTGCGTCATCGCTTGAAGTTTGTATCAGAAATAATCTATAAAAAAATCGAAGCCATTCTGATCTAGATGTTCTCTTTTATTGAGAAATAATATTAATCCTTCGTCAATAAAGACTGTCTTGGCCTGCTGTGAATTCTCGAGAAGATACACCTGCCCCTCGAAATATGACAAAAAGAATCTAATTGAGGACAGAATTTAATCATTCTGTGGAATAATATCAAGGCCACCCAGATAGCAATATTGTGTTTTTCAGAAAAACAAAATTCTTTTCATCTCTAGGGAGCAAATACTGTTACTGTTTTAAATAATGAAATTAATCTTTGATATATAGAAATGGCCAGCTAATTTGACACACCATATTATCAGTATTGTCGTGTAATTATAAGCTATTTATCTTCGCAGACATTTTCCAGAAAATAAGATACCATGCATTGATACATGTATACAACCATGGCAAACATCGACGTTAGACGTCTGTCTTTTTAAATCATTTTGACATTTAGTGCTAGAATCTTTTTGTCTCTTAACGCAGTATGCCAGCTTTTTTGTTGTAGGTTTCTTACATGTGTTTAAAGTATGCTCTTGATTACTTTTGATCGAGATTGCCGTCCGAAATGTTCCAATACATGTGTGTTCCCAATCAAATGTTCAAAGGGGCATTATTTGTAAGATTTGGAGAAAAGGATTGGTAGAAAAGCTAGAAAAAAATGCCATGATATATGCAAATATACATGTAGCTCTCGAAAAATGCGTCTTTAATTTAATTACATTTTACATATTGGTATTTTTTCAGGTTTTGCATCTATGACTGTGCCTGTTTACGTTGCTGAAGCAGCTCCATCAGATATTCGAGGTCGCCTGGTAACACTGAATCAATTATTTATAACCATTGGTATTGTTATATCTAGTCTCATAGCTGGTGCTTTCAGTGAGATGAAGACAACCGGTTGGAGGTAAGTACGGTCGAAAATCAGATCAGTCGAAAATCAGATAAGCCATTTTCGGAAGTCCGCTATCTGCCTGTCGCTCATGTGTCCTTGAGAGATACTGGTGGTTAGATAGCCACTGGGCGACAATGGCTGTTGATAGAAAATATCAATGCAATTTGTTGTTAATTTATGACTTCGATCGAATTCCCATTAATAATTCTTCGGGTATTTTAATTCCTTTCTCCATGCATCGCTATGTAACTATTTCTGCACGGTCGGGATTTGTACTCCTTATAAAAGGTCCGAACCAGATTGTGGATTTGGTTTTGGCATCCGGGTTCTAGTCTCGAATATTGGTCATAGTGGTAATGTATAAGTAAATATATATCTGGACTAAAGTACTGCTTTAGAAAATTGTTCTAGTCTTGGAACATAAAAATATTTCAACAATATTGATGTTCTTGGAGCACCAAACGCGCGTAATGACACCCAGCCAAAATATTAAAAAAGCGCATCATTTTGCTTCACATATTTCTCAAAAAGTGTAAAGAATTATTATTAAAATCATACTATCATGAAGTATCTACTGACTTGAAGTAAAACGACAACACAAATATTTGTACTTTATTTATCTAAAACACATTAAGATGGCGGTGTGAAATTGATAGAATAAAAATCACTAAAATCACTATAACTTTACATGACCATAACGTAAGTAAGAATACATTATTTTAATCATATTAAGACCAAACTTTGTTTTTTTCGGATATAGTCTTAAAATCTATATTTAGAATTATAAGTCGAATGAAAATTATAGACTCAAGAATAATAGTCGGTTATCTGACGCTCAAGTTTATCTTGCAACCCTAAAACAACAGACATGCATTTACAGATAGTATACGGCCCTCATCCGGAAGGGATTCTTTGTGAAAACCATATCCACCTTTTTTCTAGGTACATGTTGGGTCTTGCTGGTATACCTGGTGTGGTTCAGTTTATAGGATTTATATTCATGCCAGAGAGTCCTCGGTGGTTGGTTTTACGAGGTCGATTTGATCAAGCTAGAGATGTGTTGAAACAGATAACTGGTCAAGAAGATGTCGAGGATGAATTGGAAGACATGAAGAGAGCTGTAGCAGAATCAACCACTGCAAGGGGAGATGGTTAGTTTCCGTTTGTGGATATCCATTGACAATTTATACGCATAATTTCTTATAATTATCTATATTTGTTGTAAGACTAAAAATAATTAACATTATGACTGTAGAATAATAAAATGCGTATGCCAACCAGCCCCCAGGAGGCGTATTCCGACTATTTGCCCGAGGAAGCCATGACCTAATGTTTACTGCATATGTGTTTAGTTTCATGGTAGGAAAGGATTAGAATAAATGTCCGTGGTCTTATTGTTTGATTGAAAACAGAAAAGGTCGATTTGATTTTAAAAAATATCGTTTAATATGAAAATGTATGTCCTTAGATTTAGAAAGTCCGGATATAACCTATTTTGTAAAAGCATACACAAAACTAAAATTAATAAAGATAACAATTTCCACTGTTTTATATTGAAATTAAATTTTGGATAGAACCAGAATCATTCCTCGAGTCCAACAGATTCTGAAATTGCTAATCGGTAATCACCACAATTAGACCCATTAAACGCTTTATTTTTACTTAAATTAAAAACAAGATTTTACTTCGAAATATTGGTTTTATAAGCTCTGTTACAAAGTGACGAATACAGAAGCGGGGTGGTTTATCAGATAAAACAAAAATAACCCAGACGATATTTTTACCAAAAGATTCTCAATAAATCTCTTGTCTTAGTATTCGGTTGCTATGAAGATAAACTTTCCATTTTCGTCAGATATGAAAATATGTCAGAGCCAATACCATTTGATTTGTAAATTACGTATATGATCCGATTAGCCTGTAATATGAAAATATTAGACAACCAATCGATATTTAGCAGGATGATTTACTACTATAACTGTGTAGACAGTTTTCTTAAAGCCATAGTTTTCATTTATACTGAATCAAAAATTCGATAATAGGTTATATTACGACAGTCCTGATCTCGACATCTTAATACCGGATATAACAATATTTTATGTTCGGTCGCCACTTTTATCGAAAATCCAATCCACTTGCATCGCAGGGGCATAACTTGATTTAGGGAGAGTGGGACTTTTTTTTTACCCCTTTTCCATTTGGTTGATATTTTTTCATCGCAGATTAATGACGCTTTTATTATTCTTTGTTGAAATTAGATAAATGAATAAAAATTGTCAGCTTTGTTAAATATTCATTATGTCTAAAATGGCTAGGAATTTATAAATTTAAAAGTTTCCTCGCGTATAGGCATTTTAGTTGTCATAAGGAACACCGACACTTACAAATGTTGAATATGTACGTACATGTACTATTTTTGTTCTAAAATAAGACACAAATAATCAACGCTATATTGAAACATTGTGAGGAGTATGCTATCTACCGTATCTGAAGAAACGAAATGAAATAAAATGGAGTTTAAAGGAGCTAATTCTCTAATCTTTGGCCGCAATGCATATAATAATGTAATTGAATGAGTCTTTGGCGTCTGGTTATTCAAGTCTACACAGGTGGTATTCTCCTGTGGGATATATTTAGACTCGTTCATCGAGTCGAAACATTACAAATGGAGCTCGAAAGCATTCTGGCACGCGATATGTGTCCTAATTTTAAAATGTTCAGTTTGTCTTAAATATTAGATATCAGAAGCCGATCTTTTCACGGTAAGAAAACAACCAATGTTGATTTAAATTGACGAGTATGATGCGTTTGCAATGTCGAAGACTGCGGATGATATTGAGTTAAAGACTTGGCTACTTTCACGTCATGTTGTTCTGCTCTGATTGGGCTAATGAAGACGGGCATACGCCATACAGTGTGCTATGAGAGAAATTTTGCCCTGACAGCGGCAATACGTTATGCCTTGCCAGGCCCTCCGTCCTGCACCACTGGCAAGCGGGAACCACACCCGGAAGAAAACAATAGAAAAACTACAAGGCAAATCTTGAATATGCTGAAAGGGGCATTGTGTGAGCGCAATATTTGCCTGTTGCAAAGTCTTTTTCCGGCTTAAAATGTTATATAAATCATTATTTATACATTTATTCACGTGAAAAGCCCATAATCATTAGATATTGAGTGAACTAGAAAATGTCAATCTCACCTGCGTTAAACGCAAATAAGGCGGACCAAACCGAAATTATCGAAGATGTATAACTTACAGCCTTCTGTTCCTATATATTAAAAGTCTTATTTTGATTAAAAGTAACAAAACTTGAATAGTACTCCTCGTCTGAAACCCGATAAAAGTAGCTAGTCATACCTTCGCTCAGAAAGAATTAATTTTACAGAAACGTAATAAGGTGTAAATAACTCTGCTCCTTTTAGTCTTTTAGATTAACTTTGGTGTAATATACTTCTGGTGGTGTATCAGTTTTAGAACAGATTTGTATATTTTGTGTAATATATTTAATGAGGGGGTGGGGTGGGGGATTGGGGTCAGTTAAGTTTCAGATAAGACTGGTATATTTGAGGTAATGTGGGGTCAGTCTTAGATTAGATTTGTATATTTTGTGTAATATATTTCAGATGGTGGATCAGTTTTAGGTAAAATGTTAACCACACCTCACGTTAGAAGAGCTTTATTTGCTGGCGCTGGTTTACAATTCTTTCAACAGTTGTGTGGCATCAATACAGTTATGTAAGTTAATTGATTATTATGTTAAAGTTGTAATGAAAGGCTCTTCTGTTAGATAACTTACAGAATATACTGTAATTCAGAGTGTTTTAGCCGCAGAGCAAATTTTTGCTTGTGCAAAGGGGTCTTTAGCAGTGGCGGGACACCCGAGGACTCGGAGAAATCCACGTGGCGGCCTTACTCCTTGTTAAGTACAAGCTGGAAATCGAAACTTGGCCAGTTGACGCATTATACCAATGTCCCCACCAACCCCCTCAAACATGTATATAATCAAGAGATTATGCTAGAAAATGTCAATGTTTTAACCTATTGAGTGACTTATAAAACAGAACGCTGAACATGATTTTGGAACACCTGATACCACATTTATTTGAGAAGTTTAAGTAGCTATAAACTATTTTGGGCCAGGTTTCCCATTTAAACAACATAACACTTGATACTATTGGTATCATTAAATCGAAATGAAAGTGAGAAGCAATGTAAAACATCTATTTCAAATTTGTTTGCTTCACATGGCTAACAATTTGTATTTCAAAGCCGATGTTAGTCATTTGAGGCATTTCGGGTCCCTTGCCAACTACAATATTGTGAAAGTTGAAAGTCAAAGAGAAATGGTATAGTTCTGTTAAGTATTTACAATGACGAATTTAAAATTTCGCAAAATTCGACATCATTTGTTGGGCAGACACACAAGCCAGCATCATCTATAAGTCTTGTGTACAATCTTTTCAAAGGCCTCTATTTAATGTAAGGAGACATTAACTACTAACCTATCATTCGTTCATTTTTATTTTGGTTTTGTTTGCTTATACATGCATTATGCAAGAGCCAAATCTGCCTATTGAGGGTCTTTCTTTAGGCCTGAAATGTTATCTGAATTATTAATTAGACATTAATGAACTTATCCAGACCATAATCAACCCACGATACCATCGTTAGCCTGCGATATTTTGTGGATTTGAATACATTTTGTGATTGATAATTTAACGTAAAACTGGATAATCGAGACTTTGTTTATTATCTTACCAACGTTAGTAATGACGATCGAGGTTAGCCTAAAATTGAATCGCTAATATCTCGGTACAGAATGAAGCAATTTGACTGAAATTTTTAGCATATTCTGTTTTCATTATCTATGTTGCTTAACTATTATAGCGAGAATTGTCAGCTCTTTATCTAATGTTATCTAATGCCCCGTTAGTTAAATAATCAATTTGGGTAAATCTTTATTCGCATATTTCTTTATTTCAGTTATTACAGTGCCTCTATTTTAAAACTGGCTGGGTTTCCTGTCAAATATGCTATATGGTTGGTTATGGTACCAAATACGATCAACTTCCTATCAACTTTTATAGGTTTATATTTAGTAGAAAGACTGGGGAGGAAACTTCTCACCATAATTAGTTTAGCTGGTAAGTTGGAACTAATCACCAGATGTCTATCCCAGAGATGAAAATGTAATAAATGACATAAAATGGGGTTAAACGTCCTATTTTTCTGCACCGACTGAACGGGAGTACGCGATACAGTGCGCTATGGGAAAATTCTGTGCGGACAGCAGTGCTACAATCTAGTCTTAATTCCAACTCTCGGGGGTTCTTTTACGTGCACGATAACGTGTATACGGGTCCTTGGTATTGATCCCATCCTAAAGACTACAAGCTGTTCCTTGTCAGATCCTCCGTCTTGTACCACTCACACGGGAAAACCACGTTGGAGCCAACACAGGGATCGAACCCGGACCTCCTGGTTAGTGAAAATGTTATAACCCTTTTCTTTGTTAAAAGGACAATAGGAATAACCTGTTATCAAACATGCAACGATTTTCACTTTTACCTCAATAATCGCCATGAAAAGTGTTTACTGTAACACTTTGATTTATTAAAAACAATTATACTATGCTTCTAAATTACAGGGGTGGCATTAGCTCTAGCAGTGTTGGCTATCGGATTTCAGTTATCATACGTTTATTCACCGGAACTCAACACCACACTTGTAGAATTTTATGGTAATGGTTCAGCTATTATGGACTGCAACTCGTATTCATATACGTAAGTAGCGCGTAACTTAAAATAAAACAAATTTACCCGCATTGAATGACATTTGTTATCATTACCCATCACTCTAAGATACTTGGATTAGTTGTTGAGTAATTATTATACTGTAATATTCGTCTTGGTGTCATTCTGTAAGAAAAGGGCTATTGGGGATATTGGTGTTGTTAAATTCTTTGATAAATGAAGCAATCCAGGAGGTGGTGGGCTAACGGACAAATGTTAAACTTGATGTTTAAATGTACTAAATTTATGTTGTGTAAAAACACGTTTTTTAAAATAATTAATATCGGAACAGAATAAAATTTAAGCACAAGTAATTAATAAAGAAACCCAAAACGTCAGCTAACGTTCGAATGGATTTATATTATGTCAAAGGCACGCGCTTGAAAATATGTGTGTCGGAACAGAATCTAATGTAATCAAATCTTACGAACATATGCTTTTCAGTGGGTAAAAAAATCTGAAACCTTGTAATGTGGACCAAAAGGATTATTATCCCTGAATGTATTGCTTCTTGTAGGACTTGTGAACAATGTATAGAACATAAAGATTGTGGTTTTTGCTATGATGAGTTATCTCGAGCTACGTGTTTACCAGCTAAAGATGATGTATTAGCTGAAGATGGACGATGTGGTGCCGTTGGAAACAGTACAGAGGTAGCTTCGGGATTCCATTGGTCTCAGGGTTATTGTCCTACAGATTACACATGGATGGCCGTTCTTGGACTGGCGTTTTTTGTCTTTGCTTTTGCTCCAGGTGAATAGTTTATTTTATTTTAACTCTTACGTATTGGACAATAAATAAACCACACTGGGATTTCGGACGTGATAATTTACAAAGAAGAAAGAAATTATAAGACATTCGCTGATCATTTTTTTCTGATTTCAGGTCTTGGACCCATGCCATGGACTATTAATTCAGAGATATATCCACTCTGGGCCAGAAGTACAGGGACGTCAATAGCTACAGCCGTCAACTGGATTTTAAATCTTATTATATCATTTACATTTCTTACCTTGACAGAAACTATAACAAAACACGGTAAGCTTATAGTAGAACAATACAATCATGCTACCTCAGGGAGGGTGCTACGATGGCTCACAGAGTTCGGGGCTCGATCCCGATGTTGAGCGTGGGTTTCTAGTAGTAATGGACGGGGTCTGGCAAGGAACATTGTCCAGTTGTTCGCATTTTTTTGGACGGAAACCGGAGTTCTCGTGTACACTTTAGCGTACCCGAAAGATAACCCATGATAGTTGAAATTCAATTGAGGTCCGGGCAAAATTCGTCGCTTAGGCCCGTTTTCATTATCCCGGTTGATACAGAAAAGTAGGACGTTAAACCCGATTTCATTCATTCGGCTTCAATGAAGCGGTACAAAATAATTTCGTATTTCCAATATTTATCTCTAGATTTAATCTAGCTTGTCATCAAGTTGACTGATCATGGTTCAAAACAAAAATAATTACCATCGACTAAACTACGGTAGCAGAAATCACACCCAGGAAACCAGGCTGAAACTTCTGAAGCTATTGACAGCAAATAATGCCATTTCTGGTCGACCAGGAAGAATGTGAAAAGAGACTGTAGTTTAGGTTAGCAACCACGTGTCATGCGCAACCATGGTCATGCAAAATCAACCAATTAACGATAGAATCCAGATCCTTGGCGTTCAAATGGATGAAATGATAAATTAAAACGTATTAACAATAATAACTGTTGACTGATATGATTTGATCAACGGTCATTCACGTTCGGTTATCTGTCATTCAAGTTCTTTTTAGTGTTCTGTATCACTTCTATTCTAATGTCCCCCTTTTCTTTTATTTCAGGTACATTTTGGTTGTATGGTAGTTTCTGTGTATTAGGAATAATATTCGTCTTTATTTTTGTACCAGAAACTAAAAATTTATCGCTTGAGGAAGTTGAACTCATGTTTATGACGAAAAAAGAAAGGGCGTCTAAAGACTTTAAGGAAAAATCAGCTAATGGATTTGTAATGGAAATTAACGTGCCCCAACCAGAAGTTGAAAATTCCGACATTAATATAATATCACCGGCTTCAACTTACAACAATGCCGATCCAACATCGACGAATTATTACAGTACACCAACAGGAAGTTCGACAAAACTTTAAGATCTTTTGAACCTACCGTTTATGACAAATACCAAGTTTAAAGTGGCAGTTCTGCAATCTTGTTCTACTTCTAATAAAACTACTAAAATCAGAGGAGGGCATGTGAAAGTTTGAAATGAGGACTCAACAATTATCCATTGAATCAAAATAGTTTATCGTTTATATTTTCATGGGTGGGGGTGGGGTGGGGGTCCTGAAATTGGATTAAATGAAATAATTTATATAATTTTCCCTGATGGTGCGGGTACTTCAATATAAGCATCAATAAATATATATTATGTTAAAACCGGGTAGTTTGTGTAATTGTGTTTGTCGCAGTAAGTACATTCCAAATTTACATTCGATCTCTCTGGCACGTTTTATATAATGGGGGAATATTTTTTCTTTGTTAGGGCTATATTTCTAAAGCAGATATATCTACTGAATATAATTGGATTTCGTTAACTTTCAAGTTGCGTGTTGTCCCATCTTACTTTCAAAACTTGTTTATTGTTTACCTCGCATTCTGTGAAAGAATTGGTGATATTTTGTGTGTTTATAAGGATGTACATAGAACCATTGTATGTATAGTATTAACCACTGTATAAAAAAGGCTTTTATAAGAATTGAAATTTTGCAGTTGTAATACAAAGGTCATTTCATTCACATTATCGTATGAATTTTCGAAGTATCTTATGCTTGTATCAAAATATGTAATATTATTGTAATTAATAAAGTTTTCATTGTGTGTATTTTTTCTGGCATGAAAACATGGTCGTCCCAGAGGAACGCAGGGTCAATCGGGATTGAGTGAACAATAAGGGGAGTCTGTTACACTCTGTGTAACACAGTAACTTTATTTCTAGTGAATGCATTTTGAAATATACTCAGCCAAATTAAAAACTTGACACTCGGGATTTTTGGGACTGGATTTTTAATATTTGGTTTAAGGCAACTTTTTTAGTGTTATGTTGTGCACAGACGACCTTGACATCAACAGAAAGCAAGAATACGTCTCGCCGAAAGTTCTTGACATTGATAACGTTTGTGATGTCACAGTACCCTCCAAAATGAAATTCACAGACTTGAAGAACAATCGGAATAAAGTGTTTAGTAACGGTTGTGACCTCCTCTAGCGTCTCGTACTGCCACACAACGTCTTCTCATGGATCTCAGAACATTAGTAAACACTACCCGAGGAAGACGTCGCCACTGCTCAGCAAGAGCATGTTGAAGGTCCTGCAACGTCAGTGGTGGATTCACTTGCTGGCGAACACGTCGACCCAGTTCGTCCCAGATGTGTTCAATAGGATTAAGGTCGGGGCTAAGCGACGCCAATAAAGGACTTGGACACCGGCATTTCTTAAAAAATTCTGGGTAGCAATTGCTGTATGGGGTCGAGCATTGTCTTGTTGAAACGTTAGTCCAGGTCCATGTCTCTGCATAAACGGAAGAAGAACAGGTTGCAAAATCTAATCCCTGTAATGGACAGCATTTAAGTTCCCTTGGACAACAACAAGAGGAGAACGTCCATGTGCACAAAAAGAACCCCAAACCATGACGCTGCCGCCACCAAATCGGTCAACTTCTCTGGCGCATACTTGAGCGTAACGTTCACCTCGTCTGCGGTACACTCGGACCCTGCCATCGGCAAATCTCAAAGTGAATCGAGATTCGTCACTAAAGACAACCGAATTCCACTGTCTTTGAGTAAATCTTATGTGTCTTGTGGCCCACACAAGTCGGTTACGGCGATGAAGAGGTGTCAATATTGGTCCATTATAGGGCCTCCGAGCTCGAAGACCAGCAGCCTGCAAGCGATTTCGAACAGTTTGTGCAGTTACCCTTCCAACAAACATCTCTCTACTTGTGGAGGTTGCAGTGACAAATCTGTTTCTAAGATGACGTAATCGTATTGCTTGATCTTCCTGGAGTGACGTCACAGGTGGCGCTCCCGCCCTTGGGCGGTCGGCAATAGTTCCAGTTTGAAGCACTCTCATTCTAAGATTAATTATTGTCTGGCGTGAACAATTAAAGGCTCTTGCAACAGTGACCACAGACTCACCAGCATAGAGCCTACCTATAGCACGTAGACGTTCTACATTGAAAGGCGCGGCATTTTCTAACAAAGATGAAAATAACAATTTTAATTTGTTTTTCCAGTTCAAGTTACGTGTGCGTGTTAAGTTTAAGCAAACTTGCATCGATTGACCTCACGAGTTTGTGTTTGCACGTATTTTTCAGGTTTTTCATCTTTATATGCTCAAAAGTCACGTGATCCACGTGACTTTACAATTTTATGAAATTAAAGGCTTCTTACTACTTACTATCGTTAGAAACACTTTAAAATTTATTTGACTTACCAGAAAAAAAAATTTGTTGAAATTCATCAGTGTCAAGTTTTTAATTTGGCCGAGTATATATCTTCATCATGATAGTCACTCGGCGACGTTCGAACTGCAGTGTCATCATCCGCACCCTCACATTTAGTTAGTGACTAAAGTCTTATGGGTAATTTAAAAACAAAAATAAACAAACGTACGAACCATTACCGCGGTTTTGGTCTCACCCCACTCTAATCCTATAAATAAACAGATATAGTTTCTAAGAGCTTTACTAATTGTAGTTTATATGATAAGTAAAAATTCTCCTGACATACGGACAGTTTGTGAGCGCGAGGTGGTGAATTTCAGAACCTTACTTAACCAAACTGTAAACCGACATTGATTTTTAGATTTTGCGTTTTCGAAATCTTGTCTTTCGGGCGCTGCCGCAGTATTTTTCGGGCAAAAATGATACAGTCTTCTCATGGAAAATTGACCCGTTTCCGTTTCTGTTTGATTTACATTAAGATAATTTCAAACCATCTTTTTATAAAACTTGAACAAAATGTTCAAAACTATCATAGGTAATAGCCCCCGGATATCGCTGAAACTGCGAATCCGTGAAATGTAAATGTGATCACAGGAATCTGACCTTCTATCCGTATATATATACATACACCGTGTCGTACCAGACAATATATAATAAAAAACAAATTGTCTGGTACGACATGGTGTATGCATATATGTACGGATAGAAGGTCAGATTCCTGTGATGTGATAGTAGTCCATGTCAACGCAAATTCTTGGTCAAGGTGTAATATTTTACAGATCCGGTAAATTTGATAACCAATTTTTTTTAAGCCTACATTTTGTAATCACTCTCACTGTGCAAAATGTAAACTTTGTTTGGTTATCTGAGCAAGCTTATTACAAATAACTTTTCATTTTAAAACAAATAATGAAATATTTTTTTATTTTAAATCGGTATATATTCACGTGCGATAGTTTCGTCTTACATTCTTTGCTGACATTTCAAAGCGGGTGTCTGAAGAGAAGTTTCATAGAGAACATTACCTATGCCGACCAAATATAGTTCTTCAAATAATGGCTGTCGGGTAACAAAATACACGCCCAAAGCCAATAACTCATTCAATCATTTGGCGATGATGATGAACTCAAGGCAGTTACTGAGGTGTGGCTGAGGGGCCAGTCAGAAGACTTCTACCAAAGGGCATAAACAGTCTCAAAGACAAATGGGCAAAGTGCATCGAGGTCCAGGGAGATTATATTGAAAAATAAAATCAATATCACAACCATTGACTTCTGTTTTATATCCACTTCTATGAACTTATTGACTTCCCATTCAAGGGCAGCGTCCCTTTTTTGGGACGACCCTACAAATCAAAATTTAAACAAAAAAAATCAAGATATTATTTAAAGTAACAATATTAGTATAGTACATAAAGAGCCTAATTGATATTGACTAGGAAAAAAGTCACATGGAGTTACCTCCCCTTCCAAGATGGCGTCCGTAATGACACTATAGTCTTTATAGGATATCTATGAATGACACAGCCTGCAAAATGCGAAAGCCAAAAAGGTCAAAGGTCAGTAATCCTTTTACAATATATATTTCGGGAAACTTTTACGATCATATTAAAGGTTATGTGTTCTAGGATCTCAAATATGACTTTGTCCAAGAATAATCAATATAGATTACCTTTAGTGAGCTGAATAAAGTCTGTCCCATTTTTGGGACGCTGCCCATTAAAGGGCATGTTTTTCACATTTGCCATTTTGTACATACTAAGTTCCGAATAGTGAAATTTTTCAATTTTACAGCACAGATAGTGTTTTGTATAATTTTACATGAATTTTTAAAAAGTTACTTTGTTTATTTTTTTATAGGTTACTGAGTGTAAATGAAGCCTTGGATCCGATATTGGATGACGAGGACGATTTAAATGGTGCCGATATTTTTATTCAACCCCCCAATAAATTAAGTAGGAGAATATGTCTGGATAAACCAGAAGAATTTTTCGTCTCCTGTAATTTTTTAACGCCGGTTGAAGAGATTTAGTAAAAATAGACAGCAAAATGGGACCAAAATTAACAGATTTTTAAAATTTGACCGACTTTAAACTACCAAAACTTCAATTTCGTGACATTTTAGATACTATATTAAAAAGTCAAACAAATTTGATATCTCGCCCAGGATTGGGTTAATATCAATGAAATGTTGATAAGATTGTATGACATGTAACCAAGGGCAAAACTCTATAAGGCTCTGTCTCATTAACTAGGGGATCCTGGGCGCGATCCCACTGTTGGCCAAGAAAGTTCCCTTGAATTTTGGTTTCCCCTTGTCAGTGGTGCAGAACAGTAGGGTATTAAACCCCATTTCATTTATTTTGTGAAACAAACACTGTTGCCCATCGACCTCGATGTCAAATGCCTGTAACATCATAGGCTGTAGCTTTTTGCTCAATATTCCGTTGGTTCTAACCTTTATAGGCACATAGGGGACCGCATTTGGCAATTCCTCATGATAATTTTGTAGGGGGATGACCGTTTAGATTTGCTATGGGGATTTGATGTTGACTGGGGTCAATATCTCACTTCCGACACAATGATTGCTCTGCAGAAAGACACTTTACATCTCCTATCCCTCCGCTGTAATATTATCAGTGTTACCCAAACCTGCTATGAAATTACAAATTTGATCCCTTTTCTCCAATTCTAGACCAAAAAGTCAACCAATAACTGCAGGAAGAGAGGAGAAAAAAAATTAAGGAAACAAGCCAGCAGTGAGGCTGATGTCCCCCGCCGAAATCCCAAAATAAATAGATGACACATATTAATTAATAGCACATTTAATTTTTTCAAAAGTAACAAGCAGTCAAACTGATTATCAACTATACACTTGTTTCATCACTCTCTATCAGATAAGTTATCTTGTCCCAAAGCATCGACCAATGAAATTGCTTAGCTCTGCTTAGCTTTAGCTCGAAATGTTAATCATTGAACTCAGTCAAGACATTCACTTAATAAACATCTACATCAAGTTTAAACATTCTACCTCAATTAAAAGCAGAGTTGTTATGTTCCAAAGTCTTGACCCATCAAATTATCGTTATCGTGAGCCAAAGCAACAACCAACCAGATTGCTTATCTCTGCTTACCATAAGCAGACAATGTTTATCATCGAACGCCATCAATGCATTCACCTAATGAACGCCTACATCAAGTTTGAACACCCTACCTCAATTAGAAGCAGAGTTATTGTGTTCCCAAGTCTCGAACAATCAAAGTGCTTATCGCTCTGCTTACCCTGAGCAGAAAATGCTCATTATCAAACTTAGTCAAGGTATTGATGTGATAAAACTATACACCAAGTGTCCTCATCCATTCACTTGATTTGATATTTGTTTATTTGGTACAAAGTCTATTTTCTGTCTTGTTCGCAGGTATATCTTGTAGATTTTTGTTTTACGTGTAGTGTGGTCCTCCTGCACTTACTAATATATTAATTAGAACTAAGTTATCGCGTCCCAAAGCATCAACCAATGAAATTGCTTATCTCTACTTGCCCTAAGCAGAAAATGCTCATCCTCAAACTCCTTCACGGCACTGACCTAATAAACACTTACACCAGGTTTGAACATTCTAGCACAATTAGAAGGAGAGTTATTGTGTCCCAAAAAGTGTGACGGACAGACAGACAGACGGACCAGCCCATTTGAATAGTCCCCCTGCCTTTCGAAAGGCAGACGGACCAACCCATTTGAACAGTCCCCCTGCCTTTCGAAAGGCAGGGTACAAAAATTCTCTAACTCGCACTACATCGTGAAATAAGGGAAAATAATTACACAATGGATATTATAGACCAGTATACATCAAGTCAATTGGGGGAGAACTTTAGCCTCATAAAGATAAACATTGTATAAATTTCCAAGTTAACGATTAATAACATTGCCTTTTGAGCATCCATCACCAAGTGTGTGTGTGTGAGGAAAACCAACCCGAGTCAAACTACATCCTGACCAGAAATAACTATAGAATAGGATAATCTTTGTAGATAAACATCCCCACTGAAACGTGTTTGCGAAGTTGACATTATGTCTTAAAACTTGTATGTTACATTTGATCTTGTTTATAAACTAGAATATAAATAACATCCCCACCTCAACCACAAATAAACAAATTTGTAATGAAGAAAGGAAAGCTTTATTTTTTTTTTTGCAACAATATCATTACATCCACAACCCCTAAATATATTGATATCAAGTTTATACTTATACAAGTCAACATTATGCTGTATATAATAATAGTAACAAAATCGTTCATTTTAACAATTCAAAAAGTCTGCTTTTTGATATCTTATCTCCAATAAAAACTTTTTTTCTTTTTTTTTTTTAAAAACGCAAACTTTTAAAGTAATATTAACAAAATAGGTATCACTCAAAGTGAAATGTTCTTGAAGATTCACATTAATCTTGGAAAAGGTAAAGACATAATGAATTAATAGCACTATAGATGATCAAATTCAACTGTAAGCTTTACAAAATGTACATTCAGGTTTTTCTGCTTCAAGATGTATTTAATATATACAATTTTTATAATGAATGGCAAAAAGATAATTTTATTTGAGGTTGTGTGATATAATAACTATGAACACACTGAAATGTATATTATAGCTAAATAGCACACCAATTTCAATCTATACTGAAATAAGCCACATTTGGAAAAAATAAATCTCAAATAATGCAATCAATTAAATCCAAGGAGTAAAACAAAGATTTTTATTTTACATTCAGGTTTTTAACGTTTTTTTTAAGTAGAAACATACAACAAAGTATTTTTACCAATTACTTTTATTTTGTAAGTAAAGAACTAAAAAGAAGTTTTTTAGGTAAACAATTCTGAGAACATCAAGAGTTCATTAATCACTAATATGCACAGTTAGCATAAAACATTATTCAACAAAGAAAAATCTATTTTACATTATTTCTGGTAAATATACAATAATTTCATACATAACCCGGTAAATTATTTCGCTAAAATAATGTACAAAAAAAACCACATTCACAGAAGCAAAATCTTCAGAGAATGTGAATTAAAATATTTCATATCACAGTTTCTCAAAGACTCATGAGTCAGACATATAGAACTCAATAGTTTTTTTAAATTTAATTTAAAACACAATGAGGAACAACTTTCTAGTTGGCAATGAAACATAAAGTCTTTTTTGAAATAAAATTATTTGATTACACAAATAAATACTAAGAAAAAGCCGTCATCAAAATCCATTTAAAGTAACTGATCGTTTATCTCGATGTTTCGACCTGGCCTTGGTCCTTGCTTTGAAAGCGGCAGCTTTATACATATTCTGAAATGATGAAAATTATATTTACTAACATAATAACAATGACTAACATAATAATAATAGAAACAGATAAAGATAATGAGAGTAAGGAGTTTTAGGCCAAATACAAGTAAAACTACCTTTTAAAAAATATTCAAATCTATAGATTGTAAATTATTCGGTTTAATATAATTGATCCAGAAAAATATATTTGTTCAAAAATTATTCAAATCCATCAGTCTTACAGAAGACTAAATTGTACATTGTTTAATTTAACTGACCCAGTTCTACATCTGGCCAACATGATATTTATTAGATAATATTATATTTATTAGATTAAATAATATTTCTACTTACTCTCTCATGTTTGGATAATTTGGTTTTTACAGTTCCTACTGGTATAACAGGTCCAAGATCAAATATTTCTCGTAATAATTCATTAAACTGGAAGAAACAATGAGATAATCATTAAGCATTTTTATTTCCACATTTCAAAATGTGATATCATTACAAGATCCGATTTTTCATGCAACAAGCAATTACAAGGGCTAAACTAGATAAAAATAAAATTTGCAAGTCTTTCTGGCTAGATATTTATAAAATAAATTAGTTCTGTTCAAAAAGTTTAAGAATAACTACCTGTAATTGTTGATTAATACTAGGACCCATTACTTGACAAAATGTATCATATTGTTTCTTTCTAACCCAACTATTTAATATTAACTGTTCACTTCCAAATTTAACACAGGTTTCAGGAACATCAGCTTCCTAAAATATATATAATTAACAATACATAAGTTTCAAATGTCAGATTATAAATATTCTCAAAACATTACAGCTTAGTTACTGTTAAAACATAAAGGAGAAAAATCCAGAGTTGTCATAACACCAATCCTAACCAAGAAATAAGACACAATTTAGGAAGAATTTTTTTTCCTGATGAACCTTACAGACATAAGTTGATATTAAAGCAACTCCAGATTACAAAACTACAGAAATAATTTCTTTAAAAAAAGGTTCACACCCTAAACAATCGACATACTTGTTTTCAATTGCCCACAGTGTACAAAAACAGAGGCAGGCCATGCCCACATCCAATATATGGCTTGTCAAACACAGTGTCCACATATGGCTAGCAATATTTCAACTACCAATTACCTCCTGACTGATGGACGTTTTTTCCACTATCAGCTTACTGAAAATATTATTGCTACACAATAATGATGTCTGATCAGGTACATATTATTTTACTAATGAGACGAAATAAGTCAACCATGATGTACTTTTACTCTTGAAATAAGAGAAAAACTGCCTTACCCCCAAACAATAACAAATGTACCAACACCAACCAATTTTTTTCTTATTTGGTGAAATGTTTTGCACAACATAGAAACACCAAATAATTTTCTGCATCATAAAGTCCAGTATTATTGTTCCAAAATATATCCAAAGCATCAATAAAACTGTTGTTCTCTCTATCAAATAGGTATTTTTTTCACTTCAAAATAGTCACCATCTTGCTGTAATTTATGACGACCAAGGGACATAAGCAGTTTTGTCCCTTGATGTTATATCAACAACATAGAATTGGTTGGTGTTTGTAGATTTGTTTTGCGATTGTTTAGGGTGTTAACTATTTTTTATTTAATTATTTCTGTAGTTTTGTAATCCGAGTTTAGCTTTAATCTAAGAACTTACCTCTATGGTTCTAAGAATATCTCGGAAACTTGATCGTTGTTGTTTTCTTTCTTTTCTGGCTTGAGATTTCTGACAATCTGTGGCAAGATTCTTTAATAACTCACATAAATTATCAATATCATCACCTTCAAATTCCTGTAGAAATAAATTGATTTAGTTACAAGTGGAAGAACCAAAAGTGGTCTTTCTTCTATAATGCACTAAATTAAAGGGGCATTATGGAAGATTAGATCAAGAGCTGACAGTTCTCGCTATAATGGTTAACAAGCCAACAGTGAGGCTGATGTCCCCCGCCAAAATCCCCAAATAAATAGATGACACATATTAATTAATCGCACATCTATTTTTTTCAAAAGTATCCAGCAATCAAACTGATTATAAACTATACACTAAGTTTCATCACTCTCTATCAGATAGAATCAAAGTTATCTTGTCCCAAAGCATCGACCAAGGAAATTGCTTATCTCTTCTTAGCTTTAGCTCGATATGTTAATCATTGAACTAAGTCAAGATGAACATCTACATCAAGTTTAAACATTCTACCTCAATTAGAAGAAGAGTTGTTATGTACTAAAGTCTTAACCAATCAAAATGCTTATTGCTCCTTAGCCTAAGCTGAAAGGTCTCATCATCGAACTTAGTCAGGGTATTGATGTAATGAAACTATACACCAAGTTTCATCACTCTCACTTAATTAGAACTAAAGTTATCGTGTCCCAAAGTATCAACCAATCAAATTGCTTATCTCTGCTTACCCTAAGCAGAAAATGCTCATCTTCACACTCCATCAAGGCATTGACCTAATAAACACCTACACCAAGTTTGAACATTCTGGGTCAATTAGAAGGAGAGTTATTGTGTCCCAAAAAGTGTGACGGACAGACAGACAGACGGACGGACAGACAGACAGACGGACGAACCCATTTTAATAGTCCCCTGCTTTCTGCGAAAGGCGGGGGACAAAAACTAGATAATGTGAAGGGAATATGCTGAAAATTTCAGTCAAATTACCTCACTCTGAGCCAAGAAATCTTGGTTTAAAATAACCCCTGTAGTCTCGATTGTTATGGTTACTGTCGTTACGATAACAAACAAAGTCTCGATTATCCATGGTTAATCATCAACCTTTGTTGAACCGCAGATCAGATTCAAATCTGTTGAAACCCAAACACATCAGATGGCATCAGGAGTTTTTCAGTGATATTTAGGGAAGACACATTGGTTGTTCATAAAGGAATTGTTTCTCTACAGGTATCCTGTAGTAGCTGCAGTTTATTTGGTTCTATAGTCTGGGAGAAGAAATTCTCACTTAAACTTAAGTAATACAAAACTACGGAATTGCATATATCCTAGTGAATATAATACTTGCTGTGTGCCACTAGACCACATGTGCCGATTTATTTACTTAAGTTTGTTTCATCAAGTAGAGTTGCCTATGCACAGTTCTGGCAAGAAAATTTAGACAGGCTAGGTTTTTGTAGCTTATAAAAAATAAATATAAATAAGACCTACCTCATTAGTCTCTCTAGCTAATTCATACATCATAGCTATAGTTTCTCCAGCACTAATCTTAATATCTAAATCTTTACTATATAACAGATCAGATAGTTTTACTAAATGACTGAAACCAAAAACAGATACAATTATTTATAAACCAATGAAAAAATAAAAACATTTTGTCTTCAGAAATAACTAAACATAGACAATTCTCAACGAAGTGTCGTTTTAATTAAAATAGTAAGTGTCCCATATTATGTTTTTGTGTTATTACGTGTGTCAACTGCTCAAGGTTGCTCAAAGAGGATAAACCTAGAAAGCAGCAAGACTACAAAATTTTGTTGATCGCAGTACAATGTATCATACATTCTTATAATGTAACCCTAAAAATTTATATTTTATATAGTGTTAAAGACTTACCTAGATACTATATCATTTACTATAAAGCCAGGTGCTATAGATAATAATAAACACCATGCTTGTAATGCCTGTGAATGAAAACTACAGGTTTCTGGGTTGTGTGTAGGAACAGATTTATCTCCCTTTCTGTAGGAGTTCCTGAATACGTCTTCTAATGCCTTCATTACACTTTTCACTTGCTGCAAGGTTAAAATTTTTGAATGATATAATACACACATATTAAAATTATCATTATGTTAGAATATTGGAAAGCTGAGATATGGTTTAGGAAGTCTAATAATTAGAAGATGTTTTAAAATTGGATCCAGAGCAACAAATACTAAGGAATTGTTCGAATAATTTCCATCAGAATTCTGGCTAAACATTGATTTCTTATCATTTGATTGGTCCTTTTTCGTTTACTTTTTAATACAACAAACCAACAGTGAGGCTGATGTCCCCCGCTCATATTCTAAAGTAATTAGATGACACATACTCATTAATGCCTATGTATCCTTTTAAAACGTATCGAGCAATCAAACTAATTATCTACACTTAATCTAAGCAGAAAATGTTCAAGATCAACTCGGTCAAGGTTTTGAAGTACCTGGTAGTGAAACTACATGTATATTATTATTATTATTATTATTATTACAGCATATTTATAGTGCACCCTTTCATATATCATGTTCAGGGGCACTTTACAAAGTGACAATGTAAATCACACATAAACAACAAGATTATGGGCATGTTAACGATTGTATACCGAGTCAGTTAAAAGCCTGATTAAATAAATGTGTTTTAAGTTGTTTTTTAAAAGAATATAGAGATGTACAACATCTTGAACTAAATAGTAGATTATTCCATAAAACAGGTGCTTGATAACTAAAAGAGCTCTGACCATAAGAGACTAGTTGAACAGTTTTGGGCTTTAAAAGTAGTTTATCTGATGTACGCAATGTTCGGCCAGGTGTATAAAGTTCTAAAAGATCTGAGAGGTAAACAGGAGCTAAATTATTTAAACATTTAAAAGTAAGTAATAAAATCTTAAAATCAATTCGATATTTAACAGGTAACCAGTGTAAATTATATAAAACAGGAGTTATGTGGTCACATTTCTTAGTTAAAGTAACAAGTCATTTAACTATAAGTAACAAGTAATTTATCTATAAGCTTTAAAGGTAAACCAACTAAAAGCGAATTAAAGTTATCTAATCAAGAAGTGACCAGAGAATTAACAAGTGACTTAGTGGCCTCTACAGTTACACATTTACGTATTTTACCTATATTTCTAATATTAAAATAGCACAATTTACAAATATTATTTACTTGAGCTCCCATAAGCATAAAACTATCAAAGATAGCGCCAATATTACGAGCAGAATAAGATGAAAATATATCATAATTACCAATTACAACAGGGGGGGTTATCTTGTGCAGATTTACTTAATCGATGCCTTGAGCCTAATAACAAATATTCGGTTTTATCATCATTCAATTTTAGAAAGTTCTTTGACATCCATTTTCTAATTTCACTAATACAGTTCTCAAGTTGCAATTTTGATAAATTGAAAGAAGATGGACAATTAGGTGTAAATGAAATATATAATTGAGTATCATCCGCATACAAATGAAAGCCGAGACCATATTTTCTGACAATATCTCCTAATGGTGACGTATAGAGGGTAAATAAAATCGGACCAAGAACAGAACCTTGGGGAACCCCAGATGACAAAACACTTTCCATTATTTAGAATCAAAGTTATGTCCCAAAGCATCGACCAATGAAATTGCTCAGCTCTGCTTAGCTTTAGCGAAAAATGTTAATCATTGAACTCAGTCAAGATATTCACCTAATGAACAAATACACCAAGTTTAACCATTCTACCGCAATTAAAAGCTGAGTTGTTATGTTCCAAAGTCTTGACCCAAAAAATTGCCTATTGCTACTCAGCCAACGAAGAAAATTCTCATCATCACTAATTCGAATTGTCGGGGACAACAAGCCTGATCTTTAGTTGATATCTTTACATGAATTAAATAGAATATGGTCAACTGTGAATGGCATTCTGTAATCACCTACAGTTTCATTGACATAAACTCAGTTATCTGCTTTATCTACAGCTTCAAAATTTTAACGTCATATTCCACCATAAAAATACAAATGTCATAAAAATATTTCTTATCAAGGCTCATTACTTTTGACCCTAATCAGAAAGGTGGTATTCTTCCAATAGTACATACCTCAATTTCATCACAAGCAAGAAAACTACTAATAGCAAGTGCCAATGCACACTGAAAATGAAAAGAATGACTTATTAGTATAAGTAATCTAATTTCCAGGTCTTTAAGAGAAAAACACATTAATATCAATCAATACCTATTCACATCACACAAGATTTCAAATGCATTTATTACATACAGTAGCCTACTCTCCACAAGGTTCAGTTTAAAATCTCCCGACTTTCAGTTTTCATGCCAACATGGTTTGATTTATTTGTCACTAGACTGTGGGAGAAATTTCTCTGAACAAAAAGATTTTAGATTGAAATTCTTGCATTGTAGTGTATAGAGAAATGTACAAACTAATTTAGTCAAGGAATTACAGCATCCAACACAAATTTTCCAACAAAGAATGAATATTACATACCTTTGAGCGAGCTTTAAGATTTACAGAATTATCGGCCATTAAAGTCAACATCAACGGTCTAATTTCATTAAATATATCTTCTATATCTGTTCCTAGTTGTGTGAATAATAAACAAAAACATGTTGCAGCTAATGCTTGTTCATCTCCTTTACCTTTACGTAAACATCTTGTTAAAGAATCACTTAATGTTACTTTCCTGAAAAAAGAAAATTCAAATTGATCAAGGGTAATAATGCTGGTAATTATCTAAAATTGTTGAAAATAAACAGGATTTGCTGTTGCTGTTTGATGAAAATGAATTACTCTGCAATTCTGAAAGACATTATTGGAAATCTTTGAAATTCAATAGGCTTTTACATTTCATGCACATAAACACTCAGATGATAACTCTAGCGTCTTAAGCATTCACAAGCAATTGTGGAAAATGGAACGACAAATGGATGGGAGTTGATAACAATATTGAAATGTATGTGTATAAAATGAGGTGATGAAGTATCACAAGAAACTAATTATCAAGGTGAATTAGCCACAGAACATCTCTGTCACAAGTAAGTGGTATCCAGTGTTTCAGACAGTCAATATACCGTATGTATGACATCTAACCTAACTTGCTACCATAAATTACTCCCTTTTTTTTCTTTAGTGATGATGCATGTACATATCGTCGGTGAAGTGTCAAAAGTGTGTATCTTGGGAAATTAGTCAAATACATTTTTTTGCATTTTTAAAATCTTCCAATTAATATTCACATGTCTGTCTAAGCTGTGTATCTGTACACCAATTAGAACTGTTCTGGGTATCATGTGTCCAAATGATGTATCTTGATTTGTGGAAATTTTGAAATGCAAAAGGTTCTTTTTCTTAATATTTAGAAATTCTTAGATACACTCTTTTGACACTTCACCAACGATATGCAGTTCTGAGGACCCGCTTTCAACATGTGTTTAGCAACTCTATCAGATAATTGTATTTGTTTTATAAGCTTATAACAAATACTAAATTAGAAAATATATTCCAGTTGGCTTACCTGTCCATTAAAAAATCATATAAATAACATTTACTTAAAGCTTTCTTTATTTCATCTAAACAATTCTTTCTTCCTTGAGCACTGAAAATTATGAAATCAAAATGTCACTTGTCAATGAAATTGAAAACCGAGCTAGATATTATTTTTAGCACAAGATTTATGTTTAGTTTAGTGACATAATAAATAATAAGCTTACCTTTTTTGTGTTGTGCCTTCTATATATTCTTTTAACTTGTCTTCAAATAGTTCTTGTGAACTGGTTTCATCTACTTCATCTCCAACTGAATTAAAAAAAAAAGATAAAAGGTCAAAGAAAATAGCCCTCTGTATACATTACATTTATTAAAAATTATATGACCAATCCCTCCATTTCTTCAAACGTGTTCAGGGAAATAGCTAATAGGAGAACTGTATTAAATCTAATAAGCTATTTATGGCTGTATTAAAGAAATGGAAATTTGCAGCTAAACATTTGTTGATTTCTCTGGTTGGTTCTAAGATTTTTCATAAAATGGAAGATAAATATGTAGAATGTGAGAGTTATTACCTGAATCTGGAGTACTTCCTGTATCATCAGACAGGGCACTAACAGTACTTATATTATCCGCTGTATCATACTCATCATCAGTAGGAGGTCGTGATGCAACCAATCCGGCGCCAGACTTCTGGACCTTCGCTGAAAACAAATTAAAAATTTGTCAGAACACCACATGAAGAAATGTGATGGATGAAAATGAAATTTATTCTGCAATATTTTACCAAAGAGCTGTGATAAATGATGAGATGACAAATCTACAGTACATGTTTACAATTTCTGTCTATACCTAGAGTAAGGAAACTGGCATGAGAGAGAGAGAGAGAGAGAGAGAGAGAGAGGGTTTAGTGTCCACAAACTAGATCATTTTGGGACTAAAATAAAGTTAATTTTTTTCTTTAATACTTTGCTTGCGTATAGGGGTCTTTAGCAGTGGGAGGAAACAGGGGGAAACGGAGAAAACCCACAGGATCGGTCAGGCTACTCCTCGTCACGTACAACAGGGAAATCGAAACCATGCTAGTTGACTCAATGACAGACCTTCTGATACAACGCGCACACGCTAACCATTCGCCCATCCACTCCCCCCTAGCAAGCTATAAGCTTATCATGATTCATAAATACAGCAATAACAGAAAGATAAAAGATTTTAATGCTGGATGAAGAGAAAACAGAAATTACAAATATAAGTCATAGAACTCAAACATTTATTTTGCTAGTACACAATACATTGTATTTCCAATTCACAAATACCTCATTAATTTAACTATATGTTTACAGTTAAGCAAGGTAAGCTACATATTATTATATTTAATAACTAGGTTTTCAAGAAAGTACATTAGTAACTATTTATAGAATTATGCTACATTTGTCCTCATCAATAGTAAATTAAAAAGAAAAAAAAAAGCTTGTCTAAATTTCACCAGCAATCTATACGGTAACTGCACAAATTAGTCATACTCATATGATACCAATATTTACCTCCTGGTCCTAAATATGTCATATTTTATAAAACATATGTTAACTCCTCCTTCTGGTATTGTGTACTGGATAAAACTGTTATACATGTATGCTTATATGTGACTATGAACAGATGTTTACATTATACATTGTAGCCGTGTATGTTATAAATAGAATTACAGGTAGTACCGACACACTTTCAACACACTTTCTATTGCACGGTACGAAGCAATAAGTTGCCACTTAAAATAAGTAATCTATTTTAAACAATTTGATTCATTAAAATGTAATTACTGATCTATTTGAATTGTATTTATTGATATTTATGAATTGTCCCGTTTAGTGCTTTAATGTTTTGGTGCTTTCAAATATATAATCTGTCTTTCACTAAATAGAAAATTACATGTATGTATGTGTATGACATTGTCCTTTTTTTTTCATAATTTTCAGGGGTTTTGTTTTCTTCTGTAGGCCTGCTACTGACCTTATTAAATATTAAATGGTCATGTGTGAGCATTTATTTAGAAGGTTGTTGGGCTTGACTAGTACTAGTACTAGTAGTATCAATACTAGATTAGTTTCTAAATCTAATCAATGACCTTTACATGGCTTATTGACCTAATCATACTTTACTTTTTTTTATCAACATTTAGGTAAACACCAATCAGTGTCGCTTGATTAGATAGACCATGAACTCAGAACTGGCTATTCGGACTGGATTAAACTAGTCAAGGGCATGTTCTCCCTTCAACCCTTGTCGACATAATATTGACCAAATTGAAATTATAAACATGGTTAGGACTGGGCATATGTAAACAGTACAATAAATTTTGTTTTCGATATAACTGAAAACATTTATTTAGGACAGGTCTGGTCGTTGACTGGAAAATCAGTGAGACACGTGTGGCCCGCGTTTTCTAATGCTGGTTGTGAATGAATGAGACCAGAACATTCTGAGTCCTGAGTGAACTAAAAAGGCAGAAATATGGCTCACCTCTTTTCTTGTTTTTCGGCATTATCTGTTTGTTCTGAACAATTTCCAATTATTCAAAAATGATCCTTTATATTTCAGCCCTCGTATATGAAAATATGAGTGAAAACATATGGCGCAATCTAAATAATTATAACTTATCGACATAGACATCGTCAAGACTGATATGGCTAAGTCAATGAGATTTCTCTCACTTGTTTCTAAAAATAGATTTACCGCAAATCGAAAGGTACGGACGTGAATAACTTCGCATTAGAAAAAACCCGGAAAAATAAATAATATCATTGTACAAAAGTTTTTATTTATAGATAAAGTTAATTAATATTTTACACATTAAACTAAAATTAAATAATCCAAAAGTGAAAAAAAATAAAATACAAACCTGTTTGAACTTGTTACCATAAATAGTGCATGACGATATAGACGTGGAATTTACTGCAATATGATTGGTCGATGGAGGAAATTTCGTATGGTTGACGACATAAACGTATTGGCAACGATGCTTGGTGTTATAAAAAGTGTTGGCAAGCCACGCGCTCTTATTACCGAGAAACTTCACAGAGGGAAGCACGTTTGTTGAAGTTCTCTATTATAAAGTATTATGTTAAATATTATTTGTAATCACAGCATAATGGAATCAACATTTAAAAAGAAAACACGGAGAGGAAAGCGAAGTGGTCGGAAGACGAGAATTGCATTGTTTCAGAATCAGAAAGAAAACCAGGGCAACTGTGAAAAGGGTGCAAACAACAATGTGAATGGTAAATATTTTGATTCCCTTGGAAATGGCTGTGTAACTGTAAACTGTGATAATAATGGCGGCGCACCAAGCAATGGTATAGAGAAGCAGTGGGACAGACTCGGATTCGTTGAGAGCGATCTTGTTTCAACTGTAGTTCACAAACCAGTTGTTCATTTTAGATCTAATCGTTGTTCATTTATCCGACCACGATACAGTCCTAAAGCTCCACACAATTCAACTCAGTTTTTAATGGGAGACCACGAAAGCTTGATGTGCAGAAATGACGATGATGTTGAATTTTATGAACCATCATATCCAGAAAAGGACAATTTTATAAATTATCAAATAGAAAATAATGATTTTGATTTATCGAATTACACAAATGAATTTTCTACTTCTAACTCAAACGGTATTGAAGATTTCGATTTATCAGACAATTTTGAAACACGTAATTTTGATGAAGCAGATTCTGTAATGTTTATGTTGAATGACTTCAATCAAATGTACGATTCAGTCCGGGTTGAACAATTATCAAGTTTATCTAAATGTGAACTTATTGATGCTGTCAAAAAACTTGAAAATGAAGTGAATATAAGAGAAAATAAACTTATTCGTACACCATCCAAATCATTAGGACTAACACCCAAAAAATTAAGTAATAGAAAATTGAATTCTAATTTAAAAGACTTGTTAAGTGAATTAGATCAGTTAAAATCTGAAAATTTGAGTATGAAAAAGGAAATAGAAGACCTGCAGAAAATGGAAATTTAATAGGAACTGAATAAAATAATGTGACCAATACCGTCCAGTATTACAGTGACAGTGTATCAATGACACTCCCAGAGAAGGAATCGGTCTGGTCGGCAGAGCAGCTCTAGATAATAGATGGCAAAAGTCAAAGATGGCACTGGATAATTTTTCATAATAAATCATAGTTTTATGTTCCATAAATTATACTTGTCATGTAGTCTAAATAAGATTACATGAATCATATGTAAACTTCATTAATATTAAATTATTTTATAAAAAATTAAAATATCACATTTGTAAGATTTTATTCAGAATAATTGTTATGATGAAATTATTTTATTATTCATATTCTATTTGTTAAAATTTGAAGAAAAATGATCTAAAATAATTTATGATTAATCAAATAATTTCATGTAACAATATTCATTTTGTTCAAGTTAATATTATCAGATTTATTTTTCAGTTTCAACTGTTCTTCTGGTTGATCACAACTAAGGGGCAAGTCTTGATAATCTGGACTTAAATAAAAGGTAATAACAGGTGGTTTTATACTTGGTAATTATATAACACTCCAATTATCTGATCTGCTCTGTATTATGTTAATCAAGGAGTCTCTGTGATTGTCCAGTCTTTCATTTCATGAGGAAAATGAAGCCCCAATTTTACGACCACATTAAAATGGTCGTATGATTTATATTGCAAAGATTTATTAGTGAATTGAAGCTCCTGATCACTTGGACTGAACATTCTAGCATAAGTCTGATTTTAAATGTGACTAAATTTCTGCAAGCATGTTTGTATTTATTATTCCCCAAATTAGATGATTAGTTTTTCCCTTTTTAGATGGAAATCCAACACAGCAGAAATTCATTCAACTTGGAGAGATGATGAAAGCTAGCAAAAGCCAAGGGTACCGCAAAGCTGGGGAAATGGTAGTACATATCTGTTTAAATAAGTATGACTCTTTCATTGAAAGAATTCAAAATTGATCAATATAACTTGGTGAATTGGTTTTTTCAGATTTGAAATTTTAAAAGTATACATACATGTAACTAACTTACAAAAAAGAGGCATAATCAAAGGCCTGTAATTTTAATTCTTTTAATGGGAGTCACATAATTAAAACTTGTATGAATATTGAAATATTACCAAAAGTTTATTATAGAAACTGATCAATGAGTTGCATAGTTGGGAGTTAGAAATTACCTTTTACTTGGGGGTCCTTTATTCAAGAAAACTTTTGAACAATGCAGGGCCCTTATTCACGAAAACTTAAACTAAGTTACAACCGAAATTTTAAGAAATACTGCAACTTCATTGGATATATGCAAATTGATTTTACTGGTCAGCCAATCGAGTTGCAGTATTTCTTAAAATTTCGATTGTATCTTAGTTTAAGTTTTCGTGAATAAGGACCCAGCATTTTCATCGGCCTAGCTAGAGCTAATATTTTTAGTATGATATTAGTACTCAGAATAGGACACCCTTTGGTATCTAGGTACCTGTAAACATGGTTTTATGCTAACCAGCAGCCGATTTATTTTGTCTGACCGTCATACGGGTAAATTTGTTTGTCATTAGGATAATAATTGATGCATACACTGTACAAATTTCTGGCATTTCTAATGTAAATTTACCATATTGCAAAAAAACTTATCTTATCAGTCAACATGTTGACCAGCAAGAAAATGTCAGGATAGATATTGCACCACTGGTTAAATTAAGGGGGTGCTGACAACAAACATCGCCTTTTGTCATGCCTGGAGAAAAATTTCACAGTTAAAAAAAAAAATACATACAAAAGAAAAGTTACATATGAAATTTATTTATTAACACAGTGCCATTTATGTTTCTATCTTATTCTTAATAACCATTTATTGACATTTTGAGGTCAATAATTTCCAGCTGTTGTGTCAAGGAGTGGGAGAAACAGCTGTTGTCGGCCAATTTCCAACAAAACAATTCACAATATATTGATTTGCTGTCTGAAGTAATATACATCGCCTTGATGAGTGGGTGGAAAGTTTGTTTCAATCTACAAGTAATTACTCCCACAATCTACGCATGTGCTTATGATTATAATCAATGAAATAGGTCTTTTGATAGAACTGATCATACAACTGATTCTCTGTTGGCACTTTCAAATGAACTGTCGTAGCCAGTAACCGTTAAACGATTTAAATCTCCTTGATTAAAAGATAATCTAATACACGTAGCTACGTTGATAAATATGATGCCATAGATGTTGAGGCTATATCTTGTCGCTGTATAGATTCATCTAGTATATTTACACATTCGTGAACATTTTCTAGTGCTAGCTGGCTTGTATGTACTGCAATGAAAAATAAAATGATATAATCAATGAGGCTATTTATACAAGTATTGACAATTTTTCTATCCATCCTGGTCAACTAATGCATAATCATTAGCATATATATTCTGCTTCCCATTAAAAAAAAATATAATTCAACAGAGCCATGTCCGTATTCAGAAGAGATGACCCAGGTAAGTTTAATATGTACTAAGTTATTCATGTGGTGATGTCAAGTATTGATATTGATGAACGTTTATAACTGATTAAAATATAATTACCAAAGTTTGTTTTTGTTGTTGATTTATTGTTTACATACTGACCAAGATTAGAATAAGACTGTCTGATGCCCTCTAAACTCGTTAAATACTGAAAAGAAATTATTTTGTAAACTGAGAAAGTCTGTAATTTGACAATTCTTGTATTGTAGCTACAACTGCTATATAGTTTAACCCAATGGAATTGATTGTCACATTCTCGATGGCTTCTTACTTCCATAATATATTATCAGAATGATCAAGACTAAATAATGGCCCAGATGTGTGGCCATGACTGTTATTCTGCCATTGGCAGTCCTTCACGTTTGAGGTGCGCTTTGCGGGAGTCATTTAAAGACTTCTCCTAAATATTGAGATTAACAATTTCATAAACGTGAAGAACTGCATTTGGTAGAAAGTTTCACATACATAAGTTATCGTTTGAGGATGTCTACACAACCATACTCCCTGAACTACATTAGTAACTATTCACCCAATATCTCACGATGAGCCACTGATGAAGGTCATTATTGATAGAGCTCCACTAGTTGTCCTGCTAATATTAGCAGATCCGGTAGTTGTAATGGATGAGAGGGTAACTACAACCATCTTTTAATGTGAAGTCGGCAGGTTTTCTATTTTGTTCAATTTATTGTACTGTAGTTAATATTACAGCGAGTAGTTTATCAATTACTATAAAAGGTATGCATGTACCTATTGCGTACATCTTAATTTGAATGAACAGTATGTAGAATTGAGAAAATAACCAAGACAATTCACTTTGTGTAAAAGTGTTATGGTTCTTATTCAACTCTCACCTCAACAAATATCTTCAAGACGTTGTACACTCTTTTAAAAGCTATTCCTAGATCTGTTAAAACTGGTGGAGTTTTATTACACCATACTCTCATCTCATTCTCGTAACAATAACTAAAGCTAACAACTAATTGAGATAATTCTGATAAAACAACCTGCATGGTTCGACTAGTAGTAGATAGAAAGCTGGGATCACATTCAGAATATGTGAACTGAAAAAAAATAAGAAGACACTGAATTTATACTACTAACCACAATGGTTTCATCTATAATAATTACTGCATAAATGACAAGATACAGCATTTTTAGGTAAAATTCCATTTAGAAATTATTATCAGAATTAGTCTGTATTGACCACATCCAGTTTTATCATCTAAAGCATTCAAAAACTTGGATGTTGCAAAAATTTAAATTATCATAAAAACTGAACCATTTTTGGACTGCTATTCCTTCTACAGAATAAATTTTCACAATATTGTAGTTTGTAATGGAATACCAATCCCTCAAACGACATTCAGTCGAGACTTTAGACTTTAATTCGTCATAATAAATATAACTATCCAGAAAAACACTAAAAGAATGTCATTTTAGAATTTAACATACACTAACAGGTACACAGGCACTGGAATATAGCCCCACCTGAACATGCTTTGCTGAAGCTATTGTTCTTACCGTTTCAGACAATTCCTGTAAGGTTAGGGTTTGTCTGTCTAGAGTATTAGATACAATATTAGCTTGTTCAATTAGTTTCTGGATATCAGGTGATGGTGGCCTACAAATTTAACAAAACAATTTTATGGTGAAAGCCATCCTCAGTATCCCCGGTGGTATTGCCATGGGTTCATTCACGGGGTTTTCACAAATTCAAATTATCTGCCCTTGATCATAGGTTAAATCTACGAACCAATCAAAAAAAAAGTTTACATACAAGTCTTGGCATCATTGTTTACATTTACCACAATAATCTTTGTTGCAATAAAATGTGAGTTGTTTCCTTTTGCCCACTCGATTGGTCTATAAAAATGGCACAATTTGACTGTGAATGAACCAAGGGTATAGTGGAGTAGAACAGAACAATATCACTGGGGATAGCAAGGATGGTTGAGAGCATATTATAGCATAGTTTTGTTTAAGATACCTATTCCGCAGGACTAAAACCTTTAATCCAATTAATTCCAAGTTGGTTGAATATCGAAAGCTGGCATTTAGGTTTTGTTTTCTTTATTATATACTAAATAATCAATTTTGAGTGGACTAAGCCTCGAAAATTTGATATTGTTCGAAAAATGCAATTGATGAACGTCTTAAAAATAAAAAAACACACAAAAGTTTATACAGCTTCCCACTTTAAGGCATGTGTTTCACATAAATAAAATATCTTAACAGCAAGGGAAATGAAATGAAATGAAATGGGGTTTAACATCCTACTGTATGCTTTTAAACTGGGCTAATGAAGACAGGCATTCGCCATACAGTGTGCTATTAGGGAAATTTTGCCCGGGCAGTGGCGCTATGGCCTACTCTTATATCGAATTCCAACTGCCATCCGAATGACTAGACAGCTGCCCTTGTCAGGCCCTCCGTCCTGCATCACTGACAAGGGGAAACCACGCCGAAAAATCTGGATAAACTCTCTCGGCCAATGCAGGGATCGAACACCCGACCTCCAGGCTAGCGAGCCAGTGTATTACCCGCTTAGCCACGTGATCCCCCTAACATCTGATGTACGTAATTTTATTTTATGAGGAGATCCAAAATGAAAAAATCAAATCTAACTTACTTTTCTTTACTCAAACCTTTCTCAACCATTTTAGTTTCAATATTTTTATTTATATCTGGTGGCAGAAGATTAACTGATGTTTTGAATAGTGTTGACATTTTTTCTTCTAAAACTAACTGATCTATATAATTACAATCTGATGTAAATTGATCTTGAAGACCTGAAGATTCACTAAAACAAAATGTATAAATAAATTAAACAAACTGATTGCATAGATAGAACTCTGGGTACCATGATTCGTGGTGTTCAAAAATAATATGATGTAGAATGATGCAAGGACAACACATGAAATAAATTTCATTTGCATGTTTTAGAATAAATAGACTGGGGCTAGATCCTGCAAATTGTCTAAATAATGCATTTAATCATTTACAAGCTCATGTAGTCTAGGGATGAGTTCTTATTTATATATGATGCTTCAAGGTAACATTCATAGCGTTGTGACCTAGCAGTAAATACACCTATTGTCACACTTAACATGCCCAAAAATGAGACAATAATTCCCTGTATATTCCAAAATCTATGGCTGTGCTATAGACCTTCATGTATAATATTTGGGTTAATTAACATGCTAAGCTGTATAGGTATGGGCCCACCATGTGACATTATCACTATAATACATCTATCTATACCTACCAAACTATGCCAGGACTTTGAAATATTTTTTCTCTAGGATCTTCAGAAGTGTCCATTATACAGACCAAGTCCAACAATTGATCCATGAAAGCTGTCTGCTTAGAACCTATTGTAACACCCTATAAATTAGTCAAATATATAAAATCAAATCATACTGACAGTTCATATTACACATGTATAAAACACATCGGAAATAGATATGCAACCCTATTGTAAGAGCTCACTAATTTTCAATCACAAATTTTCTTTTAGTTACCGTAGTCAAAGTTATGCCAGGTTTGAATTATATGATATTATATAATGGATCCTTATCTACCAACCCTTCAAACTTCAAGTGACTTTATTAATAATATTAACTAATATTCTTGAAGTTAAAATTCTTGAATTTCATATTTTAGTTAGTAATGGCACAAACTCTGTATTGAATAGGATACGTATAAATTTTTACCCTTATAAGATCCACATCATCGTATCTACATAATCCAAGAGTACTTGATACATACAGTAATCCTAGAAAAAAACCCAATAAGTTATATCAATAATTAAAAAAAATGTTCCCAAGAGGTCGTCTTCTTGTCACATTAATCTTATTTTTATCTGAAAATATGCTAAGAAAAAGAGAATGATAGCAATGATTATATACTTTTATTGGTAGTTTATCAATGAATGGTGATGTATTTCAGATCTAGACTGCCCAGGAAATATATCTACAAAAATAAGAGTTATTTAAAATTTGGTCCATTCTCAATTCTGGTCCCTGTAAGATAATGGTACTTGCATGTTTTATAATAAAGTAAATAGCTTACTTTGAATTCTAGAATCCATTTTTGATTCTATGGGTGCATGTTCTGGGTCAAGAAGCTCATTTAATTTGGAATCAAATCTGAAAAAATAGATCAGTTCTCTGATTATAGATAGAAATTGAAAATTAATTAAGTTTAAAATACTTCTGTTACAAATGACTGGGGATTTAGTAATCATTTCGCAAAAAAAACCCAAACAACATACTTTCACTCCCAAGGTGACATTATTAAGCTAGCCATCTTTGTTGACAGCTGGCAACACAGGTTTAGACTATAACTGAGACTACTACAAATACAGACCTTGTTACCAGACTTCATTCTGATCTAATAGTAATAACCAAACCTTTATTCACATCCATTCCTTGAATATTTCACTTTTAACTTTCTTCTGAGAGTCTGAGCTCGGGATCATAAAAGAAGTTAGCAATGAAACTAATTTACTCACCAGTTGACACATCAATTTAGCTTAGCACATCAAAATTTTGTTCAAATTGTAAAATTAACGATGAATATCTTCTTTGAGTAACATTTAGCAATTGACACCCGCAATAAACACAAAAACATAATATGGAACACAATTACTATTTTAATTAAAGCCACGTTTCGTTGAGGGTTCTCTCAATGTTTTCAAGCAAATAATTGTGTTCTATATTATGTTTTTGTGTTTATTGTAAAATTAAGGTTTTCTGAATGCTCTCATATAGTTTATTCTATTACATTCAAGGATGTAAAATTATGGGTAGGCCTATGGTATTGCTTGTTGAAAGTAATTACAGACTGGGTATTAGATTGAAGGTAATAATGGTTAACTCATTGCTTGTTGAAAGTAATTACAGACTGGGTATTAGATTGAGAAATTAAATGAAATGAAATGGGGTTTAACGTCCTACTGTTCTGCTCCTATACTGGGCTAATGAAGATGGGAAAACGCCATACAGTGTGCTATGAGGTAAATTTTGCCCGGGCAGCGGCACTATCGCCTACTCTTATATCGAATTCCAAATGCCAAGGGATCTTTTACGTGCATTCCAATATATACACAGGACTTCGGTTTTTCTTCTCATGCGAAGGACTAGACAGCTGTCCTTGTCAGGCCCTCCGTTCTGCACCACTGACAAGGGGAAACCACGTCGGAAAATCTGGATGAACTTTCTCGGCCAATGCATGGATCGAACAACCGACCTCCAGGCTAGCGAGCCAGCGTCTTAACCACCTAGCCACCGTAGCTCCCCGTATTAGATTGAAGGTAATAAGGGCATTGGTAGATCATGGACCGTAATATACAGCCCTGCCCATGGGTAGAATCATGTAACAACAAGACTTGATCTCTCAAGATAAGACTGAGTGGTCCTCAACATTGGAAGGCTATGATTTTGAATACCAATGTAATTCACGAAATTGCAGGAATAATTGATAATACATGAACTTACTTGGCAAAAAGCCATTGCAGAAGACGGATCCTGGGTTCACCTGGTTTAAAGATAAGTTCCAAGACCCAGCTTTCATCCACACCTTCAGTATATGGGCATCCTAGTTTCTGGTGAAAGAAAATAATATATGCCTAAATGAGAGGGTGATCAAACAAAGTTCTTCCAATACATGTAATTAAGATTTAAACAGAATTAAATTTCAAATGCATTGTTTCCTCTCTAGAATTATTTTTCTATTTTATTACAATTACTTTGTAATGATAGCCTAGATGTTAAAGGCCCAATCCCTTCCAAATTACAATATTGTGATAGTTTAATCTAGATCCCTAGGCCATCCCAACCCCTAGCTGCAATATTTTCAGCACATATCATCACAGTTTGCATGGAAATATAAGTATTTGTTACAGTTAGCGGATAGTGAAACACTGAAATCTTAATCTTACATGTATCTTACTGTTCAAACAGTTTTTCTATATATTCGAGGCGACATGAAATCACATGCATGTTCTAATTCTGATTCAGTGGCCATTTAAACAACAAAAATAATGTGTTAAATTTTATTAAATTTATGAATTGGTGTGGTAAGTTTCACCTTTTTTTCAATGGGAATTGGTTTATTATATGTTAAGCTATGTGCATTACAGTTTGAGGTCAGTTTAATTGGAAATTAAGGGAGTTATATAATAGGCCAGTAAATGAACAATCCACTACTTAGAACTTTTTCCACTACTCTGATGTCTTCGATCTTGCTCCAGCCACAGAGTAGTGGATCATCCCAAGGCCTTCCTTTGAGCAAGTTTTGTAGTCATTTGACAACAAAAAAGTTACTGGCCTATAACTCCCTTAATATCCAATTACACTGACCCAAAACTGTACTGTACATAGCCTAACATATAATAAACCGATTCCCATTGAAATAAAGGTGAAACCTTACCACATAATTATATGATTTGATTAAACCCAACTGCTATGCGAAATTTCTGTTAATTTTAAAATTGGTGCCAAACCAGAATCACAGGATTTCAATTTCATGTCACTCGAAAATACAGAAAAACAGATTCGGTACGGTAAGATAAGATTAAGATTTCAGTGTTCCACTCTTCACTATTTGTAACATAATTACTTATTTCCATGCAAACTGTGGCGATATGTGTTGAAAATTTTGCAATTGAACTTAATTTTACTTGCTCATACGCCTCGAATAGTGTATCAATTGCAGCCGTGGATAAGAATTATCACGGCTACAAATATTGCAGCTACAGTACTGGCTGGAGCAAGTCTGAGCTTACCATTTTGAATGTGTATTTGAGCCGCGGTCAGATCTAAATATTCAGGCCACCTGCAGATTTCGTTACTTAAAGGAGCTAAATCGCTAATATTTTTGACCTAGAAATTGGCACAAATGGGTCGCAACACATATAATAATGTAATATGAATTTATATAAACTGTTTTACATTCAATCGTGTCCGTTTTACTGTGAATTGTCATCAGTTATTTACGGCGAAATACGCCAGAAGCCTCAACCGTAAGTCAGTTTCTAGCGTCCATGGTTATTCCAGTCAACACCGATATTATTTATTGCGCATGCTCTCCAAATAAGAACATGATATCACCGTTTGACATGACTTGTGGAATATGTCTAGCCCCATTCTTTGAGCACCTTGTTACAAATGGCGCTGAAACGAATTATGGTACACGATTCGTGTACCAATGGTTAAATGTTTATTTTGTCTTAAATATTGGATATCAGAAGCCCATCTTTTCCAGGTAAGATCACAACACCAATGCTGATTTAAATTGCAAAAAAAATTGTGTTTTCAATGTCGAAGATTTTGGATGACATTGAGTTACGGACTTAGCTACTTTAAATAAAAGTTAAAATAAAAAGCCTAAAAGGTGACAAGATTACAAGGCTAGCGCTAACCCTACCCCACAATCCTCGGCAAAAATTGCGTACCCTAGTCCTGTTTACATCTGACCGTGAGAGCCCAAGGCCCGACAATGTGACTAGGCCAAAGTCAAATCCAAATAAAATCATTTACTACTGTACTGTGTGTAAGTGTTTGCATTTTTCATATGATTTTGTACAACTACGTCTACTGAACTAGATCTACTGAAGTTATTTACGACCACAAACTGCCCAGATCAACTTCTATGTATGTTTTACGACCATCTCTGACATTGAGAAATGATTTGAAACATTTTTTAAAACAAATCTTGTTATTACATCAAGTCTGCCTTTAAAAGAGTGTGAAAGTTTTTCGTTTTTCTTGGAATGTTTTGAAACATCCGCCATATTTGCTTGTTTCGCAGGGGGCGACAACTCTAAATACATTTACCGTAATTTCTGTGGCAGACCACATTTTTTGAAATCAATAAATTCAAGAATTTATACTCGCAACTTTAATCAGTTTTATTATCATCTATTTACCCCACCTTTAACAGAACTGAACACATTTACTACCAGGTGGCACTGCTTTCGTCCGAAGCCTGTATTGGCAGCATATAAACCAATAAATACCGGTACACATCTATATAGATATCAATACTGTTTTTTTTTAAGTGTCATCACAGGAAAAAAAGATATTTTCATGGGAATATATGCCAATGTGCAGCAGCTAAGTTGCCTGAGCAGTCGTCAAAGGCTGCGGCATATTGATTCTTTTGAGGATATCTTTAGGATTTACAAGACACTGAAGACTAACCAAGAGTATAACAACTCAGAACATCAGAAAGAATTAAATTTTGATTAGCTTCTAGCTCTTGCAGATGCTACCATTTATCATAAATCTTGCTGATGCTACTATTTATCATACAAAACATCTATAAATTCTGAGTCAATTGGATGATAACTTTAGCCCCTGGAGCTTTTTCAATGTGGAAGTATAAAAAATTACAAAACAATAAAACATTTGACTTATTTTTATTCCGTTTCCATGGTTTCTTGTAGTAGCATTTATATAAGTAATATCAGAATAATATCACAGTAATATTCAGTCAATAAAATGAGATGCTTGAACATATTACTTTAAGAAACAATATTGTAGTATCATAGTTGGGCAGTTAATAGATCAATCTCCTTTGTCCAAGATCTGAGTAGGTCTAAAAAACAAAAAAACACACGATGACCAAAAAAATTCAGAGGAATTGCGCAACAGTACATAAGCCAAACTCCAGTTTTAGATATATATTCCCATTTTAAACAGAAAACCCATTTTTTTTATGAAAACATCTAGTGATGTGTGGGGCCAGTCTCCAAATGCTAGAAATATTATTGTCATCAGAAGTTGAACTCCATTTCTTTCCTCTATATTTTTAAGCATCAAATATTATCGAAAGAACCAGATTTATTAAGATACATGAATATTGGCATGTGTTAAATTAAATGTTTAAAATAATAATGAAAGTTATTTAAAAATAATTATTTACATGTAGGCCTACATTGAAAAATATACACAATATATAAGAAGAAAACAAGCTTATAAAATATGTATCAAAATATATATACTAAAATAATAATCGCATTATAAAATAATGTCATTCATGAGCATTAAAAATATCCAAGATCTAAGCTTTACAGTAATACCACTACTACTATATATATGCCTCTTGCTTTGAGTATGCTCAGATGATCATTCGTCGAACAATGACAGAGGATTGAATCCAAAGAAACGTTTCTAGGGCGATAAAAATAAAACATGGAGACATGTTTTTCAATTTAATTTATGCCTAGTATGCCTAAGGCAGTTTCAATTAAAAAATTAGGTGTCATTGGTGGAGGAATACACATTTTTTTCTCTTGGCCAGCCCTTACATATATTACAGAAGAAAGGGAGATCCTATGGAAATGTTTGACAGAGGATCAGCCATGCCATGTACCGAACATGGGGTCTAGAAATGGTACCACTGTATATATATATATATATATATATATATATGGAATGTATTGAAAGGCAGTGATTATCATGCTTTTAGCATGTATTTATGATTAATAAACTAATAATATAGCATAATCTACCGAAATTCAAAATGACACTATTGTATTCCAACTTTTGTAGTCAAATAGATTTGAGATAACAAAAAAAACAAAAAAAAATATATAAAAGACTCTATGGAAGTATAGAAGATGAGAGTGGACACCAGTACTTTTTAAGTGATTTTGTTAACCTTTAAATACTTCAAGAAAATGTTTATCGCTAAATAATGATATGTTTCTGAAGACCATGACATAAACTCTAAATAGGAATAATTAAGGATACACTCACATCACATAATGATGTTTGGTATTTCAAGGAAAGTAATCTAACGTAATCTATAGATATGACTTATTAACTTTTATAGTTCTAATAAAATTGAAATATACTAATGTCCAAAAGAAAGTATACACACTAAAAATATGACTAAGTTTTGTTTAAATCAACAAAATGTGATAAAACTACACTGAACAACTCGTGCATCTAAACTCAATATTTCTAAGCAAATAAATGGCAAAACAAATGGACATTGTACCCAAATACCGCATACAATGGAAAAATGACTTTGTTTGAAGCAGGACAAAATGCACAGTGTATACTTTCTTTTGGACATTAGCATAGGATAGATATTTCATAAATATATATTTCATCATTGACCTTCAATCTGTGTTTTCTTTCCTTTCTAGAAACACATTAAATGTCTCCCTCAGTATAAGGTAAGCTTAAAATATAGTTTAAGGAAATATTTATCAAGGAAAATAATGTATGAGCATTTTAGCTTTTGAGATCTATTGATATGGCATTTTATAATCATTGCATAGCCTTGGAAGTTTATAAAGTCATTAGAACATTAAAAGTTTGTTGTATGTCATTGTATATCCTCTGATTCTGTTTGATCAGAAATTTGTTCAATGTTATTGTCCTCCAATAAAGATTTTCTCTGTAAACCAATATTCCATCTGTATGTAAATTGTGATTTTATTGTGCGGATTTCTCGAATAAATATTGGAAATACACATACTGTAGTTAAAAATATCTGTAAAAAAATAAAGAAATAAAATTATAATGTCTAAGAAAAGACACCAAGAAATGACTGCATATTAATCACTCATATACCGATAACTTAAAGATGCATTATGTAAGATTTAGGTAAAGAGCTGACCGTTCTTGCTATAACTATAATAGTTCAAAACTGAATAATGCAAAATGAATATACATGTATTGAAAATTTCATTAAAATTACTTTATTCTGATCGAAGTTATCACTGTTTAAAGTTTTGACAAAATGTGGCCTAGATTGTTTATTATCGTAGCAACAGTACTCTTGTATTCAATACTAAGCCTCAATTTCTAAACTAAATCTTTAAATAGCGATCACGTTTTATTCTGTTTAATTCTCTGCTATCTATTGTTCTAGAGAGTTGATTATGGATTTGTCATGTGAATAAATGTCTTAATAATAGTTGATATAACATTTTAAGCCAAAATAAAGAACTGCAATAGGCAGATTGAAGACATCATTGACAATATGCATTAAGGAATGTTGTAGTTTGACACAAGTATAACTATTATCAATTGAGGAATGTTGCAGTTTAATACATGTATAACTCATATCAATTGAGCAATGGCAGTTTAATACATGTATAACCCATATCAACTGAGAAATGCTGTAGATTGATTCATGTATAACGCATATAAATTGAATTAAACATACATTATGCAAGAGCTAAATCTGATTATTGCAAGTCTTAATTTAGGCTTCAGATGTTATAGAAATTATAAATTAGATCTTTATTTAAACAACAAGCCCAAAATCAACTCTGTAGACCCATGGATGGCTCGACTACAGCTAGGACTCAAATAGGATTTCACTTATTGATTAAATCAAATATGGCGCACCCTGATGAGAATACGTCAGTTAGATCGAGGCTAAATGATAGAGTGTACGTAGCAAGGCCGCTATAGAGCGTTTCCGCATGCCATTGAAAAATTTACATGATAATCGAGATATGTAGGTGGAGTTAACGCCTGTCAATCAAACAATCAGCCAAGGTTAAAGCACATTTCACTACCATTTCTAGTCTAATATTACAACGATGATAACTATGTTCAAAATAAAGTAATTTGACTGAAATTTTCAATATATTCTTCTTTCATCATCTACTTTTGAACTGTTATAGCAAGAATGGCCAACTCTCTATTAAAATCTCCCATAATGTATCTTTAAGTTTTTTTTAAATTCTCCAATATATCAGCCAATATTAAAACAGATATTGCTTTAGTATTGTTCTTGAACTTTTTAAAAAATCTTATCTGGTACATTCCTCAAAGAATCATTATCTTAAAAACCAATGATACTGGCAGTGATATTTACTCAAAACAGAGATAATAAAATTCAGCAACACATTTGATACCACTAATAATAATCATTGCAACCAATGCTCTTATTACTAGATAACATCTTACTAACATTGTATGCCAAATAATTGATATGGTTAGTGGTTTTTATTAAATGCACACTTACTGTGATCATAAAGAAAATAAATACTGATTTCCATCCTAGTTTAGTTTGAATTACAGGTACCAATATCTGCAAATTTTTGAATATTATGAGTTTAACTGCTATTAAATGTAGACTTTTAAATTTTCACATGGCTGAACAATGGAAAATTGTTTTTTTTATTGTGCATGCAGTGTAATAGGTGATTATGTTAACATGATGCAGATCATCCATATTAATTTCCTTTTTATGTATATGTATTTTAATGTAGACATAACAGATCATATAGCAAACTACCTTTATTCAAAAGATTCATGCAACAGATTCTCATCATACATGTGGCTTTGTAAATAAGTGTACAACATATATATTTAAATGTTTACTGGTATATTAATGATAAAATAACCGACCTGTCCTATAGCAGCACCAACACTACCTGTACCATCCACTATACCAGTTACTGTAGCTAAAGCTTTATTATTACCTTTTATAGGACCTTGTTGACCTAATGTAATATATGAAATATTAAGTATTTTTGAGTGAGCTCAGTTTGAGAATTTATATTATAAATATTCTTTTTCTGATACTGCAAATGTGAAGTGGCTAAGTGCATAGCCATTAATAAATGGTTTATATAATGTATGTCTTATCTATCCAAAAAGAGAAGGATATTTCACTCGACAAAGGTAGTGACATATTTATTCTTCCTAATGCTCGTCGTTTTATGAATAAAAACACTGTGTTTCAATTTCTCTTCAATCTGATGATCAATTTATCAAGGCCGATAACTCCAACAACAATAATTATTTATCTCATGCACATAACCACTGTGTATAAATTTCAAGTCAATCAAATAATAACTTTATTGTCTATTGGATGATGGAAGGACAGCACACAGGCATATAAAAAGTAGGCATTATCAAAAAATAAACAATGATGACCCACCTAAATCGGCTGATATAGCTGCACTGATTAAGTTGGCAACACCCCCTATAAAAAACCCTGTTACACCCATTAAAAATGCATTCATACTATAAACACCTGACGAATCTAGAAAAATAACAATCATTGATTTATAGATACAATGTTTTACATAGTGATTATACATGTCAACAATATTGAGTATAATAATATCTATTTAACCTGTTTCATTTACTCTTTAATACTAGGAATTGAAATGGGCTTTAATTATAAAATATTGACAGCATACAGTGATTTTTTTACACAGATAGAAAACTGTCACGAGAGACCAAAAATTGCTTAATCTAGTTAAAGAAAAGAATAAGAAAGAACTTACTGCCATAAACAAATAAAGCTGGTATAGAAAGTATTAACATTGGTACTACAACTACAGCCCTATGTTTACATAAATCCTGAAATATATATGTACATGTATGTATGAAGCTAATTATTAATAATCACACCAACGGCTTTGACATACATATAATCTTATGTGAGATTATTTTTTTTACTTTCTCAACAAATATTTCCAAAATGGTTATCATGTCAGTTCTAAATGCTTCTTTGAAAACACCCAGGAAATCAAAGAAATTGCTTTATAGAGTATGAAATGAAATGGCCTACTCTTCTTCATCAACTGGGCTAATGAAAACTGTAGACTATTAATAAAAATGCTTCAGTCTTGTTATTCAATTATAAAAGATAATCTCTGCTTCAAATAACTCAAAGTATGAGTTAAATATTATATTAATTTGTAAATATATATATAGAAAATGTATACTTACTGATACTACTCCAGCTATTGTTCCACCTGTAAATCAAAAATCAAAATAATTTATATTTTTGGATGCTACTCAAATCAAACTAAAAATACCATCTGTATAGGAATAAATGTTTAATGAATTCCAACTGTCAAGGGTTCTTTTACAATTTATGTGTACACAGGATCTTGCTTTTTCATCCCATCCAAACGACTATACATTGTCCCTTGACTATGCAGCTGTCCATGTCAGGCCCTCCGTCCTGCACCACTTACAAGGGGAAATCATGCCGAAAAATCTTGAGGAACTTTCTAGGCCAACATCGGGTGAACCCGAGACTTTCTAGCTTAACGAGCCAACGTCTTATTCATTCAGCCACTGCAACTCCCGATGTAGGTGTAGATTCACAGAAAGATTAATATAATCTTTAATTATAAAAAATAATCTCTAAAACAGCCAATATATTTCAGAGACTTAGATTTGTGAGTAGATGCTGGTGTCAATGCACAAAAATCGCTTTAATAGGCAAATAAATAAATTGTTTCAAGTTCAGTAAGTAAAGCAAGGGTCGTTCTGGTTACATACAGGAAATAACATTTATAAGGTTTAATAATGTCATAAACAATGTCTCAATATGAATCAAAGTATAAGTCTTACCAATTATACCACCTACATCGTACCATATTGATATCTGATCCGCTAGGGTTGCCTTCCAATTAAATGATGCAACAAGGTAAAATGGTAGCCAGAAGAAAAATGAGTAATTGACAAGTTTCAGGAAAGCATAGGATAGTGAGTACTGAAAATATATTAAATTTTGGCTGTTAATAAAATACAGTGTTTAATTAATTGGACTAGATTTAACAAATAATTAAACTAATTCCTGCAAAAATAGAACCAACATGACATATTTTCATCTCAATAAGTTGCTTGTAGGAAGAAACCTCGAGATAACCCACAATAGTTAGGCATGTAAAAAGGGCAATTGATATACATTTTGCTCAAATCTACACATCTTAAAACAAGTACGATCATACTATGGACCAGGAACTGACCATGTTGTTGGATGAAATTCAAAAATTGACTTCACCAAATCAATGCAGAATTTTTCAAAGAACAAGTATGCCAATGTTCATTTCGATAGAACTTAAACTGATGTAGCCTTAAAATTTTTCAAAGAGCGTCACCCCAAGAAGAAGAACAAGATGAGCTCCTGGCCCAAAAACACAAATTATATGGAAAACAGTTTGTACACATATTGTGCTCAATCGCTAAATTCACTCCTTCGTCCACCAACTCATACACACACCATTAATACAATATTCTAGCTACTTTACAGGATATTAAGGCGTTCACATAAAATACGAACCAGTATAACTCCTGGTAATAACAAAGCTTGACAAAAACTAATGGCTTTAATTTCTACTTTTACTTCGCTAATATCTATATCACTATCTTCTATTAATGGTGCTGAAATATATCATATAAATGTTAATCCATCATAAAGAGGGCAAGCTCAGCAACAACATAGGATACCCTAAATTTGTAAAGATTGGTATTGACAAAACAGATTGAAACTAAGAAAATATTATATGATTTATCTCCTCAAGGGTCCTATAATCTGTTCACAGTAAGATCACATAAAGAACTCTCATCCAAAATGTGATAAACCCAATTATGTACGACCTCATGTAACTTAAATACTAAAATAGTATTAATAGGTACAAGGTAAAAGCACAAATGAAATATAGTTGGCTGTTTTTATTTTCATAGAATAATGCCTGTCTATTACAAAAATTTGGGCATGGTGTTTATATCTCATATATGGTATCTTAATACCAATACTAATAATCTGTAGTTTGAGGAGCTTTACCATCAGCTTGATCTGTTAAATCAACATCAGCATCATCTTGTATAAAAGTAGTTCTGCTTGTATCAATATTATAGCTTTTTATAAATTCCCCATTACTGTTTTCTTTTAAACCTGAAATAAATTACCGGACAAGATAAGAGACATGGGTGAGATAATAACAGCTTTCTACGTTGTAAATAATTACTAATATAATAATTGTCTACATGGGACCTCTAACAAACACAAAGCATCCTTAAATCATTCCAGCACTCATGAATATTTAACATTTAAAATACATTAAAGTTCTTCTTGACACACCAGATTACAAAAACATTACAAATATTGAATAAACTTACCTACTTCTGTTGGTGTACTAACTAAACCAAATAATATTATAAAACCACCTCCAAATAATATACTTGATGTAAACAGAAATGCATACTAAAATAAAATAATAGTATATTTTCAGAAATATCATTCAAAATATACTGCATTGTTTCAAACATCTAGTCAACAAGAAATGTTGTATATTTAGACTTTTATTTTAAACTGCTCTCTTTTTGATTAGCAGGAAATTTTGATGGAATAGTTCTAGGTCTATCTTTAATAGAAACATATATACCTAAAGCTGTTTAATATCATCAAAATCGGGTTTTGTAATAAGGGGCAATAACTATGCAATCATTTATAGGGGATATTGGTTGAAATGGCTGTGCTGAGATTGACAGCAAGATCTATCTCAATTAGTGCTGGGTATTATCGCCACTGCAGTTACGATATTTGTATTGCAATTCAGGTGCTATAATACGATTTGTATCACGATTCATAACTAGGTCAAGAAAATAACAGGATAAATGAATAATTGATATATTTAGTCCTGCCAATGTCTAAGAAATAAAACTGTTTTATATTACGATATTGATGTGGATCAAAATATGGACCAAAACAATTTAAGAGTTTTTGTGTACATATTATGGATAATGTGTGATGTGAATAATTAAGAGTGACAGGTTACTTACTGAAGCAATAAAAAAACTAAAAAAGAATCACGATACATTGAATCAGCATCTTGCAATTCCAATCTCATTAAAAAATAGATCCTATTACGTTTCGTTTTTTATAGTTCAAAATTTTGTTTTACTTCTCTTTACTATACTAGGATCTGGAAGAGTTATTATATCAGCGTCATTCTAGTTGAAGTGAGGGATTAGCCACTGAAACGGTCTGTTATGCCGAGTCCTTGGCGTGCGGTGCACAGAACTGTGGTTTAACCACTAGAAACGTCAACGCTGATTGATTAATGAATGTCTGACGTCATAGGGTCAAAAGCCGCTCGTACGACCCCTGACATGCCATTCCATTACAACTGGTCAGATCTTCATGCAGTGTAGGCCATCAAAAGTATAAAAAAAAAAAGAAACGAAATACAGATCTGTATTTTAATCAAATTGTTGCAATTCAATGCGCAACTCGTGAGAAGGTGAATCGCGATACATGGTTTCAACGATATATTGTGCCAGCACTAAACTCAATTATCCGAGAGCACTTCTCAGAACATGCACAAGTAATGGAATGAACCAATAAAGACAGGTACATGAAAATATGTACGCCAACAAATGAAATTGGGTTCAATGTCCTACTGTTCTGCTCCAACTGGGCTAATGAAGGCAGGGTACGCCAACAAACCTTCTGGGTTTATAATTAAAACATTTTTTAACATAAAGATAATCTTTAAAACTTACATCATAACCATAATCTAAAACTGAAGATACCATGAAAGCTCCCATTATATTACCAACAGATGCACAGGCACTCCACAATCCTAGTACAAGACCTCGGCTTTTGAGAAGATTAAAAATTACATTTTTATAATAAAAAAAAATCGTCCATGTTAACTATCTCTATGACTATATATGCCCTTTTATGTGGCAGAATAACTTTATTTTAAACATTATCTGCGTAAGCCAGCATTCCAATAAAATGTGATAATAAGAAAGTGTTTAAGGTTATTTCGCTCAGTCCCTATTGAGTCAATGAACGTACATGTAATTTTAACAGATCCAAATAAGATTTGTCAGAGAAACATACCTAGTAAATTTGGTGGAATTAGGGGAGAAATTGGAAAATGTTTGAAATTGTGTAAATCTTGTACTTTCGATAAAATAAAAAGCTGTTTCAATCCATTTGAGAGGATGGACCACCCTTCCAATATTTTGTTCTGAAGCCTTAATCCATTTGTTATGTAAAAGAATAATGTTGACAATTACCTTGTATGTCCAAACCAATTGCCCATAACAGCTACCACAGTTGGCCAGCCAGTAGATTGTAATAACCCATTGCACACCCAGACAGTAACATAGACATATTTATTATAAAAATGAACCCATTCTAAAACGCAACCAAATATAAATATCTGTAATATACAAGTCATCAAGTTATATTAACTGGAGTAAAATTCAGCCTGAATATGATTTAAAAACCTAACTTTGGTACAGTATAAGACATAATATGCTTTTTCATATATTATATGAACTAAATTTTTCCACTTGAAAATCTAGACATATGACTATTTCTTTCATCTATTTATAACTGTTATAGGTTGTTTTTAACAGTAAAGAAATAACTAAATTGAATTGCAATTCAAGTAAAATACAGTTAACAATTTGGCAAAATGTTTTCTATGCCAGCTCGACAAGAAACAGCTAAACGGCCGAGAAGTAAGGTCTGCTAGGATATATTCATCTAGGTCTAGACAGGCCTTCCCTTGGTCCACTGAAATTAACTACGCTTAGTAATAGTCAGGGTATATAATATCACTGTATAATCGAGACTTAGCACCATATGACCATTACCACAGTTTAATAGCTAACTCCTATAGCCTATAATATCCTACTTCCAGTCTGAAGCCAATCAAATGTCGAATTTGGCCGCATCTCCAATATGATAAAATAGTCTTGCTATTAGCAAGCGTAGCTAACAGTAGACGGGTAGGACAAGTACTTATAGGTAAGAGTTTCCATTCCATTATCAGTAAGTAATGGAAAATTACTTACCGATAAAGCAGATGAGCACATTCCAAATGCTAAAACTTTCCTCATGTCCAACCTAGAAAAATAAATAAGAAATCAGTTTATCATATTTAAGCTGATAGTTCAATTTAAAAAAAAATATAAAGGGTGGATGGCGAGAGAGGGGATTTAACATGTACTAACTCATGACGCTTGTTGCCACTCAATGTAACCAGTTACTTGTTATTAAAATCCAATCATTAAGACATTTTCTTTGTGTGGTTTTAAAATGTTTGCTGTCTTTTTCATTTATTTTGTCCACATAAAAGTGATTTACCTGTCTCCCACCATTCCACTGATATACAACCCCTAAAATACAAACAATACAAGACAATAATACAGTCATATATTACACTATGTACTATATACAATAAAATAAAATGAGGTTTAACCTAGCTAGCGTTATATTTTTCTGAATTTGAGGCAAGCACCATGCAATGTCCTATGAGGGAGATTTTGCTATACAGCAGCACTGCGTACGTAACTAACGTACGAAAATTAAATGGCAGCTGGCTTTTGCAGGTAATGTGTCTCTGATGTTGGGAAATGGGAATGAGCAGCACTGCAATCTACTTTTATTGTGAATTCCAACTGTTAAGAGCACTTTTCCGTGCAAGTCAACATGTACACAAAACCTCAGTTTTCAGTCCAATCTGAATAAGTTTTTCCTCGCCAGGTCCTCCACCCTGCACTACTGACAAAGGGAAACCATGACGGAAAATCCTGAGGAACTTTTTTGACCAACATCGATAATGAACCCTGGCTGGGAATTCCAAGTTAGCGAGCCAGTGTGATCATGGCCCCGTGAAGTCATATATACTATTCAAAAAAAGTAGGGGATATTTGATTTTGGGGGCATAATACTAAAATATGCAAATGACTACGAAAAAAGTCACTATAGAACCTAACAGAAGAAACATTTCCAGTTACATGTGACGCCCAAACGCACCAATAGCTACCGCATGGAATGCAGGTGATGCTTGGGATCATCATGGGGGTCCAACCCAAGATTTGCACGACTCTGACTTTGAATGTTACAGTCATTGTGGCATTGAATTCCAGGGTGGAAACATCAGTTTAATTGTTTTAGTGACCAGAAAACAAATTTTGATATGCGTCGGCTTACCCAAAATGAAAGGTTACGTGCTCTTGGCATGCTACAGATCGGCACAACACAGGCGGTTGTGGTGCGGACGATGAATGTTTCTCAGTCTGTCATAAGCAGGCTGTGGTCCAGATACCGTGATACACAATCTGTACAGGACAGACCACGCTCAGGTCGACCAAGGGCGACAACTCAAGCCCAGGATCGATTTATCCGTACCTTGGCCTTGAGAAATCGTGTCATCACAGCAAATCAGATCAGCGCTCGTCTTCAAACAGACACTGGTGTGAGAGTGAGTGGCCAGACGATTCGGAATCGACTGCATAGGGGTCACCTTCGCGCCCGACGTCCTCGCGTGATCCCTTGTTTGAGAGATCATCACATTCAGGCAAGACGTCGTTGGTGTAGGGATCGTCAACACTGGGATAATCGACGCTGGAGCAATGTGATGTTTTCAGATGAGTCAAGGTTCACTGTTGATTTTTTGGACAGACGTAGGAGGGTGTGGCGTCGTCGAAACGAGCGCTTCCAAGACGTTAACGTCATCAGACATGATCGATTTGGGGGTGGTTCTGTTATGGTGTGGGAAGGCATCACTGTTGCTGGAAGAACGGCTTTACATGTTGTTGCAGGGCGTGTTACAGGCCAGTACTACCGGGACAACATCTTGGCAGTCCATGTTGTGCCGTTCGCACGACGTCATGGCCGCCGTTTCATCTTCCAGGATGACAACGCAAGATGTCACAGGGCCAGGATCGTTACAGGTTACCTCCAACAACAGAACATCACCACATTACCTTGGCCAGCACTGAGTCCCGACCTCTCCCCCATCGAGCATGTCTGGGACATGCTTGGACAGAGTTTACGTCAACGTCAACAACGTCCTGCCAATGTCCAAGAACTTGCTGCTGCGTTGCAACAGGAATGGGACAATCTGGACCAAAATGACCTTAGACGTCTCATTAGGAGTATGCCACGTCGGATCAATGCTTGTTTGGCAAACAGAGGAGTATTTCCCCGTTACTGACTTGGTTGTGATGCTGTGGTAACTTTGCTGTTTGACCCCGGGTATCATTTTACCCTTATAATGGTCAGTCTGTGCCTTACTTAGTCTAACGATCATTTGGAATAAATCGATGAATGTGAACTTCATTTCATTTTGTCATTTGTTTCTTCGTCAGTTTCATTAGGTGACTTTAATAACACTTAAAAATCAAATATCCCCTACTTTTTTTGAATAGTATATATTTTTTTACATGAAAAAACAGATCTATGGAGTAGACCTACCTCAAAATACTACTGCATCATGTTAACTCAAGGGTAGTAAATAATATGTTACTACATGATGAAAACCATCAAACATTATTCAGTACTAAAATATTCTGAATATAATTATGCCATGGCAAAAGTTCTCCATCAATTTTTGCTTTTTTCCAATTTCAAATATTGATGATCAACATTTATTGAAACAAATGATACAAAATGTTGCATTTTCGTAGGTACATTTAGTGACATAAGTTTTACAGATAAATAAATCAACTGGTCAGAACCCAAAATAAAAAAACAATTCTAGCTTTATTTGTAAAACTAGAAAACTACGGTACAAACTGATTTATTTCAAACCAGTTATTTCAGTATTTAATATAATAATCGTACCACTGCATATGATATAAGGAAAGTAGCATCTAAAACACCCAGAAATATTTCGGCATCTTTATCATTTTCAAACAGATGTCTTTTATTCCATAGCTATAATTAAATATATACACATTATCAGATTAAAGGACACTAGAAAAAATGGCAAATATAGACAATAAATGTAGTCTTATCAAAAAGCATACAGGTCCAATTGATCAATCTTACCAACCATAAGCTATGGCAATCTAAGTGTTACATTAATCATTACCTTCTGCTGATTTTATTTTGTGAGCCGTGGTGGCTAGGCTAAGTGGGTAAAACGCTGGTTCACTAGCCTGGAGGTCACAGGTTCGCTCCTGGTGTTTGCCAAGAAAGTTCATCAGGATTTTCTGATGTGGTTTCCCCTTGTCAGTGGTGCAGGATGGAGGCCCTGACAAGGAGAGCCATTTTGTCGTACAGAGGTCCCATGTACACATTGGCATGCCCGTAAAAGATCCCCTAGCAGTTGGAATTCGATATCAGAGTAGACCTTAGCGTTGCTGTCCGGGCAAAATTTCCTCCCTCATAGCATACTATATGGCATATGTCCGTCTTCATTAGCCCTGTCAGAGCAGAACAGTAGGACGTTTAACCCCATTTCATTTCATTTCATTAATTTTATTTCAAGACAATGTATTCTACAGTTTTGTTTAATCATCTAAATGATTATCTAAAGATCATTTTTTATTGGCCTTGAGCTACATTGTATCTTGAAAAATAGGTAATATTGTTATAAATAATGTAATTAATCAATAATATGTTTTAACATAAATCCTTCTTTATTTGTAATTGCTGTATAAGCTTATATAGTAGATTTGTGATTCAGTATAACTTAAATAAGTCAAGTAGCTTTTATTAGATAATCTTTTGCAGAGAAAATATGAAAATCTTATTATCATACTAACAAAAATGTCAATATGTACTGATCTAAAATATCATGATAATACACAGATAATAATGACGGCACTTAATTCCAATTAACTATAAATCACAGCTGAACAAATCATTTCATATTTCAATGATACTAAAAAAAAATCTTACAGCATATGGTTTGGTTGTATTAACTGTTTCATTATTAAAAGTTGGTGTCCATTCCTCAGAGATAGTGGACTTGACATTGCTAAAAGTTTTCCTTGCAGCATGGAAGAATGAATAGCTGAAATTATAACAAAAAAAATATGTCTTATATATGAGAAATCGCCTTCTGGGTGATAAAACATAAATACTGAAGGCTTGACCCCAGATCCATTGATTTGTTTTGATATGTGCATTTTTACTGTGGTAACTGTGTCTGTGTCCTGTCCTCGTCCTGTGTTGAAAATTTGTGTGTAGTGCGGTCCACCTGTCCTCTACTTAAAGCCTAAAGGAGCTAAATCGCTAATATTTTGAACCTAGAAATTGACACAAATGGGTCGTAAGCATATAATAATGTAATTGGAATATATATAATAAACTGATTTACATTCAATCGTTTCCATTTTTACTCTAATTTCAAATCTTTTACGTTCGGCGAAATATATGTCAGAAGTCTCAATCGTTTGAAAATCTCTAGCGTCTGGTTATTCTAGTCTAGATAGTATTTATTGCGCATACTCTCCCGATATGAATATGTCGTCACCGTTTGATATGACTTGTTGAATGTCTAGCCTCATTCTTCGAGTCCCTTATTTTAGATTGGCCTGAAACGCATTATGGTACGGTACACAATTCGTGTACCAATGGTAAAATGTTTATTTTGTCTTAAATATTGGATATCAGAAGCCCATCTTTTCCCGGTAAGACCACAACATCAATGTTGATTTAAATTGACAAATAATTCATGTTTTCAATGTCGAAGATTTTCTTTTGGATCATGCCATGGATGATACTGAGTTAGAGACTTAGCTACTTTAACTATTACACTTACCTTAGAAAGGTTAAGATAAATACGAAGAGGTGATAAAAAGTTACTTTACGACGCATGGCGTCATCAACATAAATAAACAAAATACACAGACATAAAAGTATTTAATTGGAAGAAATTAATACAGTATGACAGCAGACGAAATATAAAAATAAACATAAGTATCTATTGTTTCCGGTTTAGTGGTACAGAGGCGAGCAAAATATTATGGGGCTTTTGATTGGATAAATATACTATAAGGGTGGTCGACAGTGTGGCCGGCGCTAGTGTTTTAAAGGGACAATAACACTCTTGCTGGCTTGACAGCTCCAGAAAATAAATAATAGCCTTATTCTAAGTATTAGATGTTTAAGTATCCTACCTGTTGTGTAAATTATCCATTAAATCCTATTTTACTTGTCCAGAGGGTTCGAAAATGTTTTTAAATCCAAGTCACATTTGAAAAGCTTTACGTTAGGCTTTTCAAATCATTTAGTTGAATTTTTCCAATTTTTTAAATTAGGTGTGTTAAGATGAAATTTGTATCATCAATTAATTGGAATATTGTAATATAGTACAATATGTTGACCAGAATAAAGATTGGGACATATTATTCAGTTACAACAATTAAGAGTGGTATTGGGCCTTTAACACTAGGCCTAGATCTAGTGTTGTTGTCCAAATCTAGTGTTCAAGTGAATGTTTTTGAAAAAAAACTACAAATCGAGTGTTTTTATATTGGAAAGTTTTTTTAATCATTTATTTCGATTTTTTTTTAAAAAATCAAGGCTAATAAATCATTTATGTTTGGCTATTTTTAATTTTATTCTTAAATAGACCTAGCTATCTCTTTCTGATAAATTTATTTTGGATTTGGCAATCTAGTTTTCCCCTCTTCTTCCTTGAAATGTTAAAATGAAAATGAAAATAAATCCCAGAGTACTGAGTCAAATGCAATGATTTTAGGTCTATATTATATTTGTTTGTTTCGATGGTTATTAATTTATTGTCGACTAAACAAGGAATTGGTTCAAGAAAATCGCTATTGTAACAAAAACATGTAGCGTAGTACGTGGTGCCTATTTATTATAATGAAGAAAAAAACCCATAATTATCTTTGTTAATTTTGTGTTGAACAAAAATGAGGAGTTTTCCGAATGGGGGTATTGTTTTTATGAATTTAGTGTTTTTATAGCTAAAATAGTGTTATTTTAACTCAGATCTTGTGTTATGGGAAAATTGTCACTGGTCATCCTGGTGGTAGAGATACCACATCACCAATTATTTCCCCCTCGTCTCTTAGACCGACTGTAACTTTTTTCCAAATTTTCATTGGACAGAACGCGTTCTACCAAAGATGGAGCAACAGGTTGCAACCTCTTGCTCAAAAGCAGGTATGAGGTTAATAATGGAAACTTTTGATGTACAAGCTGGAAGTATGCAACTGTCCGCCGTACATTTCAACCGAACAAACTTCTCAACTCTCTGATAAATTGTTTCAATGGCATTTAGTAATTGAACTGGAGTATACAGGTCACAATTCTATGGAATACAATTACTGCTTATTACTGAGCGACGTTTCGACTAGGCTTCTCTAGTATTGCATGATAATGACTAGAGAAGCCTAGTCGAAACGTCGCTCAGTAATAAGCAGTAATTGTATTCCATAGAATTGTTGTGACCTTGTATATTCTTAAGTATCCTTTCACCTCAAAATCATGAATATTCATCAAAACCTGACAGAAAATGCATATTCAGGCCCTTTTTCTTCGATTCAACACAGAGCGTCAAACTATCATTGTCGAGTATAATCTTTTAGAGGCATTTGATAAACTATAACACACACTTATGGAAAACCAGGTACTGATTTATGTGGGCGACGTTTCGATGAGTATTCCCTCAACGTTAGCAAGCTAACAGCGCTACTTTTGGTGGGAAGTCGCAACTATTTACCAGAAGACCGCAATTTTCTCAGATCAATATATTCTTTATTTGAAACGCAAAACGAAACCAGATGTTTAACTGTGCAACCAATCGAGAAATAAGCGCGTCATAACTATTTCGGCCTTTCAAATGATTTGGTCTGTTTTCAAATTTTGTCTTGAAATTCCAACATTTGTCAGCAAGCTTGTGCAAATACACGTACTTCTTAATTTTAAGTGAAAGAAATGAAATGGGGTTTAACGTCCTATTGTTCTGCTCCTATACTGGGCTAATGAAGACGGTTTAAAGGGACAATAAGACTCTTGCTGGCTTGACAGCTCCAGAAAATAAAAAATAGCCTTATTCTAAGTACTAAATGTGTTAGTGTCCTACCTGTTGTGTAAATTATTATCCATTAAATCCTATTTTACTTGTCCAGAGGGTCAAAAATATTTTTAAATCCATGTCACATTTGAAAAGCTTTACGTCAGGCTTTTCAAATCATTTAGTTGAATTTTTCCAATTTTTTAAATTAGGTGTGTTAAGATGAAATTTGTAACATCAATTTATTGGAATATTGTAAAATAGTACAATTTGTTGACCAGAATAAAGATTGGGACATCAGTTACAACAAGAGTGGTATTGAGCTTTTAAGTGAAAAAGACGTCTGTTGTTGTTTTGTTTTTGTTGGGTGCGTACATTAGCCAGGTTGAGAGATTCGAATAATCACTACACGTGCGTAAATCAATTGTTTATTTCCCGCCCCAGCAATTTCGAAATCTAAGGAAAGGAAAATAAAGCGTAAACAGAGCCATAAATATGCCAAAATCGTAAATGTCCGACCAGAAATTTCACATTGGTAACCCCTTCCTCTTCTCCAAGACTAGATATCATCTATATTAAATTGCCTGCATGTCATTACTGTGAACAAACTCGATTTTATAACCTAAAACATTAACTTGGGTTCAGACATTCGTATCATCATCATGAAAAGACACCGGCCTTTTACAATATTCATAGCTGGATCAGATCTGATACTCGAGGGCTGCATGACTGAGTGGTTAAAGGCGCGTGCTTTAGATCATTAGATATGTCATTGCGTCAATTAAATGGCGTGCTGTCGATTCCCCGTCGCCTTTCTAAACTCGTGAGAATTTTCTCCGGGTCCCCAGGTTTCCTTCCACTGGAAATTAAAGACCCCTACGCATAGCTTATTATCGAAATACAAATGAAACATTAGTCCCGAAATGACCTAGTTTGTGTCGAGTTAGGCCCATTTCTCGCTATCACATTCGATAATATTGGTGATAGGCAACGATGTTCGACAAAGCAAAATACAAAACCAATTGGAAAATAGACGTGTTTATCTGAACACAAATCGTATTGCTATATAAAAAAGGCATAAAGATTCGTGATGATCTATACCCGGAGAAATAATTTCAAATGGTAAATTTAATTATTAGATAATATATTGATAAGATATCTTAATTTCAAACTAGTCATCTCCATGATGACTAATAATAAGTCACTAATTGTCTAAAAAGAAAACGAGGAAAGGGGTAAAAAAAATATACCGATTATGCATGCATAATTTGAAAATCATAGATGTCCATGTTAGCCTAATTACTTACTAACCCATCAAGACGCCTTATAATTAACTATGACCTATAATAGCACCTAATTAATCAAGTGTCACTCCTTTAAGCCTCTTGATAAAATTTCTGCTTCTTAAAGATATAACTAAAAAATTATTTATAGAAACCGTAATAACATTCCTGTCATTGTATACGTATGTTAATTCCATGTTTCCTATCACAGGAATCAATATAATTATCAAGATCAGAAGTCATTCATTTTTATTCGAGAAATAAACCTTGCAAATATACGTCAGATTGGTTTCTCACATTGCCAGCTTTTGCTAGAACACTTAAAACCACCTTCTATTTAGCTAACCATTTCTGTGTTCATTGACTATTCCAAGTAATGCAAAAGGACCTAATGCATAGCCTTGTGTTATGCTCTTTTAATATTAATTGATTAAACAGTGGCTCATGGAATGTTTTGTTATTTTCGCTCTATTCCCATTTCTGTTGCTGTATAGAATGCTCCCAATATAAAATCTTAATTGTTATGCGTGTTTGTAAACAATGTAACTTTTTTGCCAATAAGTCGAGATTTTATTTGTGTCGTAGCTGATTTTCTTACAATAATAAATACTAATATCCTATATAAAGATGTGCTACTCCCCCTTAAAAATTTTAATGACATCACACCTGAGCATTAAATTAACATTGCATACAGTATGGTATTATTTCATATTAAATACGACAGAATTGAGAAGATGTATGGCGGTAATAAACATCTAAAATGTCATAAGTTGATTGGCTGATCCAGTCATCTTACGGGCTGTACAAGTCATCCTTCATCCCATGTCAAATTTGTACCAGAAACTACTGATGTGGAACGAGAGATGAAATACCAGTACATACACTGTCACCTACTACTTTGAATATACAGGTTTACTTTCGTTCAAGCAGATATGTTTCATTATATGCCATAATTTTGGATTTATTTTTACGCATCATGAGGTGAGTAATTTCGTTTTATTCCGAAAAAGGTGTTCATAATGATCTATTCATGGATGGAAATAAATATCAGCGATCTTTTAACATATCCATGTACGGACAAACCTTATTCTATTTTAAAACTAATTAATCAAGACGGCCATTCTATTTTAAGCTTTTATTATACATGTAATATATGGAGATTCATTTCGATATTTTTACTCAAAAAGTAAAATTTGGATAAAGCATAAACAAACAAAAATATACTCTGTCACGTTATAGATAATATCTATTCTGTTATAATAACATCACACTTGTCGAGTGGACGTTAAACTCTCTCTCTTTTAAAAGTAAAAAAAAATGTAGTATTTTATTTACAACGTGATTTTAATAAGAAAACTATTCTGATCAAGGGTTACAGAGTTTTTATCAGAATCGACGACATTGACACTGATTAATAGTGTTTTTCACTACTTCAATTTGATGTGCAGATGTCATCGTATTTTTTATGACAGCAAATCGGAATGCTTCAATGATGTTCATTTCAGTACATGGACACAAATTTTCGATGTGAAATTTTGTAAAATATTAAGTTTGTGGAAGTATTCCTAATTTCGTGAAACATTCCAAAATGTGGATTTCGGTATTTTATATGTACATATATATATATTTCAGCGGTGTTTCTCAATCGGGCTTTCTTCAAGAAAGGAATTGATCATTTTGTTGGGTTTTTTTGGGGGGGGGGGTTTGTTTGTTTTTGTTTGTTGTTTTTTTTTGGGGGGGAGGGGGTCTTATTAAAAATTGTTATCGTGTTCGTGTTGATAATATGTAGATCAGTGTAAATTTTCATATTGACACATGTCAACCCTACTAAAATATAAAGTTCATAAAGTAAAGTTCATATTCGGTGTATTTCCTCATAGGTAGGTCTGATAGGTGACATGAATAGAAAGAAGCCAAACCTTTCTATACAAATGATTTATATATAACTCTATATCGTGGAGTTTTTTGGGGTTTTTTACCGGAAAAAGATGTTTAATTTGTTTTAAAAATTCGATAGAATATTAAAAAACATTACGATCGGTTTTTCTACTTTGCAAAGTACATCATTTTTATCTATTTAGCTGTTTTGTTTACCTTATGTTGGTTTTCTAAATGGTGGGCCCTTTGAGAAGGAAAATGCTACAGTTATGATACTAGAAAGACAACGGTACTCTCCCAACATTTAACATGTTCAACTGATCATGTTTGGCTTTGAATACTATCTCTAAAATCTGTTATATGTGTTATAATTTAGGTTTTAAGGTATATATTAACCTAGGAAAACACCATGCAGTTGGTCATCTGTCAATGTCCAGTGGTTGACCTGACCTAGTCCAATCTATCAAATACATTCTAGTCAGGTTAAATACAATACGGATTATACTTTTCACGAAAAACAAATCTGTATCAAGACGAACTGTTTCCTTTGATTTAAACTATGCTCTTACACAATAATCAGAAGTCGGAATAAGTCTAAAGTGTCAACTACCCTGGTTAAAGACAGATGAAGGTGTTATATTGTACACTTCGCTGATACCAGAATCTCACAATCTCAACTTATCATGTCGCTCTATTATTTTATGGTAGTGGTATATCATAGACTTTACCATGTCGTTATTATGTCAATAGTGCATAGCCTCATATTCACACAGAGAACTACCTACTTTTAGAATAGAACTCTGCCCTGAATGGCCGCCAGATTAAATAATTAGTAGCCTTATTTTCACACAGAGAACTACCTACTCTGAGAATAGAACTCTGCCCTGAATAGCCGCCAAATTAAAAAAAAAATAGTAGACTGGTTTTTTTTGATGTAATGTGTTTTTAATCCGTTTTACATCTTTTATACACACAAAGATTAGTAGAATGTTTATTTTTGTAAAGTGTTTTTAATCCGTTTTACACCTTTCATAAAGATTAAATAAACATCTTCTATTTTGTTTAATTGAAGAAGAATAAATACTTTTCTAGTATTCGATTTAAGAATTAAAATGCCGGTCAATTAGCTAATTGTAGACATACATCGTAACTTTCGTATGACATAGCGCATCTCTGCATTTTATATCAGTAATGTGTAAACTTCACCATGTCGCTATTCGTTTTATATCAGTGGTATATAAGATTTACCATGTCGTTATATATGTATGTCAGTGGTATATAAACTTTACCATGTCTATATTTACCCTCACTGTTCTGAGATTGTTTTTTTAAAATCATTTGAAAACTGTAAATAGACCTATATGGGAGAAAGAGAGGGGGGAGGGAGAGAGGGAGAGTTTAGCCTCCACTCGACAAAAATTATGCCATTTCGGGACTAATAGACCTATATGATTGCATACATACATACATACATACATACTGTACATACATACATACATACATACATACATACAATTTGATGATACCAATGGCAGGTAAAGTTGTCCCGGAAACATCCAGCTCCCCACAACCCCAACCCTCCAATTTCATGTACCCACAATTTGAACACATCAATCTATAATGTTTGAAATTTGATTTGTGTGTATTATATGTACAATGGCATATTTTATATTTCATTTCAGGTTTAATTTATGGGACAATATAACGTAAAGAACTTATTGAAATGAAACGTTTTTTTAACATTTTACAGTTTATAAAGAAAGTATATTTCTTGGGTAAGTATTTTGATTTATAGCATAGCCATCTTTCATATTTATGTCTAAAGTGTCAGCCAATTTTATTGTACTCTTAATTTACATATCCCAGATCTTGTAACCCGGCACGATTTGTTTTTGTCACAATATTCCAGACTTAAACTGACAGATAATTTCTTACCTTTTGAACCTGGACCTAACAAATAAATATACTTGTCCAAAATACATTAAAATCGACCACTCTTAACGTAAGTCATGGCCGTCTTTTATTTTCATTACATTCTATTGATTCCATCCTTTCCTGTTTTAAAACGTCAGTCATCTATTGAATACTGATTCGTTTCTATCCAGGGACATAGAGGCCAAGATGGCACATAACCACTATTGTTTTCTTGTATTTAATTGTCTATATTACTATCTAAAGAACAAATTTCAGCCCTTATATCTATCTGCTCAATTTAATAACAAAAATAATTTCATATAGTCAGAAATATAATATAGTTCATGAATATAGATAATGTGTTAATTTGTTTCTGTTATCATTATACAACAAGAGATTCTCAATATCGTCACTTATTTTGTATATTGTGTATATTTTACACTTTTTGTATAATCTATTTTATGAATATATATACATATGGTTAAAATTATACAATTTATTTGCCTTATTTAGAAAAATGAGATTGATAATTAGAACACTTGTTTTTAACCCTGCATACTTACAGTGCGTAAACCGCCAACTCCAGTGTCGCATTTTGATGAAGAGGCCTCCGGCTATTGTGGTTTTTTTCCACGTTTGGGGCCCCACCCTCACGATTAGTGTAAACTGAAAGTGTGTTTTAAACACAATTGGGCAAAGCCGGGGATGATGATAGATGCTTAATACTACAGTACATGTAAGAAAGGCATATGACAGTGTCATAAATATTACACAACTTGCCCGAATGCTTTATACTTCAGTCTATCAAGCCTATAGGTAAATCTGGCACTTGTTAACTCACTAACCAGGTAAATCCGGCACTGGCTAGCTCACTAACCAGGTAAATCCGGCACTAACTATCTCACTAACCAGGTTAATCCGGCACTGGCTAGCTCACTAACCAGGAGGTTTCGGGTTCGATTCCGGTGTTTGTCGAAAATGTTCCTCAGGATTTTCCAGTGTGGTTTAGGCTTTAATTTTATATCACGAAATTGTCTGTGTTTGTTTCAGATATATAAAAATATAACCACGATTCTGTGGACTATTCGTGGTATGCATCAGTATAAATGACATCATGACATGTAATCTTATATTATGAGCAGTAAAAAACACCACTGAATCCACAGACATATAAATCGGACATATTAATTGTCATGACATGTACATGTAGACAGAAGAACAATGAATTCATTGTTTAAATAAAATGAACATAGTTCTCAGTAATCCCTATATAGATGATATATGCTAACTAGAATGTTTTGATTGGCTGGTTGACTTGTTTCTGGGCGTATGGTACTCGAATGGTTACTCATTTACTTTGTTCTGCCATTTAATCTGGAACTGTTTAAAACATTTTGTTTCTTCATTTTGTTCCAAAAAAGGTCAACGTTTAGTTTATCAATGGCGACAAAATAATTTACTTTGGAATGTATTTAACCAGTTCTATCACATATGTAATAATGACTGACACCAATACTGTCCTTTAATTCACACTCCTTTCAGGTTTATAAACACGTCAACTTTGCGTCTACTTTATGGACTGAATGGTGTACATTTTATAGTTGGCTCAGGGTGGGATGAATTATATTTTACATGAAATTCATCAAACTTATAAAAAAAATGACACCTTGCTCGGATTATATAAACTTTGTTGGGTTTTTTTTTAATGCTCATATTATTTCCTACCACTCTTCAGTTTATGTTTGATACCACAGGACAGTCATTACTTAACTAATCCGAATAACATTTCATTGGAAATAGTCGTACACGGGGCAGGGTATTAATTCTAGGATATCAGATACCAATTCACCGCTATTCTATTGAATAATATTAAAGATTATTGAACCATCTGAATTACACTTGGTGGGGACATCTTATAACGCATAATCATGAACCTGACACTTTAAATGATTACTCTATCTTAAACCACTGATACCACTTCTCGGGACAATCATTTCCCAAGTAATCCCACATTGTACTTTTGTACATAAAATTATACTCGTCAAAACTTTTTAGGTCCAGCATACTCTGCTAATTAATTATTGATTTTTTTCTATCAGTATTTCTTTTTTGTTTTGTTTTTCGCATTGCCACAAAAAGCGGCTCCGGTCATATTATAAAGTGCTTGTTTTTTTTTTAGGTATAAACTATAAATGTCGAGCACATTAGTAGGCTATACTATAAATTCAAATTGATTTATGGATAAACCAAACTAAGCATTAACTAGAGCCATAATGTATTAAACGAATAATTAATGACCATTAAAGTCCATATACTGACACATTTGGAAAAAATGCCCACAAAATACATCTTGTATAAATCATGGTTCTATTGCAGACAGAACCGCTTTGTTTGACATTTATAAGTTTGTTTTTTGGGGGGTTTTGGGTTTTGTTTTTTTTTTTGTTCACCTTAAAAATATATATCACGTAACCATTACAGAAGTACATACTGGTTATAATGCAGATATTACAATATCGTAGTCGAAAAGTGAACCAGAGACTATGAGGTCATAATTTCCCCCTTGATACCAACGATTCCAGAACATTATGGAACTCGGGCGACAACATAGATTCGTAAATCAAATATAAATCAACTTCAAGGGATTACAATAAATTATGATGATTGTGGTTATAAGTATAAAGATAAGCAATAACAACAGCGTGGTCACGTAAACAAACACGATTGGAGGCGCCGGCGTACTTTTAATAAGTACTAAAACCGATCCTTTTTTATGGCATCAAATAGTTTTAGTCGAGTAGTAAAAAAACTGACTGCGATTGTTCTGGATTTTTCAAGCTGCTAGTTCACAGCTGTCAGGAGTGGTCCTAAATAAGAAATATGTTTTGATGTGACAAGATGATATTATATACCGAATATCGACAGACCCACGGTTAATTGTATGCAAGAATGCTTCTCCCGATAAATATTTTGGGGAAAACATGCAATAGTTATGAGCACACATACGAACTATGGTTAATATAGGCGGGTGTTAACACGTTTAAATCAAAATAATAATAAAATACAAGGATCTATCCACAACGTTTCTACAAGAAAGTTTGGGCGAATGGCCAAATGGTCTGATGTCTGCGCTTTGGATAAGGTCTGTCTTTAAGTCAAGTGGCGTGGTTTCGATTTCCAGCTTGTACGTGACAAGCTGTAGGGTCGCCCGCCCAACCGAATGCGTTTACTCTGGGTCTCCCGGTTTCATCCCACTGCTACAGACCGATACACACACGCTCATTCGCTCAAGCGATTTATTGAAAAAAAAATAATCATTATGTTGGTCCCGAAGTGGACAGATTCTCTCTCGCTCTCTAGGTATCGACGGAAATCTCAAGAATTAATATTCGAGCTATAAATATTTAAAAATATGGATGCCTTATGTAGCCCACACATTGTGACATCCCTGTCAAACGACACATGTAATATCTTACTTATATGTAAATATATACCTCAGACACGGGACACCTGTTCAATATCTATAGAAATAGTATCGCAGAGTTATAATATCCTGTAAGAATGACTGATGGTATTTCTATGTACCATGCCGGGTTTCGTGTTATGTCATACATATTTATAACTTACATACATATGCCACTGTCGTCAGGGCGGATCATAAAAAAGTTAAAAGTAACAGTGACTAAAAGCTAAAATAACTAAATGTTTACTTAAAATCTCTATTTTCCGTGATATTTGGTGGTTTGGGTGGGACTGATTATGTGTTCAAGGAGGTGGGGCGGGACTACCCGCGCTTCTGTCTTAAATTTACTCTTCAACATACAGTTGCCAAATATCACATTTCCAGATCAAGTCAGAAGCATCCCGTTTGAAAAAAATTGTGATTTACTTCAGATAAAGCCTGGCATGTTCTTGTCCACAGAATTAACACCATGGGGGAAATAATTTAAATTTGTATTCGCGGCAGCCAAACACGCCCTTAAATTTATAATTTACAATTGTGCCCGAAAATTCTGAATCAGCAATGTTTAACTTTATGTGTTGCCAACCGCAATGTTGAATGGTGTCAGGAAATTATCAGATTAACATTATGTGTTACCAACTGCCAGTTGTATGAATCTATCGATAGCTAAACGCAGAAAGTCAAATTTAATCAAATGTAGTGTCATCGATTCAAAAGGCCAGTCAATAGAAGTAAAATAGCGAAACCTCTCTCCCTTACCTGATACGTATAAATAGTGTGTGGTTTAAGAGAATCGATGCCTTTGAATATCTCTGTAAAGTTGCAGATTTAAATTTGGAATGGAAAATAAAGAAATTGGAGTATATGATAAAATGGAACAAGATGATCCATATGATTTTCTGTTTTCTTTCTTTTTTTTATTTTTAAATGTGATTTTTTTTTTTTTTTTTTTGTATTGATTTATTTGCTTCAAATAGTTACCTTGTTTTGTGTTTTAAGACGGATATTATGTTTCCATCCGCCTATATAATATATACATCACGTGTTGTATTCTAAATATACTAAATATAAGAAATGCGACGATTCATAATGAAGATTGATTGGTCAATAAAACATTTATACATCGCATATCTATCTGTTTAGGCCTATATAAAATATGTAGATAGGTCACGTATATTTTTTATAAGGGTCAAACAAAATAGTTTTTTTATAACCTAAGAATTAATGAGAAAATGCATGAGAAAATGTATGAGAAAATATACAATATATACCTACTTTATTAGATGAAATATTAGGATTAAATGTTTTTTCAGTTATTTGTGGTGTATGGAAAATTAGTTCAACTTGAACGTTGAAACAAGGATCAAAGTATATAAGATTCCCGGGAGCCGCGGTAATCCAGTGATTGCTTACGATGTCGAACGAGAGAGACCCTCAGAATTTTCCGGCACCGGTTTCCGTTGTCGGTGTTGGTGCAGGACGGAGGATCCGGCAAGGACATAATCTAGTAGTATGGGACAAAAAACTGAGGCCTCGTTTACACGTTAACGTGCACATAAAATATCCTTTGGCAGTTGGAATTCGATATAAGAATACGTCGCAGTGCCCTGTATGGCGTACGCCCGTCCTCATTAGCCAATACGGAGCAGAAAAGTATAGGACGTTAAATCCCATTTGATTTTATTTCATTTTTAAGTTAACGCAAATATTGTTCAAAGGTCCGATATTCTAACTGCATGGATGAAATCAAATAGTATGCCGTAGCGTTCGTGATGAAAATGGTTGAAAAGACAAATGCATGATGCTGGTTACAAAACTTTGGAATATGTATATTTATGGCGATATAGGTGAGGTGGGTGAGGTTTATAGTTGGTATACCTGCAGGTTATAGGTCAATATTTCACCACATCTTAACCAAAACATGTCAACCTGTCACGTATAAGCAACTTTAAACTTGCTGGTGTGCAAATTACTGACACTTTAAAACTCAACACATAGATATATGTACAGTCGTTTGTTCGTGTAGAATAGTTAGTTACAACATAAAAAGAATCACCGCTGTTATGCTGACTACTTTAGGGCATACCTGGAAACAAATTTTATCTATTTGTGATTTACCAAACACGAAAATAAATAAAAAAGAAACCAACAAATGAAACCAATAAACCACCAAAAACAAAGGAAAAAACACCAAAAAGAACCCCAAAGTAGGATAATATTTAATTGTTATCAAATCGAAACTGTTTAACCAAATAATTGAAAACTTATCAAAAGCGAAAAGGCTAATATTTGAGAAAGTGGAGACCATAATTTGAAAATGAAACCAGAGACAACGATTTGAAAATGAAATAGAGATAACTATAGCGACAATTAGCGACGGCAATTTCAAATCAAAAGATCTAGTTACTAAAATTAGAAAAACTAAATAATAAATTTGAATTTTTTTTTACCAAAGTAGAGGTAAGAACTTGGAAAAACTAAAAATTTTAGAAATAAAAATTAGAATTGTCAAAACCAGATTCTAAAATAACTTAAGATCAGAATTCGATGACGTATTTCTACGTATTGTGTCTTGTCCAAAGTTTTGTTTTGTGTAATTATAATAGAAACATCAAATTAAAACCCAATCGCTAGTATATAGGAAAACGTATCAGCTAGAATATGAAATCCTAAATAGGAAATCTTAGCGCCTAGAATAAGGAAACCTAGTGTAGCCAGAATGAGGAATGCTCACTGGTCCGCGGGTGAACTAGTCCGCAGGTGCACTAGTCCACCGCTATAAAAAATATTATAAATATGGGTATAAGAAAAACCAGCAGGTATGGTGGCTGATTGGTATCATATCGTGATGTCGCCCTTCATAATTGTATAAACTAGTGACAGAATTTGAAAAAACAAAATGTATTATATTTAGGGTAATTGATGGATGGCAAATAGATATTGAGATTATTCCCCAGACCTACTTTTGATGGTTTCCGATGCTAATTAATGGTTATTTGAAATTATATCCGAATTTTAATTATTTTGTATATTAGATTATATTTGTAAATATATTATAATTGTATGTAATATTACAACAAGGACATACGTAATGCATATTACGTCAAGTTATATATATAGGTAAATTAATTTACTTGTAGGTCATACGATATAATTTACATGAAGGCTATCAATCAAATATCAGGGAAAACTACGCTTCATTGGTCAATGATAACACCAAATTATTAATGATAATTTCCTTTAATTATGTCAGCATATCCATCTAGCTTGGCACAGATGAGAGAAAATAAATTGAGATAATTTTTTAAAGGAATATTGTGAAATGTTTGATAGTGAAATGGAAATTGGAAAGTAATTTAAATTTGGATTAAACAGTGTGTGGGGTTTATAGGCACCCGAGACATGTTTTAATGGTCTAAATATGCTAACCAAGATTATGTCCTATCAATGGTTAAATAATTTAGTTCATGTACTAACAATACAATTTTAACTAATTTAACTTAAATGACGCAGTAAACGAGTACTTGTACTAAAAATATTACAGTATACCCATATCAGCATACGTAGTACATTCTACACGTCAAATACTTAAAACATAAGTCTTCCCAAATCAGCATAGAAAATAACTATACAAAATATTAAGTCTACCCAATTCAACACAAATCCTTGAAATATTATTGTCTTCAGTAAACAGCATCGATACACCACACACTTACAATGCAATAGAAATGAAATGAAATGAAATAGGGTTTAACGTCCTACTGCTCTGCTCCAATACTGGGCTAATGAAGACGGGCATACGCCATACAATGTGGTATGAGGGAAATTTTGCCCGGGCAGCGGCACTATCGCCTACTCTTATATCAAATTCCAACTGCCAGGGGATCTTTTACGTGCATTCCAATATATACACGGGACCTCGGTTTTTCGTCTCATCTAAAGGACTAGACACAGCATGGTCAATACATAACACACATAAATGTACTATTTATTGTACCATTTCAGGTTTAGCAATCTGTATTGTGGGTCTAGCGGGCATAGAATCCCGATCAGATCAGGATGGAACAAATGACCATTATACTATACCAAGTATAACAACATATGGTGGAAACAAAATAATATGCAAAGATGGGTGGATACCAGCTAGAACAAAACAACTTGGTCCTACCACAGCATTTGTCTGTGTTAAATTATATAGAAGACCTCATACCTGGTTAGATGCCCAGAATGTTTGCAGAGCCGACCATTCATTTTTAATTAAATTAGAATCTAGACTTGGATTGGGGCGCAATTCTTTGGATCAGGTGTTAATAAATGAAGGTAAGCTCCACAATGGAAATGATTTTATCTATGTTGATATCCATTTGAATAAATTGTAAATTATAACGACATATTTAATACATAGCTCTTCCCGAGTGAAATGAAACTAATTCTTTGACTGAATCTAGGTTGGTAAACGGACATTAAGTACTTTAAAAAGTCTGTTCTTCTAATATTGTTTTAGTATGCAGGCTTGGCAACACCTTCTTTTAGACAAACAATAAGGGTGTCATAATGGGGCAATATGGAGTGGGTTACTCGAAAACTGTCAAAATGCCAGGACTATTACTTTCTAAATGTATGCCGTTCAGCCCATCGATCTACGATATGCGTCTTCTAACCAAGAGCGGTTATGATAAACATCTTTCTCATAAAAAGTATTGTTTCTCTAAAATTACCTCGTCACTTTTGCACACCTTTTAATTTCTAGTATACTACCGAAACCCCTCCCCTTTAACGGTCATCCACATACCCTATTTTCATCGAATGACTTTGGTGGGTGTCTTTAAAGATTTATTGCTATTGTTACGACAGGGATAAATCATATATGGTCTGGTTTACATGTTGAAGATTCTAGACTGATCTGGGATGAGAAGAAATCACATATTGTACAATCTTATGTTGGGTGAGTATTTATATAGTGCTAAATCTTTCTAACAATATGAACGCTGACGTACACGCCATAATAATTTTATGGGTTTGTCATTTGGAAATGTGGAGATCGAATCATGGGTATTAGTAATGTCTACACCATACCTTGTCATTTAGTTCCGACAGTTCTGATACTATATATATAGTAATATCCAGATATAATTAATTTTAATTTTTGCTAAAACGAATCGAAGAACACGTTATTAAATAATTTATATCGTTATCATTTTCAGCCAAAATGAGCCATTTGGTGACGTGAAGAGAGGGTGGAAATGGCAACAGGGAACGTTTCAAGATTCATCCAATACATGTGGGGCATTTTCAGCTGGAGCAACTCCTCTTAAACGTTCTGTTAGATCCACAAACATTGACTCCGACGACACAACTACAGCACCAACTAATCAGACCACATTGAATAATACAACTACACAAAATACCAATGATTCCCAAAACTCAACAACAGATCAAAACCAAGATGATGACAGTAATGATGATCAATCTGTTGATGTCAACTCAGGTAACTCAAAAGACAGCGATACCGTCACCCGTTCTCCAAATGTCACCACGACAGAAGCATCGAGTGTAGAACTAACCACAGAATTCGACAGTATCGAAGTGACAGATGAACCCGACAGTGCCGACGTTGACGACACCACGTTGGGAAACTTCACGTTTGAAACCACAACACAAGCACCCACCGTTCTGGACATACACAAACGCAGTACCCTGAAACAACAAAAGTTCACCACACCAAAAACACCCAACCCCGCACGTAATGTTTTAGAAGCAGATCCCGTGAACAGCACTCAAGAAACAGCGGATTCGCAAGAGATTCTAGCCAATTCATCTCAAAAGACCCAGCAAACACCCGACGCATACGTAGATGATTCAAAAGAAGTTGTGGACAACGTAACCGATACAGTAACCCCTGTACCTGTACCTACAGCAAGTGCACCAGTGAAAGGAACTTCGGTAACAACAATAGCAACTGTATCATATACAGATGTAGATGATTTAGTTCCAGATTCTAAAGAATCCAACACAAACGATAACTCGCCGGAGGTACTGGATTATATCACTGCAGCCGCCACAGAAGGCTCACCTCAACAGTCAGCAGAGAGTCGGGTAGCTCCTCCTATCAATGTAGCTCCACATGCTGACTTGTTGCCCTCCCTCTCTGACGCATTAGATGCTCATAATTCCCAAATTCAAAATATGCGTCCTAGAATGGAAATGGAAGACTGTGAAAAACCATTCCCGTTTATATGTTATAGTGAACCCATACACAGTCTTAGTCCCGGTAAGCTGGTTACATTATTAATCTACACGCATGGTTCCGTATGAATATAATTATATAAACGTACGGTGTTTTAAACTAGCACTTCATGTGGATGTTTATTGACATTATCCCTATTTTTGGTTCCACCTATCTGTGTGGTCGTTCACTATTTCTGTAAATAGTCTGAGATTTTGTTTACAAGCTGACTGGGATTTATTGGTTAGAAATAAGTAATCAGACATTTGCTAGAACCCCTGTCACCCAAACCGACTACTGGTCAGAGCTTTTGGAGGATTGTTTGTTTAGTCATATTTGGGAAACCTTACTGAAATTCAGAGTCGCACATCAGTTGTCTTTGTGGAGTTAATGCCCCTGTACGGATCGCAGATTTTGAAAACTCGCAGGGATTATTTTTGGATAATCATAAAATTCAGAGTCGCACATCACTTCTTTGTGGAGATATTGGGCGTCACAGAAACGCGAGTACAGTCAGTCTATTTCAATTCTTCTGAAATCGGTCATATGCAGGGAAGCTAGTGAAAAACAAAGCCATGGATCACTTTTTGTTTTGGCCGAATAATTAGCTTACTTTATGAAATTGGGTCTCTACTTATCTGAATTAGACAAGAACACACTGTGTTTTCCCTTCACAAAGCTGTCGATAGGACAAGTACGAGTTAAAGGGTGTACGTCGAATAATGGAATTTGTAAATAAATGTTATTTGCCGGTATAGTATTCGTTGGAATTCTTATGAAAATGGGTTCTATTCTGAAATAAAGTTTTGTGTTTTCTATTCCAGATCCTCACTGTGGAGTTCACTGGGTTAGTCACCACCATTTGGACAAGTGTTATAGGGTCATAGAAACGCCGTACACCCAAGAGGGTGCAGCTCAAAATTGCGTGGATCGCGGCGGAAGGTTGGCAGACATAAATAATACCTTTTATGGTAACATTTCCGCCATGGCGTTTGCTTCACATCCCCGCCGTGCATCTTTGGGTACGTATAGAATAAGGCATTCCAAAGGTGTATCAAGTTCTACTCTTATTTCGAATGTTGTTTTAACATGCACACCAAAGTATACGCGAGACCTCAGTTTCCCGTCCTTTCCCAAGAACTAGACGTTGTTCCTTGTCAGGCTTGACGTCCTGTGGCACTGACAAGGGGAAACTACAACTGAAAATCCCGAGGGACTTTTCCGGCCAACACCTGGATCGACCCAGGGACCTTTAAGTTAGGTAGACAAGACGGTGTCTTTCTCATTGTCCTTACCACTATCGTTCAGTATTACATTACGTCATATTTTCATTTTATTATGGAATGTGCAAACGCCCGGCTAAGTTTAGAATATTATTTCATTATTTTTCTTGATATTTGAAGACTTTGAAGATCTGTGGATTTGTTAAAATGTTAGAATAACGATGAAATGGACTTTATTGGCATGCATCGTTCCTGCGTTCGTGGGGCTTCATGTCCGCTTCCACCGAGGTTTGTATCGCAAACAAATATTAGCACGCAAGAGCCCCGCCCTTTTTATACATGAATACTGTTTTATTGTTCTAGGGACACATGTTTGGGTAGATTTCGCTGAGTCTCGAGACGATACATCAGATTCTAAATGCGATGCTGTATCTGGATATGACGTCGCTAAAATTAATTGTGAAACTCGATTACCAAGTGTCTGCGAAAAACAAGTTCCGTTAACAGGTAAGAAACCAGTTTTAAACTTTTAAAGACGCTGGTAAAATTGTCTGACGTAAGCAACGTCAAAAATGTCACAAATTTATGTCACATGTTCGTTTAAAGCTTTGTCATTTGGGATAGTCTATTAAAGGTTATTCTGAAATTTAACAGGTGCTGTAAATATTCAATAAAATAAGCCTAATCCAGAAGATGGTTTCACGCTTGAGTCTATTATCCTTATGTGGGTGATAATGTTATTTTATAAGATAAATGATCAGTATTTTAATAAAAGACAATTAAGATTATTCATATGACTATGTTAATTGTAGATATTAAAGCATTCTTATATAAAGGTAATGTACCGTTATAATTAAAATCCTACACCCCTATCTTTATTCAACCTATATTATGTAAATGTGTTAAATAGCTTTATTTTACTTCTTTCTTTTAAATCTAGTATGCCCTTGAACATTTCAACCATATTATCTATGGTTCGAAATGGGCCCTGTCTGTCATTTGAAAGGGTTAAATTTATCTGTAACCACATTTGATATATTATTAAACTAACATTAGCTTCCTACACAGTTATGTTCATTATTTCTACGATATATTCCCTAAACAATAACAATGACACGCCCAGTACATTTTCCTAACTTTTAAAATCTCCCTTAATATTTCTTCACAATCTTTACAATTTATCCTTTAACATTCAAATTTTCAACCTACTACTGTCATTTTAAATTATCCTTAGTACGAGTTATCTCTGCTTCTACCTGAGAATCCAGTTTATTTCCTCTGCAATGTCTATTAATTAACGGGGATGGGGGCGGGGGTAACGAGTGCGTGTTGGATCATAAGGCCTGTCATTGACTTAAGTGGCATGGTTTCGAATTCCCGCTTATACGTGACAAGGATTGGGGTCGCGTTGGTTTTCTCCAGGTCATCCGGTTCCGGCCCACTGTTAAAGACCGTTACGTGCAAGCGATTTGTTGAAATAAAATTGAACCATATGTTAGTCCCGAAACGACCTGGTTGTGTCGAGTGGAAGTTGAACCCATCTTCTTTAAATTGTCCATTAATTCATAGAAACTCACCCCGGCGCGCGTTACAGCGACAGCAACGGGTATCGATTTTTGTCACAGGTGACGATTTGCTAAACACCGAACTTCGAGCGCTGTGTATGAGTCAGCAAGAAATTCCTTTTTGGGGCAATTCATTTGTTTAACCAGTGGATGAGCTCAAGCTAAAATATTATCTGATTTTATAAATTTGTGTTCCGTCATAAATCGGTTTTTATACATGGGCGCCGCAATTATTACCAGTCACCAGACCAGACGTGGCAATCACTGAACCGTCTCACACGCGAAGTGGTGATTTCGGTATGTTGTCGATGGTCGACTTTAACCAGCAAAAAATAATAGGATAAATTGGAAATATGAAATATTACTAAATTACAATAGATCATGTACGAGGGGCAACTTTCCTTTCATATTTCAAATACAGAACATTCACAATTCACAAATCGCACCGTAATGACTATAGTGAGATACTGACAGCGTGATTACTGTATAATCATTAGTCACTGCAGTGCAGTCATAACTCACTGATTGCAGTATAATAAAATCTCAATGGTTGTATAATAAATTCTCAATGATTGTAGTATAACCATAACTCAATTGTAGAAATGTCAAAAATATGAGTAAGAAACCATTCATTTAGTCCAATATGTTGGTGTTATTATTAATCCAAATTGTAGTAAAGATTAATGAACACTATCTCTTTTACAATGGGGTTTGGTGGATGATTAGTCTAACGCATACACATTAGATCATTCATAAGGTCGGCCATTGAGTTAAGTGGCGTGGTTTTGATCCCACACGTAAAGGTGACAAGGAGAAAGGTCACCAGCATAACCACGTATGTTTTCTCCCATGTTTCTGAAGCAACGGCTGCGAGTTGTACAACATCTGGACGTTGCTGGATTACTTTACAATTCCCGAACTTCTCGCTACGTTATATGTAGACACGTGAACAGTAGCATCCAATCAGAGGTTGCGACATAGCGACCTCCACGGAAACCTTGACATTGAACGAACTTTGAACTTTGCAACTCGATTATCACAGGTAGAAATTTTAGCTGAAAAGGGCGAGACTTGGTATTCGCAATGATCGAGGAATCTGATAGGCTCACAAGCTGGGTGAATACCCATTCGAAATTAGTGCCGAAATATGCAGGGTATTACGTGAAGGCCTTGATAAGATGTATATAGTTAAAGCGAGATCAAGCTTTCTATTGAAGATGGTTTTCTCCGGGACCTCTGGTTTCTCCCCATTACTTAACCAAACCCCCCTACGCGCAAGCGAATTATCAAAATAAAGTTATGTTAGTCCCGAAATGACCCGGTTTGGCTTGAAATGCCCTTTTCTCGCTCTTTTACAGAAGTAGCAGAAACTGAAAATTTTGAGGACTTTTTGGATACACCAGGCAAAGTTCAACTTGTACATATGACATCAATGCGCGCAGGTACCTTGCTGTGTCCACTTCAATCTTCTTCACCAGACGAATTAGTGCTCTGGTATAAAGATGGCGTACTTATACAAGATCTGGGATCCGTTTACTTGGGACAGAATAACAACGAATTTAAGATAAACAATCAAAATCGTAAGTGCTAATATTTTATAACAATCTAATAGCATCAGACCTTTCATTTCAATTTAGTTACATTAGAATTTTAATTAACGATAAGGAGATTTTGGGAATGATATTTCGTCGCATATTGTTTCTTAACATATTTAAACGAAATATCAATATTCTTTTCTTCAGGATTTTCTGGTACTTTGGTACTTGACCTGTCCTTGTTTAGACGACTAAAATCTCAGGAGACAGGGCTTACATTCCCGTCGTTGCTGCAAGGAAAATATTGGTGTGAAGTTTGGAGAAGAAGACCGTTTAAACGAATTAAATCTGTTACATATATGATAAGATATACAGGTAAATAAATAATTCTTTTAAAGAAGTTGGTACTGCGGCTAATGGTTAAGATGATTAGTGAAAAGGTAGCATTGCATGGCATAATACAGAACCATTCTAAGTAAATGATCCCTCTACTTAAACATTTACACAACTAATCGACACCGTGTTGTAAATTAAATTATAATATCATTTCATTTTCGATCTTATTTATTTTAAAAAACGACGTTGGTGTGATTCAAGGTTATTTATTTGTCCCTAACGTTTTATAAATCAATGTAAAGGAATAGGTGCATGTTTTTTTTATTTCTAATTTCAATATGTCCAATATATCACAACTGCATAGCAAGACAAACGAAATATTAAGACTCTTCTTTTCAGATGTGGTAACGCTTTCTGGTACGATTCAAACTAAAGGCATTTCGGCTGAAGATGCAGCTTTGTTTAATTTAATGGATACTGCCGTGGGGTTAACACGATCTGTATCTGAAGATATGTTATTTTTTAACAATAATATAACATCTACAATAAGATCGTCAAAACCATTATTAAATAACATCGTTACAAAGGTAGTCAAAGCAGAGTAAGTACAAAGAAGCATTTGGTGTCTTTGACGTTAAACCCATTTCATTCATCCTTTCATTCATTTTTACAAATCCAATTGTTGAATATTAACAAATATAAAGCCACCAACGAGTTGCACTGCAATACAAAGATTAAAAATACACCCAAAACATTGTTAGCTTAGTGCACTATCCAGATTGAGATGTAAATGAATACCATTTCGTACGAAGAAAGTCGAATAATAAGGCAAATCCTTCTATTTACTATTTTCTTGCAGTAATGAAACAGGGCGTATAAAATTTATGACGTACCTCAGTTTGTCACGAGAGGTCGTTCCCGAGGAGTTTAAGTCTCAAATTGTGCAAGATTACTTGAAAAACCTGAACGCCATGATTGTAGACAACTCTGCTTTACTCAGCCAACACTGGAACGTTGCACATGACGTCAGCAAGTATATATTCATTGGTAGAACTGGTAGGTATTAAAATTTTAATAAAACTTCCTTATTTAGCTTTGATATTAACTCCATTTGGCCTTTCCTTTCATGTATTTGATTACCCTATAGGGATTATTACGTACATTATTTGTATCCAAAACGTTTAGTCTTATGCTGTTCATTTCAAGACCAACCGTACAGTTGAGCGGACAGAAATACGGCACCCGCACCCGCACCTGCACCCCTACCTAAACTAGATTTGTTTAAGAAAATATAAATGTAATACTAAAATAGAACAGATTGCCATCCAAGAGCATCATGATGTGTTTTAAAAACAGTAAGCACAGTATACAAATCAAGAATGGCATTCATATACTCCTATCAATCGGTGTGGAAAAGTAGGACGTTAAACCCCGTTCCATTCCTGTTCATATCAGCAACATCATTATTTTTCAAACTATCACGTATATAAAGACAATGAATTTAACCTAAGTTTTACGTCAAATCATATATACATATTTTGATATTTTTAAGATGTTTGTACGGAACAATATTTAAAGGATGAAGTAACAGGTTTGGGTGCACATTTTCCAACTACGTTTGTTAATTCGTCATCGTTGAGTGCTGAAGTGTGTGGTAAGATATCTTCTATTTTAAAACCATATTATGCCTTACGCATCAATTTTATGCAAACAATATAAATTTGGAGAGAATTGGTGCCATCGAAACAATTAGGGAAACGCTATGTCGCTTCTGTCAATGAACTGCTCCCGAATGTTTGTATTTTAATGCATTTTAGATGGTAAACCTGCTGGAACTGCTAGATGTATTGGCGATTTAGAAGAACGAGCCTATTGGCATGATTGGGTGGTTGATAACGAATGTGGTACATTCCCTGATATGTCATCTGAAGAATTTGTGGAAACAAATGGTGATGAAATAGAAGCTATAGCTAGGCCATCTTTGTTTATGCCGATCCCAACATCTAACCCGGGCCTGGTAGAGTTGGAAAAGGTTAGTTGACTTGTATTGTATTTGGAAATGAAGCTTTGTTGGTAATTCATTTTATTGGTTTACTCGGGAGTGGTGGCTTAATGAATGAGGTGCTGGTTCAATAACCCGGGAGTCGCGGGTTCGATCCAGATGTTTTGTAAGAAAGTTCATTGGGATTTTCCAACCTGGTGTGCTCGTTGGTGTACACACAAAAGAACCCTTGCCAACCGTGGTAAATTCACTCCATATCACACTTCATTGTGTAAGCCTGTCTGCATTGAATCAAGTTGATAGAAGTTGACGCAGAAGAGTAGGACGTTAAATCACATTTCATTTCATATATTGATTTACTCTTAACCCAAGACCATTTTCGTCATACCCATCTTAGAAGAAGTGTACACTACATACACTAGTGGATTATGCCATTATAAGAAATCCCGTTTTTAATATTACAGGTCGAAGTTGAAGACGCTAATGTTGAAGATATATCTGATAAAATGGTCGAGCTCATGTCACAACCTGAAAGTCTAACAGAAGATGATATTAATCGGATAGCTAAAGTTATGGATAAAATTAACACCGTGTCTAAACCAGCCATAAAGGTAAATATTGAATAAAACATTAATCAGTTATAAATCCGCAATTGGGGTAAATATGGAGAAAAACCTCAATGAATGAGTACAACTTATGTGTATTGTATTATGGGCAATTTTCGGACATGACGAGTACGTTTGCCTCTACTTGATCTTGAACTGATGACGGGCTTTTACTATAGATCATAAGAATAGAAATGACATTTCGTTGATTTTTTTTTATATATTTGCATTTTCTTAAATTGGTTTATATGAAAAAGATTAACGGATATGTATGTAGTTTAAACAAAATTTTGTGGATTGAGAAAACTATATATTGTATAATATTAGTAACTGGCGAGGTCACTTAAGTATTTGTTGTAACTTTCAGGTTTCACAGAATCTAGTACGGACTGTAGATAAAGTGTTAGATTCAAGTCGCAATGATATAAATAATGCTGAAACACATAATAAAGCAGCTTCAAGGTATGTTATCTGTTTATGGTATACCTTTGAAGTATAATTTGCCTAGCCTTATTTAAAAGCTCAGTATTCCAATCAAAGGGGAAAATAGACATTTAAGCCTTACAAAAAAAGTATACCGGTCCAAAAATTAGTCAAATTGACAAATCCTAGCGTTAGTTATGCCCATCTATAATGCACATTACTTTCTATAGATTTTATGGCATTATCGTATTTACCTCTTAGATCGCTAGCCGGTGCCTGAACGGTAATCCATTTGTGTTGAGGCCCAAACAGCACCTAACCAACGTTTTTAACCGTCAAAATTATATATTGAGTACGCGTTATGTACTTCTTTTTGTTAAATTGAGATTAGGAAAATGGTTATTGGCTCTTTGAAACATTGGTGCTCTAATACACGATTTTACTTTCCATTTATAATTTTCTACGACTTTATAACTGACATACTGTTTCCATTACTAATGATACTGACGGAAAATTGAACATGAAAACTTAATATCTCATTGTTCTATGGACAAAGGTATACAATTATGATTCCAAATCCGAATGAGTTCATTCAACAGGCTTATAATCTATGAAATTCGATAACATATTTGCAATTATCTTTTAGGATTTTAGCCAACATGGAAGAAATTGCTAATAAAGCACAGCTCGGAAAAGAGAAGACCATTCGTCTTGTGACTCCAAATATTGCCATGGAAATCTGGGAATTAAATGAAACGGATACACCTGTTATAGGTCTTGGTGCCAAAGTGTCTCAAAGTTGGTCAAACCCTCTGACAGAACCAAGGATTATGACTATCATGGATCGTTTTGATAAACAATTAGAAGATTTTGATGTAGCTATTGAACTACCAGAAAACCTAGTTAAAGATAGACAAAAAGGTGAGATTTCCGTTTGTTGTCGGGACAATGGCAGCAAAGAAATCATAAGAAAAAAATATGAAGAATGTCTCCCTAAAATCGACCCAATTATTTCTGTTCCTGGTAATAATATCCGCATATAAAATTGGTACATTCAATCTGACATAAGATTCATTTGGCGAATAGATTATTTGCTTGATAAGTCTCTTCAAACGGTGGCACATCACAAGGATAGCTGTTATCTCATTGTTTTGAACCAACTTCTAAATGAAATCGAGATTTTCCTGAACGGAACGTAGATGGGTATAAATCCCTTCTTGTAAAAACAAGTATATGTAAGAATTAAGATTTATGATTTTCTTTATTCCAGCTGGACATCCTACCCGATTGTCAATGTTTATCTACAGAAAAGTTGGTTTATTTAAAAGTAATTCATCGTCATTGATGGTTAACAGTCCTATTATATCGGCTAGTGTTGCTGGACAGAAAGTTGAAAACTTACAGGAAAAAGTCAGAATGGTGTTCAGACCTTTTAAGGTAATGTATTCAAATACGATTTAGAAACGATTTCCTAACCATAATATAGTAGTTGCGACATTGTTTTTAAATTTATAGACAAAGAATAGAGAAATAAGATGACTTTATATTTCATTAATTAATATATTTGGCAAATTAATAGTTTCACACATATTCATATATATATTATATATAGTGTGTACTAAATCAAGTTAGTCTGTAATTGACAGTTGCCACATAAAAAGAGCTATTTAGCCAAAACATTGCAATAAAATACCACCAAATTACACGTGAGTGGAATTATTCTAATTGCATCATTTGGCTTAAAGTAACCAATCATATCGTTAATTGCAAAGGTTCAGGGCCATGAACAGGCCTTCTGTGCGTGATATGCAGGAGTCTTATAAAATAAATCATAGTAAAGTTTTAAGTTAGACTTCTATTAGATTCCATCTGAGTTTCTAGACAGCCGCGAGGCTGGCTAGGGTGGAGAAATTATTTTAGCTAGTATTGTAATCTGTGCTTGTATGCATGTATTCGGCTTTGCTATATAAAATGTAGAAGCGAACTGTTGCATTGTTATAACTGAGAAGACAAACGTCTTAAGAAACTGTAAGAAGTAAATACACAACGTGAAGCAGAAGTAAAGACAGCTACAGACAAATTCTAGACGATCTCAAGGCTACAGATATATGTAGTAAGAAAAGATTCATGGGTCGTATGTAGGATGTGGCGACCGGTTTCAACGCCCGCTCTCCACGTCTGACAAAAGACCTATGGTGCTACACCAAACCCTTGTGTAATAGACAGAGCTGGGTATTTAACCAAGATTTCATTTCATATCCAAGCAAAAGCAAATATATTTACTGTCGATTAACAATCAATCACTGGAATATCTAGTTGTGGATTAGAGGATTTTTAGGTTGGGAAAGACACATTTAACGTGACCTTGTTTGGAACTGGTTCACCGGTATTAATTCAATTAATCACTTAAGGACTAAAGGAATCACTCTAGTTTATTGATGTTTTACTTGTGTTTATTTCAATCAAATGACCCGTCTTCCTTTCAGACAACTGCTGATCGTGCTGATAAGACTAAATGTGTGTTCTGGGATTTTAAGTTAGATAATTATCAAGGTGGTTGGTCTACAGAAGGTTGTGTATATGATGGTATTTTATATGATAAAGATTGTTGTATGTGTGATCATCTTACAAACTTTGCCGTTTTACTAGTAAGTAATAGAAACTATAAATTATAAATTTTCGAATTAACAGACCGAGACTGTGCATTTATACATTCACAGCAGAGATTGTAATAATTACAAAGATTGTCCACCTACCCTTAAAGGGCCAATCTCGATTATATTTTGGAGAATACAACTGCTTAGTTTTGTGTTAAAAGCCCTTAATATCCTCTACCTTGGGACCGAGCAAATAGCTCAATATACGTGATATGTTTTCAAACAACTTAAACCCGCCAGTCTTCATCTGGAAATGGAGATGGTGTCCCAAACTGTATTATACAGTGTCTGGCTAAAATTAGACTTTTATTTTATACAAATAACGTGTAGATGAAATGTATTTTTCGTTATCAAGTACAGCACGTAGGTCATGCGCTGTATAGACCCCTGAAGGAACGGCAACAGATTATCAGGTCACCCAACGAAAAAATGGACCCGAAATCTTTAAAGGGTTTCGTATCCGGAGAAGAGGTTTTGACGTTCACGTCCAAACGACTCAAATTTTTGAGCTGGAATTTCGATACACCGTTCCTCTATAATTCGCACTTAAATCTCACGGACTTTTATTTCTGAGACTCGGGATGTTCCCTTTAAAGCCGCTGATTGTGATCTGCATTCATCTCACAATATCTAAGTTTTCACGACTTAATCCAGCCTTAAATGTACTCAAATTGATATCAAAATATCAACGGCGGACACAATCTCCCAACTTGGATTCACCCAATTTAAAACGAGGTCCATCAAGGGATTTTAAGGAAGATTATATGTGGTACTGGCTTCTTTTGACCATATCTCGTTCATATCTTCTGCAGAGGATACCGAATATTGACGAATTTCCAATCCATTATATCATTGTAAATACTGAACGAAATTGGACAATTTTGTAGAGATTCAGCTGGTACGGTATTGTAGTTTGAAAAGGATAAAAATCTCTCACATGACGACCAGAGACTAACAATATACAGACTCGGTAGTGACACCCCGTATCCATTAGCCCATTCGGTGTAGAAAAGTAGGACGTTAAACCCCATTCATTTCTGCAGTGTCATTCAAATAAATTATATTCGCCACTGCAGCATACACTGATGCAAGTTGGACATTGCATGAATTCTTTTAAAAAAATAAAGTGTGAAAATATAGTTATTTTAGGTCTGATCTCTTTAATTATGGTTTACCAGCTTTCTATGCCGATTTTTACACGCCGTTCGTAAAACACCGACATTCCCTTGTTTATTTCAAATTTCAAGTGGTGTTAATAATTTTGTTTTGTATTTTTTGTAGGATTTCTATGGTCACAGTGAACCTATTGATCCTATACATGATTTCTCCTTGTCTATAATAACTTTAATAGGACTCAGTCTCTCTATATTTGGTTTGGGTATGACCATTGTTACCTTTATATTCTTTTCGTAAGTATTTATATTATCATTATATTCTGTATTCTACCCAAGCAATATAAAATCATTATCAGTAATATATTTGCGACAAAATGTTTCTTAATCGTAGACCATGAAGGAAAAATAAACTTCTTTGAACACCCACACTATAAAGTAGTTTTACGAAAAAGTACATAGGTCCAAACTTTATTCAAATCAATCATTCCTAACGGACCTTATCATCATCTAAAGTTCCAGTTATTATTGCTTTAATTCCACCATCATGTTTTCTTTTAGATCGTTAGCCAATGCCTGAAGGATAATTCCTTTAAATATACAAACATCAGGGCTAAAATATCAGAAAACCTTCTTTGTTTAGTTTAACTTTTCTAGACTACTGTCTGTTTATTGTTACATTAAAATATCTTATTATTGTTACATTAAAATACCTTATTATTGTTACATTAAAATATCTTTTTGTTGATACATTAAAATAAGGAAGATGATTATTGACCTTCTGTCACAATGGAGCTTTAATAGATTTAACTCTATATATTTTACAGGAAATTGCGACAAGGTCGTGCTCAGCAAACTTTATTCCACATGGCATTATCACTTTTGGGATCTGAAGTTTTGTTTTTAGTTGGAATTAAACAAACAGATAATTATTACGTTTGTTTAACGGTCGCCGCGTGTCTTCATTATTTCATCCTTGTCTCCTTTATGTGGATGTTGGTGGAGGCGATTCTTCAATACCTTACTTTTGTTAAAGTTCTGGGAACTTATATCTCTAGATACACACTAAAAACCGCTATACCAGCATGGGGTAAGTATTGTTGTATTTTATCGGACTAAAACGCCATATTAATTTTAATAATGTTATTAGAGAATTCTACTCAGTCGACGTAGGGTTCAGTTTTATTTTACGAGTATTTAAATTTGGACAGAGGGCCACAGTGGCTCGGTGACTACAGGGTCGCAGACACACAGGACAGTTGAATCCCATTTTCTTTCATTTCATTTCAAATCTGGGCAATTCTTCGACCTTTTGTGATGTGCCTCTAGAGCCAAGAGTGTTGTTAGATAACGATAAACTGTCACCCCTGATTTTGACAGGGTGTTCCACACGGACTGTGTTTAGGACCAAATATGTTTAGTCATTGTTCAAACGAATTTGTAAAACTGGTGGATGGCACTTTATCTTTGGTTCTAGGTTCTACGCATGAACGTTTTTGTTTTACTTTTAGGTGTACCATTGATACCAGTAATAACAGTTCTAAACATAGATTACACACTATATAAAGGCAGGGACACTTAGTAAGTATTAACTCCTATGAACTATTTACTCCGGTATAATACAAACACTACCTTATATGTTTCATATCTATGGTAATTTATTAATGAACAGTATGTTCCCCAATCTAAAAATAACCCAGACCCGAAGAAAATATCAATTAAATCGATCAATTAATAATCTGAATTTATTTTTCAGTTGTTGGATGGATTTAGACGCTTTCTATTGGTCCTTCGCTCTACCAATCGGTGTCATAATACTGTTTAATATTATTATGTTTATAATAATTATAATCAGTCTAGCTAGAAGACCACGAGGTTTGAGAGTTCATCATTCCTCCTCTAAGAACAGTGCTGCTAAAACAAATCTGAAGGCCGCCATGACGATTTTTGTTTTGTTAGGTTAGTACTAGAATGGCTTCCAGTCTATTGATAATATTACTTGATCGGTTTTGTCTTTCTTCGTCCATACTTGTCGGTTTTGAATTAGGGTCGTAGAAATCCAGGGCTGGGATTTCCATTATTGGAGCGGCGCGTAGCATGTAAGGTTGACCTATTGTCACAACATTATTATTATTATTATTATTATTATTATTTTTATCTCTGCTTAGCTATGGTGTAAACTAGATCATGTAATATGATGTAATTATGTATTATTTACACACTATGTTATTCCACAATATTTATGGACCAGCTGCTCATCTGTGTCTTTAATTTATGTTAATTGAATTCATACTATGTTTCAGGTCTAACGTGGTCATTTGGTTACATGGCGATAGCAGATGCTCGTTTAGTCTTCCAGTATATATTTACCTTTCTCAGTTCATTACAAGGTTTCTTTATATTTATACTGTTAGTGGCTAGAAGAAAACAAATACGAGATCAGTGGATGGTCATTTGTTGTAGAGAAGGTACAGCCATGCGGTTGCGGAAGTCGCTTTCTGTGTCCAACTCCAATTCAAATTCGATGTCGTCGAATAGCAGTAGCGGTTCTGGAGCATCGCGTCGCAAACTACATAACGCCAGTACTCGAACTATTGACACTATTGTTAACAATCAAAGCTTTGATTCCCTGTATTTTATCCCAACGTCTTCCATACCAACCAAACATGTCTCTGATGACTGATTAATAGCAAGGAAAGAATACATTTTGAAGTACACGTAGCTGAAATTTTTTTAAATTGCTTTTTTAATTTATTATCCATGAAATTTAATATTTGAATGTCAAGGAAGAGTTTATGATCAGGAAATGCAAGATTTTATTAATGCTTATACAAAGTACTTTTATATTTATCAATGTTAAGGAAATGTTCTGTTTTATTTACTTTGAAAAAAAATTCTCAAATATTTTGTAATAATGAAAAAAATGGCTTATATATTTTTTTTTTGTTTATTAATGACAAACGATTTTATTATTTTATAATGTAGATATATATAATTATTGTCACAAATTATGTATTTTGTCCATACTACGTAATTATGTCAGTATTTGAAAATACTGAAATACAAAAAGTCTTCCACAAAAATAGTCCATGTTAATGTTTTTAGAACAACATAAAGAAGTGCTAAATAATAGTATTGTAGAAATGTTATACATTTCATATATAATGAAAATGAAACCTAAGGGTCTAATTTCTAGTAAATTAATATTCGGACAAAAATCTCATGCGTTTAATTAGATTCAAGCAGAGTGTAGACCTAGTTTAAACACACTTAGTTTTAGGGTTTTTTTTTTTTAATTTTTCACATAGATTCAAGCACAGTTCAACCAGAGTTATACACAGTCAGATTTGAATCGTTTGTTACATAATTTTATTTAAATTTCGCACAGACACATCAATTAAATATCGGTGAAAAAAAAAACTAGTCCTAGAAATTCGACCCTTATTTTTATATTGTAAATAACTGTTATAATATATCTAGACCCTTTAATAATTATTATCTGTAAGTATTTATTATATAATAGTAAACCTTTGTAAATAGATTAGTTTAACAATATCTGTTAATCAAATCATTCTACCATAGCTAAAAACAACCGGAACAAATAAGAACGAGCAGCATCCTAGAAGGCCAGTAAAACATTTCATTGCATAAATGAGATAAAAAAAAATGGCAGAGAAGAGTTATTTAGATAGTAATTTAGAAAATTAAAGGAAACGGTGTGCGTTAAGTAGTGATGCTAGATCATACAAAACAGATATGTCCGACAGTGTCACGGCGTGACTTTATTACATGATAAAAAATAAAAAGTTCCAAAAACTATAACTTACTACATGATTTACCAATCTGAATAATATTTGCACTGATATATTTTTGTTTATAGTACGTTTGATTGTTTATGATCTTAAACTCTACCTTATTTGTCTTTAATCTTCGTGATTAATCAACAATTACAATCGAAATAGATATAATTCCTTGAGTATCTCTTTAACAGTATAATTAGAAATAATTGAGTTTTTGTATTTATTTTATAAAAAAACAAAAAATACTTTCATTATAACCATGACGTTTATATGAATAATCTCCCCTTACGTCTTTCACAACATGGCGAAATTGAATAGTTAACCATGCTCATTTTCTAAATATATAGTAAATTTCAAAGTAAAGAAAACCATAATTAATTTAATGTAATGTATTTGACAAGCATGTTCTTCTGTCGTCGATAACTGAATTACCTCCTTTCCTTCCCTCCAAAAGGCCTGAAATATTTATGTTACGTATGCATAATCGCACCCGGACTTCATTTCAATATTCAAATATGCCATGATTGTTATCTACTCACAACAACGATTAGTAAAGTTTATGTTTATGTTAAATATCTTAGTTTGTAATAACGTCACAGTGTTTAATGAGTGTTCTAGTCTGTGTTCAGATAATAAATAAATTTCCTACTTGGACTTTTTTTTTAGTTATGTTAGTGTGGACGACGAAAGAGCCACTATTTGATCAACGTTACTGACGTGAGACTAACATTTGGATTTACAAAATGTGGCCCATTTATGTAGTAGACTGAAACCTCCATTGCAATACAGTTCAACCAAGTTTGCCGTCCATAGTTTAGGCATATAGAAACGTGGGTGTCGCGTTCTACGCAGGGTTTGCTTATTCCTTTCGTAGTGGACACCTGATCTGAAACTATTTCGCAATTAGGAAGGCACGTCGATTTAGTACTGGAGAGTAAGTAATTTCAATGTGAATTATTACTGTATTTATAATAAAATAAGGGACGAAATAATCAATGAAACTGGCACCTTTTGAGAACTCATTTGAAGCTAGTTTCCTCGCTTTAAAGTAGCTAAGTCTCTAACTCAATATCATCCAAAACCTTCGACAATGAAAACACTAATTATTTGTCAATTTTAATCACATTGGTTTTGTGATCTTACCGGAAAAAGATGGGCTTCTGATATCCAATATTTAAGACAAAATAAACATGTTACGATTGGTACACGAATCGTGTACCATAATGCGTTTCAGCGCAATTTGTAACAAGCGACTCGAAGAACGAGGTTAGACATATTCCACAAGTCATGTCCAACGGTGACCCCATATTCTTATCTGGAGAACATGCGCAATAAATACTATCGGTGTAGACTAGAATAACCAGACGCTAGAGATTGCCAATGGATTGAGACTTCTGGGGTATTTCACCGAACATAACTGCTTTGAAATTAGAGTAAAAACGGAAAAGATTGAATGTAAATCAGTGTATTTACATTCATATTACATTATTATATACGTTGCGACCCATTTGTGTCAATTTATAGATCCCAAATATTAGCGATTTAGCTCCTTTAAGTCATATTCATCATTTGCTGATATAAGAGCGCCCACCTTTCCTCATAAAGAAATCAAGAGTGGGTGGCTCAGATAACATCGATAATATATGCTAGGACTTGAACTACATGTATGTCTTTAGTGTCAAATATTGTCTTTATTATTAGCGGAGTTGTTGAAATGAACAGGACAATGTGCTTTTAATCAACAATCACACGTGAAATACTCTGATGATCTCCGAAAATCAACAAGGGTCACCTTTAACCAATCTCCAATTATTCAACATTGACTATACCTAAGGAGTGCGTAATGTCCATTTATGAGAAATCTGGGGCAATTACTCGGGAACTAAATACCGACTATCTTTGTTCCATTATAAACCAGTCATGAGAGCCAGGAACAATAACCAGTGAATCACTTTTTCGAAAACGCCCCGAATCTGTAGGTGGTTATCTTGACCCTTTTGCTAATTACTGCTGTGATGCGTTATCAGTCACAGACAATCCTTAAAGACTTTTGCGAAATTTCATGAATCGATAAGAAGGACCATCTTGACCTCAATACTTACTATTCCTGAAAATTCACGATCAAAATCTGTTGGCAACTTAACCCTGTAGGTCGATTGAGTACACGTAAGTGTTGGTGTAATGCTATATTATTGGGCTATTTTAGTTCGATGAAAGGCGCGCTGTTTAATATATTGAAGTCATTAAACAAATATGTGACGGGTAGATTTCGGTTAATAAGATACTTTGCATTATTCTACAACTTTCTTAGACTGGCTCGCCGAGAGTTTTGCCATTATCCATTTCTGGAAGTGTGTAACTGTTGTCCCGCCATCTGGCGCACAGATTCATCCAATTAAATAGAGTATTGTTGGCGTGCCCAACAGCCTCCTCGGCTTTGAGGCCGGTTATGCAGACATCATTCGTCGTTTCTAGGGAGGACATGCGGTGTTCCTAGAGAAATATACATTTAGCTGCCCAGTTTATATTTAATGTCAAAGCTGTGTGTGTAGCTACATGTATATAACCTTTGTATTATGGATGTTATGAAGATACATAAACATAATTATACCAACACAGCGTTCCAGAGTTAATTTATCATTGAGGTAAAAAGTACCCAACCTGGAAGTCCTGCCTGGATAAGGGGGTTGGATGGCCGAATGGTTAGCACGTGCGCGCTGTATCATAAAGCCTGTCATTGAGTCAACTGGTGTGGTTTCCAATCCCCGGGTGTACGTGACAAGGAGTAGGGTCGCCTATCCAACCTCGTGGGTTTTCTCCGTGCCCTCCGGTTTCCTCCCACTGCTAAAGACCCCAATATCGGAAAGACTTTAAATCAAAATTTTCAGTTTGGTATGTTTTATCTTGTTATTGGGCAGTTGGCTTTGAATTGAACCCAAATGCAATCTCCGTAATATCTATCACGTTTTCCCTTATCTTTTATACAAAACTGTTGTTTTCCCACAGAATTTACTTAAAACGCCCGAATCACCTTTTTTCTGTTCAATCTGACGAGATTTAAGCAAAGTCTAGAATGTTTGCTGTTGTTGTGTCACTGGTGGTGCTAGTGGTGGTCAGTGTACATGCTGATATAACTCACAGTACAGTAAAAGCAGGAGAATGTGTATGTCTTAGTGGTTCAGGAGTTAATGCTAGAAATGCACGTAAGATTAATTATTCTTTGTCTCCCGTTAGACTAACCCTTTTTATCAGTCATGTGTAGCAAATGCAAAATATCTTAATGGTCTGCCGAAGAAGACGCTGTTCCTACAACAAATCATTTAACTGGACGCGGAAGACGCTGTTCCTACCAAAATTCTTTTTATTTTTAATTTGGCTACCAAGGAAGACCCCGTTCCTACCAAAATTCGTAGATTGTATTTTATTTAAAATCATATTTTTTCACAGCTTTTATATTTTGTTTTCCGACGTGGTTTTCCCTTGTGAGTGGTGCAGAACGGAGGGCCTGACAAGGACAGCTGTCTAGTCCTTCGGATGATACGAAAAACCGAGGTCCCGTGTATATATTGGAATGCACGTAAAAGATCCTCTGGCACACTGTATGGCGTATGCCCGTCTTCATTAGCCCAGTATAGGAGCAGAACAGTAGGACGTTAAACCCCATTTCATTTCATTTCATTTAATTTCTTATGTTTTGACACAATATCGTTCGGACAACTATTAGGGTGTAATCAATTGTACTTTGTTTTCAATGTCAATATACTGCATGTACACTGCATGTACAACAAATATATACGGCACACAGCTAAACGATATATATCACGTATTATAATAACATTTTAGCTGGAACTACGGGTACTCATGTAACAGCTGTTTTGAACAAGGGTGAATGTTATAAATTACATGGTGGTATTCTAACTAAAGACAACTACAAATGGTTTGAGGTTGATGTCAACGGTCAAGTAAGTTTATCTTTAAATCCCTGGCCGCACCCTTGCTACCTCAAAAATCAATCTCACCAAATCAGGGCCGTAACTAGCCCAGAGCAACGAGGGGGCGGGAAGTGTTCCCAGGGGTACTGTAAAATTGACGGACAATATATATATATATATATTGTTTTTATGGTCGACAATTTTTTAAGGGGGGGGGGGGCGAAACTTTTTGCAGCCCCCCCCCCTTAGTTACGGGCCTGCGCAAAATCTGCTGACAATACTTTCAAAAATCCAGCAAAGTTTTAAAAAATCATATTGTATCTACTAATTAATTAACGATTGAATGTAAATCAGTTTATAAACATTCAAATTACATTATCAAATGCGTTGCGACCCATTTGTGTTCATTTGTAGGTGCCAAAGAATAGCGATTTAGCTTCTTGAAACTGGAGTGAGAACAAAACCGTGGCAATGCTTCGCAAATTTGTTTGTTCAACGATATACGAATGAGTGTTGGAGACAAAATATGCTCAGCACCGGATGGGTCGGGTCCAGTGGGATCCCTCGGACACCCCCTCTGAAAACCCGCATGAACGTAATAAATTTCTTTATTGTTATATGAAAAATAACCAAACATCGGGAACAACGTAAAAAGTAAAAATATGACTGGTGAAATACCTTTGTAAAACACGTGCGATTTACAATAATTAGGACCAAATGAACAATCCAACTGCCCAAGAATTTGAAAATAAAGGGACAGTAATGGTATAAAAATTGACAATTCGAGTCGATTAGAGATTTCTGACAAATCCTTGATATTTTTGGAGGCAATTAAATACATCTACTTTAAAGAATGGATGCGTTTTAATATACATCTCTTTTCATTTTTTTGTTTTAGAGATTATGGGTAGCTGGTAACTATCTCACCGCTGGAACAACTTCTCAGTGTTGTAAGTTTATTTTACATGACGTAATAATATTCAGACATTACCCTAATTTGAATGTTAAACTGTTAGTAACCACAAGACTGGTTTCGCTATCATTTTAATTGATTTTAAATTTTTGTTTTTATATGACTTTTATTGTGTACATGTTTATTAATCATCCAATCATCCATTTTTTTCAGCATCATCTGGAGGTGGAGCATGTAGTAGCGCAGCTGCCAAGGCCGATGCTTGCCATATTCTTTCCTTACATAATTCTAAGAAAATAGAACTGTGGAATGTTCATCCTTCTGGTGTTCACGATCAGGCCTTCGCTTTACAGAACATTAAAGACGCATGTAATGGAAACGCTGCCAGCAGATCAAGGTTTCGTATCTATTCAGACATTTAGTTTTCTTAATACGTTAATGTTTGTGATATAGATGAGCGAATAGCCTAAATATAGCATAAAATGACTATAGAAATACGAAACGTTGCAATGAATTATATTTTATTCCAGCTATTCATGTAATGGATGCGCAGCACCTGGCGGCCATGTATGTTTAAACGCCAATTTGTTGAAGTACATTCGAACATTGGGCGACGGTGGTTATATTCATGTAAGTATTTCTATGTGTAAGTAATTAAAGGACGGACATCATACGTTAAATTAGTGCGTCCAAAAGATTATCTAAAGTGATCAATAGGCGTGGCTCTTTGTCGCAATAACGGCAACAGTGCACTTAAATTACATATAGATTTGGTGCTGACTTTACTCGCTTTAAGAGAATTTACGAGACATTACCCAGTAATCAAAGACAACAACTCTGCAAGCACACGTATTATTGAAAACTTAGATTTATAAAATGTGGCCAGATAATCACAATATTGTTAAAGAAATAAACTGTTTGCCATTTTGTTTTAGGTGAATGAAATTTCCGGTGCCTGCCATAGTTGTACTTCTCGTCACTACCGAGGTCTAGCTGTAGATTTACATAATGATGGACGATCTAAAGAGTACATGACTAAATGCGTATCTATGGGCGGCTGGGCACAAGACGAGGGAAACCATATTCATTGTCAATTTTACTAGACAATTAATGTATGGAAGATAGAGAAAGAGATAATACAATAAATTTGATACAACATATTATTTTGCCATTTATTGATCCTTATTTGAATGAACGGCAGCAATAAATTTAACACAGCTTATTATTTTCCCATGTCTTTATCTTTGCTGTCGTTTAATCTGAATGAACGGCACCATACGAGGGCTGGCTGAAAAGTTCTAAGCCTGAAATGGATAGTTCAACTGGGTTGAAACAAAGTTTGGCCACCAACAAGAAGTACAGTCATTGAATGAATCATAGACATAAGAACTGCAACTGTGATGTTATGAAAGGACCATTCTCGATTATTTTTGGTGAATAAAACTGCTTAATTTTTTGTGAAAATTCCTTTAAAAACCTCTTCTTAGGGCTGAGCAACTAACTCAGTATACGTGATACGTGTTCAAGCAACTTAAACCCGTCAATCTTCATCTGGAAGTTGAGACCGGTGTCTGGATAAAACCAGACTTTTATTTTATAAAAATAACGTGTAGGTGGAATTTACCGTTCGTTATCAAGTACAGAACATGCATCGTGCACTGTTTTGGCCTCTAAAGGAACGGTAATAGATTATAAGGTCACCCAACGAAAGAATTGACCCAAAATCTTAAAAGGGTTACGTGTCCGGATAGGCGGTTTTGACGTTCACGTCCAAACGACTCAATATTTTGAGTTGAATTTTTCAGACAATGTATGTACAACACTCCTCAATATTTTGGCGCTTAAATGTCATACGTACACAGACTTTTATTTTTTAGACTCTGTTAAAATCTAGATGGTCCCTTTAAGTAAGACGTTAAAAAAAACAATTTCATTTCACGTCATTTTGTGGTGTATTATATTGTCTTCATAACAGATCTTCTTGTGACCCTACCCATTGAAATCACCAGAAATAGACAAAACTGGCTATAGTTCTGTCATCAAATAACTGCAACAGAAAGGACCTCAACACAGATACATGCCGACATGATCTCAACTATAGAGTATGATGACCTTTCCCTTTCCACGGCAAATAAGTGGGCTGCTTAATTTAAGCATGGCAGAGGGAGAACTGAAGATGACCAGCGTTCTGAAAGGTCATCAACAGCAACCATGCAAGAAAACATTACACGGGTGCATGACATGACGATGGCCGATCAACGATTGACACTCGACATACGCCAGAGTTGTGGTCAGGTCTCATGAAATGAATGAGCACATTATCGCCAACGAGTTAGGAATGACAAAAGCTCTTGACTGCGGATCAGAAACGTGTCTGATTGCTGACGTCTCGTGACAATCAGCGCCGTTTTTGGCCCAATTTTGTAACCATGAATGGGACCAATTTTCATTTTCCTAGTAATGATAACGTCATGTCAGTTGTGAACGACTTTTTTAGGGTGGCTGAAGAAAATTTCTTCCTGGCCGGCATCCAGGCCTGGTAACATCGCCGACAAAGATGTGTTCACCTCGAAAGGGACAATGTAGAAAAATAAATGGAAACCATCGACTTTGTACAGTCTGAAGATGTTAACAGATTTAATACATGACTGTCGTAGATTGAGGTCATGTATGATTCATTGTCATGTACCCTATGTATGGTTATACTAAGGTTCACTTGTTTATTTCAAAAAAGGGGGCTGAGTGGCTAAATGGTTTAATGAGTGTTCAATTAGATCATACTTCTGCCATTTAGTCAAGTGGCGCAATTTCCAGTTTGAACGGAACAAGGAATAGGGATTTCCTCTGGGTTCTCCAGTTACCCCCCCCCCCTCCACCCCACTGTGTGTATTATAGTCAACTATTAACATAAACCTTTGCTTTCTGGTCAGTCTATATGACACGAATGAAAAAAAAGACCATTAAAGTGATTGATGCAACAATTAAAGACATGAATTATGCCCTAGTAGTATTCTACATGCCTGATCGACCTAATCATTACCATTGTCACGCTACCATTTGCATATAAATGATATTGAGTTTCATTCCATCAGCATTATGTCATACCATTTATTTCTCTTGAGAAAAATTGAACAATTTATCAAACGGCTATCTGTCATCATCAAAACCAGACTTTTGGCACAGCTTTACGAGAACTCTTTATCAAGAACAGACTACACTGTAAAACAGTATTTCATTAGTGTCTTGCTTAGTGATGCCTGACTCTGTGCGGTCCATTTTCTTCCTTGTATGTTTTGCACCAACCTTTGCTCCTGTCATTTTGTTTCACTGTAGTGCACGTAGGCGTGCACGTATATTTTAAATAACCTTGCAAGTAGGAAATTGAAATCGAAATAAGAGTATGCTCGTCTTCTTTTACCCGATTGGAGCCGTAACGAAGGACGTTTAAACCAATTTCAATTCGTTTCATTTCACGAGGATAAACAGATATTTCCCTCCCCAAAGCCAACGATGTATACGTGTATGTAAGATTTTACTCAACAACGTAATTGTAGTACGCTTCGTGAAATCATATATAAATAATAAGGGGAACGTATAATATCGATATTTATTCAGTGGCATTAACTATTAGCACATATTCATATTAATAATAATATTATTAGGCTTACTACTGGGTCATTAATCAGTTAATAGCAGGACCGGTGGGTTCAGGGTGATCTGGATTGGGTCGAAGATTGTAAGAGTAACAGTGGAATTTATATCGCCTATTCTCTAGACTTGATCAATCACACGTTCAAAGTAGGCCTACAGCCGGATAGTTAATCAGTAATCGTTAATATTTAAATCTCCATGACCAATTAGTACAATTACTGGATAAGGTCGTAGGTTCGTCTCCAGCACGGTAATCACGGCAAATGACTAGTTCATGGAAGTCAAGCCTACACAATTATAACAATATTTACCACATAGCTTATTAAATACAATAAACTCCCACGCGTGTTCTGGAAACAGTAGATCGTGAACTGGCAGACTACGAGAAAAACTAGTCCGGTAAATGGCACAAGACAATACTATGAGTTATATTCACCACGTGACGGAAACCAGTTCAATGCCGGGCCCAGTGACGTCAATGTACCTGGTGCACCGCATGTTGTATTAACATCTATGGAACATGTTCTGGGAAGTGAACAGGATATTGAATAATATATATGTTCATTATAAATTCCATTTCCTCCAGATCACCCCCAAAACAACAGATTGATGGAAGTAAACAAAATCAACACAAAGCATTATGTACCTATTGATAAACATACATCCGAATGCCAATTACGGTCACTGACTTAGTATATTGATACTGTAATCCCCTAGCACAGCGAGGCCCTTAACACAAACCAAATCAAACATCAATGCACATGATATCATTTCATTGAATATTACTCACATTTTATCTTAAAACCAATGAATTAATTAACTGAACGTTTTGATTGTGATATAATATCTATATAACTGTTTATTAAGATTTCTTATTATTTGTCCTTTGCTTTTTCTTTTTCCTTTTCTTTTTCCTTTTCTTTTTCTGGTTCTTTATCATCTGCTGATCGCACAACAAAAACGGGTACTGGTGAATGATGGACTACGAAATCGCTAACACTACCCATGAAAGTGCGCCTGATTTTCCCCAGCCCTCGGCAACCTACCACCACAAATTCAGCTTTTTCCTCTTCAACTCCTTGTATAATACCTTCGCCGGCTTTAGATGCTACTATACTCCTTACTCTACCAGTAACCTGTTGAAAAAAGCATGTAATATGAATAAGTTAAAATATAGTTGATAATATTATTTGACTGCAGCATTATTTTGAACATAGCGTCTGTGGCACAGAATCACATCGAAATTTGAATCAACATAGGGGAACGTGGAACGAAGAATAAACATTAAGTGTAGTTTAATGGTCGAGTGCGAGACATTAAAGTAGCTAAGTCTCTAACTCAATATCATCCAAAATCTTACACGTTGAAAATACGAATTATTTGTCAATTTAAATCAACATTGATGTTGTGATCTTACCAGGAAAAGGCAGGCTTCTGATATCCAATATTTAAGACAAAATAAACATTTTACCATTGGTACACGAATCGTGTACCATAGTGCGTTTAGTGCGTGGCCAGAAAGAACGAGGCTAGTAATATTCAACAGGAGAGCCTGCTTAATAGACTGGAATAACCAGTCGCTAGAAATTGCTATAGGGTTGAGACACATGCTGTATTTCGCTGGACATAACTGATTTGAAATTAGAGTAAAAAAGGAAACAATTGAATGTAAATCAGTTTATATACAATCAGATTACATTATTATATGCGTTTCGACCAATTTGGGTCAATTTCTAGGTCCCAAATATTAGCGATTTAGCTCCTTTAAGTAATATACTGATATTGCACGAGTGCTATATCTATATTACGCAATGTTTTGTACGGGATCATTAAACAACTTAAAATACAAACACTATCCAGCACGTGCATTTCAATGAAATACGTCCACTATTTCAACTAGTATAAATAATGGTACGCCAACATCAAAGGATGTCGCCACATCTACATTTTAACAAGAGTTATTCCCCGCTCTCCACTTAAGAGTTCCTGTTAGCTTCTGAACATAGCTCAAGTGATAGTGTGCAAATGTAATTGCACAATATATTGGAGCTTCGTCTTGTAAAAACGTATCTGTTTTATATTATATTTCAACAAATGATATTCCCTACACATTCGAGTTGAAGAAGATATAATTTTAACGAAATGGGGTAAAATACTTTTCTGCACCGACTGGGATACTCTACAATGCTATGTTTTGTGCTAGGCGGGCATTTTGCAAGACAGCGATGCCTCGGCCTGCTCTTATTTCAAATTCCAACTGTCAATGTGTATTCTACATACACACCCAGGGACCTCGGGTTTTTTGTCCCATCGGAACAACTATAGACGCTGCACCACTGACAAAAGGAGACCACGCCGAAATATAATTGTAGCGTCCTGGTGGGGTTGCTAAAATGAAAGTATAAATGAGTAGCATACATTTAAAATACGACTTAAAAATGATGACATGGTAACTTTAGAGACCAGCGAGAAAATAAATATCAGTAGTTTCACTGATTGGTTTGGGTCATTTGTAGGAATTAGTTAATAAACGTGTCTGGCAGTAATTAAAGATGAATATTCATTATGGTATTCACCAGCAGGTTAAACGATTGGTCGTGTATTGTTTATAAACTGGTATAAAAGATTGGTCTTGTATTGTTCATAAACTGGTATAAACGATTGGTCTTGTATTGTTTATAAACTGGTATAAAAGATTGGTCTTGTATTGTTCATAAACTGGTATAAACGATTGGTCTTGTTCAGAAACTGGTATAAACGATTGATCTGCCGTACATATTGGCAATGGCATGCCCGTAAAAGAACCCTTAATGAAATTTGGAATTAGAAATAAGAGTTTGGCCGTGGGACAGCTGTCTGGGCAAAGATTCCCTCATATCACAATTTAGGGAGTAAGCCCATCTTCATTACCCCGGTTGGTGCAGACCAATCCTAACTTGTGGCTGGAGAACGCGGTAGTCAACCATGACACTTTAGACTGAAGATTATAACCATATTACATACCTTATATGATTGAAGCAGCTCAGCGAAACCCGTTAATTCTTTCTGTATTCTAGCTTGTTCTGAATCTAATAGTGATTGTACAACTGTTCTATCAAACATATACACAGCTGTAAAATAGATAAAAAAAAAGTAAAACATCCTGTTCTGATAAACAATAAGACATAACATCTTACTATACTAGACCACTGTTCTATCAAACTATAAGATATAGAATATCGTACTATACTAGACCATTGTTCTGTCAAACTATAAGATAGATAACATCTTATACCAGATCATTGTTCTATCAAACTATAAGATTGATAACATCTTATTATACTAGAGTATTCACCATTGTTCTATCCAACAATAACATAGAAAACGTCGTACTATACCATCAAATTATAAGATATAGAACATCGTACACGTTCTACCAAACTATAAGATATAGAACATCGTACTATACTAGACCATTGTTCTACCAAACTATACGATATATAACATATTACTATACTAGACCATTTTTCTATCAAACTATAAGATATATAACATATTACTATACTAGACAAATGTTCTATCAAACTATAAGATATATAACATATTATTATACTAGACCATTGTTCTACTAAACTATAAGATATATAACATATTACTATACTAGACCATTGTTCTATCAAACTATAAGATATATAACATATTACTAAGTTAGAATGTACACCACTGTTCTATCAAGATGTAAAACAGATAGCATTGTTTCGTTGTACATGTACAACGTAAACCTGGTTCACAATCATAATAACTCTGTAGGTGTGGCGAGGATGTGTATCTTTTTTATGGTAGATGAAATGAAGTGGTGTTTAACGCCCTACCTTTCTGCGCCGACGCGGGATAACGAAGACAGGCATTCGCCATACAGAGTGCTTTGTGCTTCGAGGGAAATTTTACCCGAACAGCAGCGCTACTATACTCTTATATCGAATTCCAGCTGTCAAGAATTCTTGTTCGTGCCCGCTAATGTGTACATGGGACCTCGATTTTTCGTCCTACCCATACGACACGGTCCTTGTCAGGCCATGAATGAGGGAAAATCACGCTGGGAAATTTCAAAAACCTATCTCTTCCTCACTGAACCACCGTGGCTCCGTCTTTTCTGTGGATAGGACGTAAAACAAAAGTTACCTTAATGAGATTAAGACTAGATTTTGAATTTCCTTACATCCACGTAAAGAAGGGGAGCACAGACTTAAAAGATAGGGTTTTATCTAAAACAACTATGTCTATAAATACATAATTAACACGTTAAAATTGCAGCTGTTTAGTTTCTATCAGTATTTTAAAACATTCCGCCTTTTTGCGTTTTAATCACTTCTGTATATCAACCGTGTACACAATAGTGTATCTACTTCAGCTGTTTGTGTTTATCTTTCAGATACATATCATATATACATATCAATCTCTCCATATTTGTATTACAAAACTGACCTGGAAGTGGTATAAATCACAATAATTTACAATATAAGCCAAAACAATCGGATTGTCTCCCAATCTAGACTTGGGTTTATACATACCCGTTTAAAGTGCTAATAAACTGGGGGTTGGATAGCCGAATGGTTAACGCGTGCGCGATAGATCACTTGGTCTGTCAGAGTCAAGTGGTGTAGTTTCGATTCCCCGCTTGTACGTGACAAAGAGTAAGATCGCCTGCCCAACCTCGTGGGTTTTCTCCTGGTCCTCTGGTTTCTCCCACTGCTAAAAGCCTATTGAAATAAAAACTGAGCCATATGTTAGTCCCGAAATGGCATAGTTTGTGTCGAGTGGACGTTAAACCCCATTTCTCTCTCTCTCTCGTGCTAATAAACTGTTTACATATACTTACTGTTTTCCCACCTGGAAGCTTGTAGTAGATCACTCAATTCTGGTATATAGACTAAAATAACTTCATCTGTAGGTCTGTGTACTTGTTTTATATACCCTGAAATATTAAAACATTTGCTGTTTTTATCCCCTGATATAACAGATAACTCTCTAAATAAACAATATTTAGATTCATACTATCCGATATACAATACTATCGCCCACTTTAGATGCACTCTGATGTCATAAAGATTGCCCACTCTAAATGTTAGGTTAAACACTCTGAGTCTGATGTCATAAAGATCGCCCGATCTAAATGCTAGTATACACTGATATAATAAAAACACCCGCTCTAAATACTAGTTTTAATTCTATAACTACATGCAAATACAAGCAAATGTAAGCAAATATCATTGAATACAGTCATTGAACACAGCCACTGAATAACCTATGGTTGTATTGAATGGTTTGGACGCGTACTACTTTTGTTCAGAGTGACATCACTATCAGAATTACGTCAAAATGTATAGACGCCACCGCTAGGTAATAACAATTTTGGTAAAAAAAAAAAGTAAGAAAAAAGGTAGACTGGATAACCTGCTCTAATACGTCAGAGTCGCTCCTATACGTCACTCCTTTTCTGATTTGCATATTGAAGTAAGAATAGCGCAGTGACGGAGGAACGAGTCTGACGTCATTCTGTGTCTAGTCTAAGAAAAAAGGGAGGAACCTTAGACTGGATAACCTGCTCTAATACGTCAGACTCGCTCCTACGTCACTCCTTTTCTGAATTGTATAAAGAACTCAGAATAGCGCAGTGACGTGGGAACCAGCCTTACGTTATTAGAGCAGGTTATCCAGTCTAGGCGGAACCTATGATGAATTTTAACGTTATTGGTGATGATTTTTTTTTTTTTGTTTCTTTTTTTTTTGATAATCTGGAAAGTATCGTGTATTTTGAGATCTGTATGTAGTTATAGAATAAAAACAGAACTCAGTGACCATTGAATACCGCTCGGGTTATTCAATAGTTTAAGAGAGTGTGTCCCTGTCGCATTCCACTCGATCTCGATATCGCTCGAATACTTGCGCAGGGATACACTCTCTCTTGAACCATTGAATAACCCGAGTGGTATTCAATGGTCATTGAGTTCTATCTATACACCGATATAATAAGATCACCCACTCTAAAGGCTAGGTTGTACACTCTGATATGATAACCCACTCGAAATGCTAGTCTATACACCGATATAATACTCTAAATGCTAATTTATAAACACTCCGGTAGTATAAGATCACCCACTCTAAATGCTAGTTTATACACCTATATAATAAGATAACTCACTCTAAATGCTAGTTTACACACCGATATAAGATAACTCACTCTAAATGCTAATTTATACACACTGAAATTATAAGTAGGCCTATCGGTTTTATTCACCCTGGTGGTAACCCATGTCCGACATTAAGCCATTTTATAATTGACCGTCTTCACTGCCGAGGGAGAAAAGTAAGATGTTCAACCCCATTTCCTTTTTTTGTAAATGTAACAGCGTTCTATAATAAATACGCCGTATTTTTAAGCGTTTCTTGGATGGTTTACAAAAAAGTTTTTTTATTACTTCAAAGTGAATATGAACCAGAATGTCCCAGAATTAATGGTGTATTTACCAGGACTAATAAATAATGTGGTTAACAGTTTTAACTTATGGCATAATATACTCGCGTCTCCAAAAATAACTTTCACATTTAAACATCATTTCCTAGTTCAGTCCCCAGTTTTACAAAACATTCTCAAACTTAAAGATACATTATGGGAGATAAGATAACGAGATGGCAGTTCTCGCTATAATAGTTAAAAACTAGATAGTGTAAAGGTAATTTGCTGAAAATTTCAGTCAAATTGATCCACTATGAGCCGAGAAAGAAGCGGGTGAAAATTTGGCATAGTCTCGGTCATCATTACTAAAATCATTAATATAAACAGCTTAGTCTCGATTATCCACTTTTATTGATTTAATTATCAACGGCCGTTAGCGGCATATAGGAATCTAATCCAGCCAACATCGAAGGCTAGCCTTGACATCGAGAGTTTATTATGGTCTGGATAAGTTAATTAATGTCTAATTGATAATTTAGATAACATTTCAGGCCTAAAGAAAGACTTGTAATAAGCAGATTTTGCTCTTGTATAATGCATGTTTAAACATACATTATGCAAGAGCTAAATCTGCCTATTCCGGGTCTTTTCTTTAGGCCTGAAATGTTATATAAACTATTAATTAGACATTAATTAACTTATCCAAACAATAATCAACTCTGATGTCATCTTATATGTCGGATTACCACTGGATTTGAATCCGATCTGCTGCTTTACGCTCATTAATGATTAAATCCAAAAATGGATAATCGAGACTATGTTTTTTTATGGTACCGACTTTAGTAATGATGATCGAGGCTAGGCTTAAAATTCAAAAGCTAATATCTCGGTTCGGAGTTGAGCAATTTGACTGACATTTTCAACATAAGCTATTTACGTTATCTATTTTTTCATAACTATTATAGAGAGAACAGTCAACTCTTCATCTAATCGCCCACAATGCCCCTTTAAGTTAAGAATTTACTCAAACTTGTTCGCCTTATTGTAATTTACTCAAAATTGTTCGCCTTATTGTAATTTACTCAAAATTGTTCGCCTTATTTTAAAACATTTGTTGTTTTAATGTATCAAATACATCAAGGGGAAACTATGTGCAATTTTTTGTGTTTCTGGATCACATATATTTCTCATAAACAGTGATTGAAAGTTGAGTAAATTCTTAACTTAAGTTTGAGAATGCTTTGTGAAACCGGGGCAAGGTGTTTCTATTTGTCATCCATAACATTAAGTCCAACGTATAATCCCTATCCAGCTACAATTGGCATCGTATTACTTTCTAGAACACCTAGTGTCACTTCGTATTGATAAACTAGTACCGCGTAGCTAACCATTTTGCTGAACTTCTCTATTAACAGAATGTTGCTGAACTTAGCACTTTTTGAAATGGTTAACAGATACGTTTAAATATATAATAATGTTGTAAATAAAGCTGAGTCAGTTATAAGTTGTGTCGATATGAAAAGTAGATACAAAACAATTTCGAGTCGATTTAAAGTTTATCTTAATAGTTGAACGGAAATATAATATATATTCATCAAAGCAACGAATACTTTATCTATTTGACATACATGTTTTAAATGTGTTACTTGTGTTACTGTATAAAGGATAAGGGCGTCTGTGAATTATATCAGCGTTGATTGATGAAGAGATAGGCTGTATAGTAATCGTACAAGGTTCTTGGATCGGTTCCATGTGAACTGTGGTGGATTTTAGCCAACAATTCTATACACATTAAAGTACTTATTGTTATTCGTAATAGGTAAATTACTAAACATACTATATCTATTATATAAAGTAAAGAGAGAGTATGGCTCTCCGGTGTGACTACTCGGATGATACTACGGCCGAGGAATATCTATTGGCATCATTATCATGCTCGACATACACTATACATGAATATGCTGCAAATATTTGGGAATTCTAGAAAGGGTAAGACCACCCCGCCTGCGCAATATATTAATTCTTCGTAGCTAAATTCCATTCAAACACAGATTTTATGCCGTTTAGAATGTTTAAACATAGGTTGCGATTATTAGGAATTTATAATCTGCCGGAACAGAAATTCTATATGGTTGTGATTAATGAGCTTTTATGCCGGAATTGAAATTCTATATGATTTTGATTCATTGGCAATCTCATATATGCTAAAACCTGTAAAAGGTAGTTGGCAAACACAGAGGTAAATACTGGAACTAATTGTTATAAAACTCTACTATCTAATAAGGTTTTCATTAATCGAACAATCTAACACAATGTGGGAGAACAAATCCAAAACCCTTATTCTTACATATTATAGGTTTGGAAAACAGAGGTGGGCAAATCTGCGGATGTCAAATGAGAATTTAAAGATGGCTCTTCTCAAGAACTCTTTTCGTTATGGATCATAACGGTGCAAATAACTGCGGGAATCTGATTTTCAATAGAGTTCAGCCTTATTGACAAGGGCGACAACACTTAGGGACTCTGAATTTCATTAGTGTTTATCTTTATGGGTAGTCAAGCAATTCCTGGATGCGTAAACTAAACTGTGGAGCGATTACACGGTTTCGATGACAGGGACAACAACTCGGCTAATAAATGACATGGAACTATGAATTTCGATACGGGTTACTATATCTTTATTATACCTACCCATTAAATTCCTTCAAATTTGGGGGGGGGGGGTGGATGGCCGAATGGTTAGCACGTGCGTGCTGTATCATACGGTCTGTCATCGAGTCAACTGGCGGGTTTTCTATTCCGCGGTTGTACGTGACAAGGAGTAGGGTCGTCCGTCCAACCTCGTGGGTTTTCTAGGGGTCCTCCGGTTTCCTCCCACTGTTAAAGACCCTACGCGCAAGCGAATTATTGAAATAAAATTGAACCATGTGTTAGTCCCGATATGACCTAGTTTGTGTTGAGTGGACGTTAAACTCCAGTTCTCTCTCTCCCCTTCAAATTTGGAAAAATCTCCAAATCTCTGACCTGTACAACGATTAGAAGAACGATAACTGATAAGTAACTGAAGATCGCTGTTATTTTCTAATAATCTCATAGTCGGTAATATGACTGACCTAGAATTCCCAGTAATTCTGTCTTTAAAAAGCAAACTCGTACAACGAAAACAAGAAGTTGGGGGAGTGGGCGGTTAGGCGGATACCAAGAGAGGTGACAATTGCGAAATGAACGAATCAGATCGAGACTGTCGTCGATATTATTTGGTGTAAAGTATTTAATCTAAGACAAGAGGATTGATGAGAACATATCTAATAAATTATAATCTCTAGTAAAAACAACCTATATCAATATCGCCAGTAATCGGCAATAAAATAAAATCACCCAGTTGTGTCTCATGTTTTATTGACAGTTATTATAATATATGGTCTTATTGTATGCTTCCTAAACTCACCCAGCTGTGCCTCAGGTTTTATTGACAGTTATTTTAATATATGGTCTGTATGCTTTCTAATTTATAACACTGCTATTTTCACCATATGAAAATGAAATGGGGTTTAGCGTCCTACTGTTCTGCCCTGGCGGGGCTAATGTTGACGGGCGTACGCGATACAGTGTGCTATGAGGGACATTCTGCCCGGCCATCAGTGCTACAGTCTACTCTTAAAGCGAATCCCAACTGTCAAGGGTTCTTTTACGCCAATGTGTACATACGGAACCTGGGCTTTCCACCCCACCTGAACAACTAAACGCTGACCCCTGTCATGCCTTCCGCCCAGCACCACCGACAAGGGGTAACCACGCCAGAAAATACAATGAACTTTCTCGGCCAACACCGAGATCAAACACGTGACCTTCGGTTTAACGAGTCTTATTTACTGAACCATCCACGAGCCGTTATTATACGATTTATACACGTGAGATCAATAACTCGAGATATCAATATTGTAAACCTGTAAAAAAAGAAATAAATGAATCAGAAATAACTTCCTGATCAAAAGGTTAACACACATTTTATAAGTTATAAATAAGTAAGTGTATTTAATTAAAAGTATATGAGAATTTCGTTTCGGATTGCTATTTTGTTTGTTTAGGATTTTTTAGTGTAGTACAAGTCCGTAAACAAAACGAAACGAAATGGATATCTGATATTATTAAAGATGGCTGTGCATATGTTGTACATTATGATTTATTCATGCTTCACTAATGATTTAACACTTATATATATTTACTGTATATTTATCCGTTATCAAGTTACCTATTTTTTAATCAAACATTTGTTTAGTTGCTGGGTTATGATAAAACATACTTGTTTACAGATTATTTTTGATAAACAGACAATTTTTTCTCATGTGACATAGGCTTGGGAAAGGCGCAATTCGGCGTGTATTAGTAAATCACCGGGGAAAGTATGGTGTTTTTAAATATGGTTAAAATTATATTTTTCACGATAAAAGCATTTAAAAAATTTGAAACGTAATCAGGACATTAACATATCCTGTTTCAATCATTAGAACACGGGAATGGCTATGGGGTATCTTTTTAAAACGGTTAGAATTAAAAGGACCATCTACACTACTACAATAGATTGCATTTATTTATCGAAGAGTTTCTCCATATCTTTTTAAGTTCTCAATCTTCATAAGATGTTAATAACTACATTAACATAAGATGTGTGCTGAATAAACATACATAAACATAATATTCAGAAAATGTATACACAGACATAGGCTAGAACGTATACACATATATTATCTAGGCTACAGTTATTTACAGCCATAACAAAACATATAAAATAAATTTCTCAATTTCAAGAACTAACCGCCCTGTTAAAAACATTAATGTTATTTGCTAATTAATTAATGGGGATGTAATGAATTTTCAGCACGGGTGTGAACATGTTGACAATCTTTTGTCAGTATCTTTTATTTATTTTCTTTATGACTAAATTTGAATCCCAACTCCCGATTCTACACCATTATGAATATAAGGTATAATCTTGAATGTGAATAAAGGGGGTCAGGTGGAGTTATTAAATACACCCTGAAGTTATATGTTTATATTGTATTGTAGATTATTTGAATATTTCTCGCAACCCCCTTATCATAAATGGTGATTTACCATCATAATAAAGAGTAAGAGGTCTAGATTACAACTAAACATTGGGTCATATTCATGAAAACTTAAAGAGCACATATAATGAAAATATAAAAATTGTGTGTACTTTATTATATACACCTACATTATTTTAATTCATATCCATATTCACAATTAATTCAGACATCTTCACTCAAAATTGCAAATATACACCTCCGCCAAAAACGACTTTGCTAATATCGAAAACACACCCATTCCCATCAAACGCCAGTGACGGAATGCATATTAGAATACCGGTCTCTACAAGTTGGGCATAATGGGCCATAATTCAAGTTTGATCAATTTTAGTTAGATTTAATTATAACCTTCTCTGCATTATAGTTCATACGAATATACAAGATGAACCAAACTTTAGATTTAAACAACTTGTCGTGCTTTTTTTTTCACAGCTTAACATTGGCAAAAAAGCGATGCGGGACACTTTTGTTTTGCATATAGTGACTGTGACCGAAAAAGAAAACCATACCATAAGGCAGTTGAGATTAATATGCACGGCCATGTTGTAATAACTCATAGATATGACATGTAAAGGGTAAACTCTTATCAGTGAACACGGCGACATTTAAATGGTCAAATTATTTCGCTGATACCTTAGCAAATTAATATGTTACAACCCACTCTAGTTCCATGTTACTGCATTATCCAAATGAAATGAAATAGGGTTTAACGTCTTACTATTTTGCTCCAACTGGGATAATGAAGACGGGCATACAGAAATTTCGAAATCCAGCTGTCAAGTGTTCTTTTACAGGACCTCGGTTTTACATCCCATCCGAGCGATTACACGTTGTACCTTGCCAGGCCCTCCCTTGGCAAGGTTGAACCACGCCGGAAAAACCCCGATGAACTTTTCCAGCCATCAAGGGACCTCCAGGTTAGCGAGGCAACGTCTTACTCACTTAGTCACAGTGTCTCCCAAAAACACGGGCATCTACGACACGTCCCTAAAGCCTAAGTCAACCAGCCGTATGTGTTTTGACACGTATGGGACGTGGGGTTTGGTAGCTTGCAGACCAGCCGCAAGAAACCGGGAGAAAATTTGATATGTGCAGGGCCAAAAGTCTCTAGGGCCAGTCTGCGATCTCCTACGGTGCCGAACACACGAAAACGTGACGCATAAGTCTCACGCGCGGGTTTTCTATCCCCCTTCCCCCTAAACTTTCGGCAGTAGTCCGTATGGTGTGGGGGGGGGCGAATGGTTAACACGTGGCGTGGTTTCGAATCCCCGGTTGTCCGTGACAAGGAGTAGGGTCGCCTGTCCAACCTCGTGGGTTTTCTCCGGGTCCTCCGGTTTCCTCCCACTGCTAAAGACCCCTACGCGCAAGCGAATTATTGAAACAAAATTAAACCATATGTTAGTCCCGAAACGAACTAGTTTGTGTCGAGTGGACGTTAAACCCAATTTCTCTCTCTCGCTCTCGTATGGTGGGTTGTGAGGCAGGCTGTTGTTTTACTGAATTGCAAACTCTCATGTAACACCATTCTGCACATCAACCACACGCATTTAGTTTTTGAACGTTAATTAAGTACGATGTAACACTTGTCCATTAGTAATTTAATGTGTAGCACCTGTAACGGTAAACGCCTCTGAGCATGCCAAGTGTCTCTAGAGCTTCAGATTGGGTAGAAAAAAAAACGTAGCTCCGTTGTGAATCATTGTTGGTACTGCCTTTCTGGATTTAGTCCCATAACAAATTTCTGGAATAACACGCTGCTTTACTAAAACAATATGGAGTCTAATATCCTGTAATTTAAATTTATTTTACTCTCTTTTACGACGTTTAAACTTTTGTAGAATGTATGGATTTCTTTAAGTACTATGTTAAACCCAACAATCTTTAAAAACACGGTTTTAAAGGTGGCAAATCTTTAACTCAATATCATCCACAGTCTTCGACATTGCAAACACGACTTACTGGTCAATTTAAATCAACATTGATGTTGTTATCTTACCGTGAAAAGATGGGCTTCTGATATCCCATATTTAAGACAAAATGGAAATTTTAAAATTGGCACACGAATCGCGTACCAGAATACTTTCGAGTGACATTTGTAATGAAGCGACTCGATGAACGACGGTAAACATATCTAACAGAATACTACCGGTGTAGACTGGAGTAATCAGATCCCAAAGACTGCCATTCAATTTGGAATCTTCGCGTATTTCCAAATAATTGAGATTTAGCTCCTTTAAATAATATAGAATGATGCACCGTTATTACCCACAGAAAATGAACAGTCTCTCAAATCATAGTATCTCAAACTCTATTATGCCACGAAGCCCTTGCTTATGACACATCCAGGCAATTTTATTTAACAAAATTTAAAATATAATATAACCACGAGAAACGTGTACAGAGTGTATATTAAGCGTTTTATAACGACCTATTTACACACAAAATAAATTACATGAAATGAAACGAAGTTTTAACGTGGCACTTTTCTGCACCAACTGAGCCAGTATGTTACATAATACAATAAGCATGAGTGAATAAACCAAAATACCTATACAAATTGAAAGCGTAGCTAATTATATTTGTCGTAACTCTGACAATATGTACCTAAATGTGATGATTTCTTGTATTATTTGTCCTAAAAAAATTTCGATGCCAATTAGTATTCAAGTAGGAATGTATGATGCATAAGCGTACGGGGAGGGGGCGGTTAGTATTTGCCAGGAAAATTTTACAATTATACAATTTTATGGTCTCATCCCTGATGTTTGTGCCCGAAAAACGGAAATGCAGTGCCCGGATAATGGACAGTTCGCCGAATCGGAGAGGGGCGGGGGGGGGGGGGGTGTTGGGTTTTTATTGTTCGGTACTCCTGCATTGTATTAAAAGACGCATTAATTACATAATGATGCATTAACTAAATACTAAGTGACACGTAGTGGTGAGACTAATCAATGCTTTGTTTCTCGTACGCAGGATGAATTAACTGTGCATATGTTTAATATATATATATATATATTTACATATACTTACAATCTAGTGCGTTTTGAGCATGCTTACTCCCATCTATTGCCACAACAACTTTTCTTAAAGTTAAAGGTAGTTCACTGGTAGCCATATTGCCGTTTGTGTGTTATATTCCCTCGGAACGTGTTGATACACAGCGTACACGATATCGACTGCTTTCTTTATTACGTAGAGCTCGTATTAACCTCCAATCTGTACACACTCTATGCTGTATTCACTCTCTAGGCAGAGTTTACCACTTACGATTATTATTAGTCTGCCCGACTTGACGAAAGTCGTGCTCTACATTTATATACAACTGACTAGAGAAAAGAGGAAACATCTAGATGAATCCAGGCTGTTGTAACTTATACCTTACATTCTTTTTTCTCTTTGTATGAATCTCAATAATAGTTCATTGTTCTGTTAATCCGATAAGGTCAAAAGTCAAGTGCATAGGATAATGCTTACTTTGTATGCGTGTTTATCAGCGTGTTGTTGATAGTTGAAATGCAGCAGGTTACATGTAATAATGCTTACATTAAAGGGAAATTAGTTTTTTGGGGTTATTCATCGATTGGTTAAAACATTTTGTTTTTATTTGATGTAATTCGACTATACAGTCACCTTCAAATTAGATTGAATGCACATTCAATCAAGTCAGCCCAATTCAATACTATATTTTTTTTTATCGATCAATGTGATTAAACTGCTTTAAACAAATTTGGCGATCATTATTGATCGGCCCAATATTCAGACATGAAACTCTCCAATCTGTTTCACAGAGGTATTGCGAAGGCCTTCTTCTTCACAGAGGTATTGCAAAGGCCTTCTTACCTCTGTATAAGATGGGTGGGGGTATATGGCCGAATGGTTAGCATGTGCGTGCTGTATCATAAGGTCTGTCATTGAGTCAACTGGTGGTTTCGATTCTCCGGTTGCACGTGACAAGAAGTAGGGTCGCCTGTCCAACCTCGTGGGTTTTCTCCGGGACCTCCGGTTTCCTCCCACTGGTAAAGGCCCCTACGCGCAAGCGAATTATTGAAATAAAGTTGAACCATGTGTTAGTCCCGAAATGACCTAGATTGCGTCGAACGGACGCAAACTATCAAACTATGGAAAACTGCATAATGATGTTACACCCAACGTAAGCTAGTAAGCATGAAAATGTAAAAAAGAATATGAGAATATTTGGAATCGTTTCAACAGATGTTACCAGTTTTCTCTTCATGTAAAGAAACGAACGGATCATAAAAAATTCAATGTGCATGTTGAACTAAAATTTAATAAATGCCCTGTTTCATTCTACTAGAACGAACTGTTCAATATCTTTTATTGAATGTTATTTATATACGCAGTATTAGCTGAAATTGGGTCAACTACATAACAACATTTTACACACAGAGTTTATGTCGCAGTCTGTTTTACGTGTTATTTATAACTATAAAGATTTTGTTTACGAGGATTATTGTGCGTGTTAAAAAAAAGAAATAACATGTTTACCTCAAGCAACAGAATTTGTAAATATCTAAGGATGATCCGACATAAAATGAAATGGGGTTTACCGTCAACTTTTCTTCACCCACTGGGCTAATGACGACGGGCGTACGCCATGCAGTGTGCTGGGTCGAGGGGGCGTACAGCTACGGTCTACTCTTATATGGTAATCGTATTCCAACTTTCCAGGGATATTTTACATGCACCGAAATGTGTACAAAGGACCTCGGTTTTCCGTCCCATCCGAAAAACTGTTCGTTTTCCCAGGTCCTCCGTCCTTCACCACTGAAAAGGGACTAACATAGTGTTGATATACAATGTTTCGGACAAATTCGCTTCTTTAGGTAAAATAGTGCTTGCCTAAAATAAAGCATAATAATAGCGAATGTCGACTTTCAAAACGCAAGTATATCGTAACTCACATAATAGTAATTCAATAGTTGTCTCCCTTTAAGACAACATCTACCTGGTTCGATTGAAGCTTCCACATGCATACGACACCTCTGGATTTTCATACATCACATTCATACAATAAAACATTTCGTAAGCTAAGAAATGATAAGTCTGATTCCGCTTCCAGAGCAAACCCAACCCACGCAAACACACCGTAAACTCACAAAACACCTATAACAGAACAGAAAGCAAATCGGTCTAGAAACGCACAAAATTTATTCCGTGCTATAAATTACTCTTCTTCCCAAATTAATCGAATTTCAAAATCAAGAGTGCAAAACCGTTGACAATTACAAAATAGTTTACATTCAGCTCATCGTAAAAATGGTGTGGTCTGTTCATCAAATAATTTTCAAATATTCCTGATGTAAGCGTGGGCCATCTGCGGAGATAGCTTACTGAATTCTACCAACAGATTAGTTCATTAAACTTGTAGATCTGATTATCTATCAATTACTATAATCTTATTGTTGGGCAAACGTTGTGTTACCATGTTTTCGGTGCATTGTGGGTTGATAGAAGCCACCAAGGTAAACTTTCAGGTAACCCGTGACGACACATGTAAGACTATATAGATAGAAATATTTTCCGTTTTAGTTATCATTGTGATCCTTGCCTTCTGATTTAAAGTTTAACAAACAACTAGTCCTGTTAAAAAATCAAGTAAGTATAAATATTGTTTATTATGAAGTGTTTTAAAACTGTTTAAGTTTAAACACTACTTTCTATCTGAAGTTTTTAAGGTGTCTCGTTGAATCAGAACCCGTATTCGATCTTGGAATATATATTTTAAACCCATAATTTGTTAAAGGTGTTTGCTCTGGTCGTTCATTGGTTATAACATAGGCCTAATAAGCGTATGTTTTAGAAGCAGGAATTGATATAATATAATATAAATGTAGCCGATATATTTTAAAAGTCCCGCAACGTATTCTTGAACCTGTTTTAAGATATTTAATATTTTACGAAGGCAGCACGATGCTAATCGATGGTTGGATTATTTCCTACTATCGCCGAAGTGTAAAATTATATTTTAAAAAGCATTTCGTCATTAATCTTGTTGTATAACAGATGGAAGAAAGGTTCTATATTATCATTTAATAAATAAATCTTATCTTATCTTCTGTCAGAGTCATCTTTCCCCTCGCCATAGGTAGTCGAGCGTATATTAACGAATACAAATATTTTGCAGTTAAAAATGAAACCCGCATGTTTATTAAAGGTATCATTTATCACGGTCTGACCTCAACAAAGTAAAGATGTCAATAACAGAGATACGCTAAATAATCAATATAATATAGTAGGTAAAGGTTTCTAGCAGCTTTGGGTTTTTTTATGAAAAAAAGAAAAAAAAGCTTCATTAGTGTCTGTCTTATTTTTTTGTGGGTATTAGGGGTGGGGGTGGGGGTATTACGACTTGTTCACCTGTAACAATAATACATCACCCTTTCCTCCTTTTTTCCAGAATGTCTGAGAAGAAAGCCATCATCAAAAACGCAGATATGTCTGAAGAAATGCAACAAGATGCCATAGATGCCTCGTCACAAGCTTTGGAGAAATTTAACGTAGAAAAAGATATAGCTGCCTTCATCAAGAAAGAATTCGACAAAAAATACAACCCCACATGGCACTGCATCGTTGGTCGTAACTTTGGATCCTATGTTACCCACGAAACAAAGCACTTTATCTATTTTTACCTGGGACAAGTTGCAATTTTGTTATTCCGTTCTGGTTAAGAATAACATGTGGATGAAAACAAAACAGTAGAAACAATAACAACGGATTGTGAAAAGTATTTTGCAACGAGTTCAAGATGGACGTGCGGATTGGTTCAAACGCTGCACGTTAAGACATTTTAACAAAACTACTCGAATTTATCAAATCTGTAACATAAACTATTTATTAACCAACGTTAAATGTTATATGTATTGGTGTAATTTGATGTCAAAATATGAAAATTAATAAAAATTCTTTAATAGTAAAGATTTTGAATGTAGTATTTGTTAGAAAGGGTCAGGGGTTTATCAAGGGTTCTCTATTGTAATTATAACTGTTCACACTATGAATTTATAACATTAAGGATTAGTGTGAGCATGGAAATGTAAAAGGGAATATCAGAATATTCGGAAACGTTTCAAACGATGTTATCAGTTTTCTCTTCATGTAACGAAATTCACCATATCAAAATTTTAGGTGTAGTGTGCACGTTTAACTGAAATTTAATAAATGCCCCCGAATGCCCGGCTTCATTCTATACTAGAATGAACTTTTCAATATCTTTTGAAAAACTTAATTATACACGCAGTATTAGCTAAAACTGGATCAGCTACTCAAGAAATAACATAACAACATTTTACATACAGAGTTTATGTCGTAATGTGTTTTACGTGTTACTTATAGCTAGCTGTAAATGTGGGTTTTTTTTAGAGGATTATTGTGCGTGTTATAAAGTAGAACTGGCAACATGTTTACCGCAAGCAACACAATTGTAAATATCAAAGAAGGGGTGATCCGACAAAAAGTACAATGGTAGCTAACTTCAGGACTAACATATTGCATACCTTTATTTTAATAAATAGCTTATGGGCTGTTGTCTTTGACAGTGGGGTGAAGCGGGAGAACATGGAGAAAGGCTTATCTTTGCAGATCTTATCCTTGCCCACCAGTGAATATTCGCTAGGCCTCTACAATCACTGAGACGAATGACATCGGTGGGGGTTAATAAGTTCGCAATATTAACTTTTTTCCTTCTGCAAATTAAATTCTAAAACATTATTTGAAGTATTAGAGAAAATAAACAAGGTGTTTGAGGTATATCTGAATAACAGATATTTCCTATTTAGTGTAAATGAGTATATAAAAAGGGTAAAAGGCATCATTCTGCCCGGACCAGTTCACGTCATGTCAACAATGCACGCGCCATTGGGCCAATATTCGACCCCGCGTTATGTGACGTCACATGTAGAAGGCATTTGAACTTATAAAGGCCAGTCATCTTACACAGAGGTATTGTCTGTGAAACAGATTGATTCTTGCCATGTACAGCCTGGGATAGCACAACTTTGTATTCTAATTACTTTTTAGGCTCCCGGGTTGCGGTCAGTGTCGATATACAATGTTTCGGACAAATTCGCATTTTTAGGTAAAATAGTGCTTGGCTAAAACAAAACATAATATAGCGTTACGTAACTCACATAAAAATGTAATTCAATAGTTGTCTCCCTTTAAGATGTCATCTATCTGGTGGTTCCGATTGAAGTTTCCATGGACAATGATGCATAGGGCACCTCTGGGTTTTCATACATCACATTCACACAAGAAAATATTCCGTGAGCTAAGACATGACAAATCTGATTCCCACGCAAACACACCCTTAACTCACAACACACCT